GTTGTATTGTTGTTGTTGCACGATATGAGAATTGAGATACGATCCCCAATTCCCGTTATATAATTACTAATAAAAACAAATTTGTAACGATATCATAACAATCTCTTTAGCAATCGAAGTAGAGAAGCAGCCAAGAATAATTGAGCTGTGGGGATGTTCCTCAACAAAGTAAAAAAGTAAAAGGTGGCAGGTAAATATCGTTCTCATCAGTTTCCATCAGTAAAGCTTTCTCTCTACCTGCTCCTCATTTTACACGCTGCCTTTTCTTTTGTGGTTACTTTTAACCAGATGCGCGATCACCATGGCGTTATATTTGGCCAACTAACTACTCGTACATAGCTCATCTGTCTACGTGCGGCTTCCAAGTCTCACACCGCACGACATTTTCATAACAATAATAGCTGCAAAAGCATTCAGTGACGACTGTGTATGACCGAGATAGAACTACTATACTTGCTAACAACGTACCTTAATTGGGTTTATTTTTATGGCTCTGTCCAATGTTCTTATGACAATAATAGAGTTGTGATGTAGATAGCAACATCATGTTTGTGACGTACCTATTGAATAAACCACATGAATAATAATGTTATTAACAGGAACCCATATGAAGAATTGTAGTCTCGATTCAATCCCATAAAAAAAAATCTGAACGTTTCCATGTTTTTTCATTTAGCTAGTAGCTATGGGCAATGATGAAGATTGAAGTTAATGATGATTAAACATTCTTGTATATTGTGGTTTAGCTATCATATGGTTGATTCACTATATGTGGAGATCAAAGAGATAAAAGGCATTCAAGCTATACATACATGAACTATACTATATGCATGAACCATGAATGAATCATCATCAACTCCAATCCTTATAAGCAAACTTCTTGAATTGATGAGGAAATCATCATCAACTCAAAATTTTGATTGTTTGGTAACTGCGATTGTTAACATTCAAAGTGGATTTTTTTTTTATTTTGAGAATTTATTGACTAGGGATACATAAAATTTAACAGAAAAGGCAGGAAAAGAATAGCTTACAAATCAAGATACATAATCTCTCTTGTTAAGAAAGATTTGCCATCTCTACATTTTAGAGATTTGAAATCTCTGAAACTAAAATCTGATACAAAAAATAGCAAACAATATAACTTTCTAATGAATCTATTGATTCAATGATCTATGCCCACAATCCTGTTCTCCAAACGAGCCCTAAGTTCTACCCAAGCATGCAATCTAGTGCTGGGAAATGGTGCAGTTTGGTATAGACCTAACCACCGAAGGGTGCCAATTCAAATGAGAAGAGAACAATACGAAGGCAACTAGCTCTCGACCAGAACATCCACTTCAATAAGCATCGTCCGATGTTGGTAGGAGATAAGCAGGGCTGGATATACAGTATATGATAAAAATCGAGAACCATATAATTTATAGTCCAAACCAAATTATACGATCCAATTTGATACACCAATTTTTCAAACGGTCTAATCTATTTTTCCGGCCACAAATACGATCCATTCATTGGTACTAAGGTCAGTAGAGGAGAACAATATAATTGGTATAGCTGTAGCTAGCCTGTACGTACAAGAGATGCAGACATTTCCATTTACTCCACTAAATTAAAAAGCACTCATCACACTCGAATGCTGTAAGCGTGGCGGCATCCAATCCTCATTATCATTAAATAAATAGTGATAATTAATAATACTGTGCACGAGTAGTGGTGAAGTAGATAAGGAACGGAACGTTAATTGGATCATGAGGTGCTCGATTGAGAGTTAAGATATGGATTAGATTTTGGCTAAACTAATAACTAGAGCAAAGATTAGGCTTGTGATTAATGCTTTGACTTTTAGCGACGGAAAAAAAGAAACAAAATCACAACTCACGTTCCTTCACCGGCGTAGTCGATCGGCATGTAACACCAGGGGATGCACTTGACTCGGTCGATAGAGAAACAATAACAATATCATGTGTATATAAGTGTGCTTCTATCTTTTAAGATATATATATATATATGGTGCCTTCTACGGTACCCCGGGTGAAATCCGGGGTACCGCATACCTTGAGTATGAAAAAGCTATCTAGACCCCGAATTAGCAGGATTTTTGGGCATGATACTATACCCTAAACCTTAATGGGTGAACCCTAGGTCCTAATTATCTAAATCATAAACTATAAACCGTAAGATGGTGCATTGATTTTTTGCCTATATTTGGATGAATCATAACCGTCGATTATTGTTTCCAATTAAATTGATCTTGGGGTATAAGATTTAGAGATTAAGACCTAGATTTTGATCTTTAAGGGTTAGAGTATAATATCATATCCGAAAGATCAGTCAATTCAAGTTCTAGATAGCGTTTTCTTACTCAAGGTATGTGGTACCCCGGATTTCACCCTGGGTACCGTAGAACTCCTCATATATATATATATATATATATATATATATATATATATATATATAAAATATAATCAAATCATTTTTAAGGTGTGTTTGAATAGATGTATTTGAGTACCTTTATATTATTATATGTTGCACTATTGAATATGAACGGTTAAAAGTTTGCAAATAGGTTGAATATCTTGCTAGGAGAAATTTCAAATCACTAGTTGTCGATATCTTCGACTATACTTTAAATACTCGCTTTTATCTTTTGTGATAGAGTTTAATTTGTAATTCTGGGTATGGGTCATTCTTTCTATAGATTTGCAGGGGCTAATTTCCTTTGTTTTTGTGTATGGATGGATGCAATTACGATGGTTTCTCACTCAGTCTCGAGTATGAACAATCTCAAAGAAAATTTCCTTATTTGAATCAGTGTCGTGTCAAATTTTAACATAATATTTCATTTAAGAACAAAACAAACTCTTTCATTTATAATCCAATTAATATTTAATACGCGCTTCTTGGTCTTATGGCCAACTTTTATCACCTCACCGGCTGTGAACTGTGAAGTATCGGCTATCCTTTTCTAGCGAGCTTGCTTGTTATAATAATAGGTGCACATACAGGACAGTTATCAGTAATTCAGTATGCATAATTTGACCAATAAATTTATATTAATGCAAGCGGCCGAAAGCACAAAAGTTGCAAACGTAATTCCAAACAAATAGTACCAGCCACAGCCAGCGTCCGTGTGCCGACCAGGAATCGGTCGCTAGACAGATTGCATGCATATGCTGCAGCCTGCAGCCGTATTAATTCTACACAGCCGCAAAACTCCAACCACCGTTTTTGGCGCACCAATATTGCCATCTCTTGTCGTGAGAGGGGGCGAGAATATTACCGTTTTGACGGTGGCTTGCTATAAGCTTACACATTTTCGTAGTGCTTCATGCTGAGCATGTTCAATTTTGGAATTTTTATTTCATTTCAAAATGCATCTTATCAGTTAAGACCGGTTTCTTATTGATTAACCACGAATCTCTCCTATAATTAACTTATTGATATGAGTTTGTTTAAAGTGTTACACTGTAACTCAATTTATTTGGACCAAGTTTGATTCTCGACAATCATCCGATGCATGGTTCTCCTTACCTTCAAACAACAGTACTTTGGAACTTTCCCAGAATTTATGAGATAGAAAGCTTATGGACTAAAAAGAAAAGAAACAGAAAACAAGCCAAGAGTTTCTGCATCCACGCACCAACAGTCCTAGACCCACATGGGGTGGCTATACGGTCCGATTCGGTTAAATTGGCCTAAATTGATTCGGTCATGGCGGTCCGGTCTTTTCGGGATCGAATACAAGAATCAAAGATTGGATTGGATACAATCCGGTGTTGATCCGGTCCGGTCTTGACCCAGTCCGGTCCCAATTCGGTCTTCATTTTTGATTGACCTTGTGGGGATTTGAGTGGCTTGAGGCCTCAAAGGGTGAGGAGTTGGTTAAGTTTGTGTGTTCGGCTCTTTTATCCGGTCTTTATCCAGTTTTCGATCCGGTCCCAAATGATTTTTTTACCTCAAATCTAAGCCCGAACATTGAATCGGATTGTTTGCTATCCGATCCCGATCCGAGTTATACGATCCGGTTTTGAGTAAAACCAAAAAGCTCGAACCAGATAGCCCGCTCCTAAGTGGCACCACTAGCTTAATTGGCTATATCCATCATCTTCGATGGCAAAAATCCATCACCCAAAGACAGGGGCGGACCTAGGGGGTGGACACCCCTAAATTTCGGAAAAATTATTATCCAACCCCGGTGGTAATTTACGTATAGATAAAAAAAATATAATTGATAGTGAGGGACACCCCTGAAATTTGAAACAATGATTATCCTACTGTCATTTGTGTATAAAAATATAAATGGTAGGTTGGCTAATTCAAATCTAGATCACTATTATTATTAATAAACTTAATTTCCGTTGAACTACAACTCATTTGTTGTTCGATTTTGAACAATGTGTAATAGTAAAAAGTCATTCCCTATCTCTAATTATTTCAATCTAAACTAATTTCAATCTACCCTTAATTTGTATTGATTTTATGATTGTACGACAAGTGTTGAAGAGTCTTTCAGCTTTTGGTTACATCAAGAACAAGTTTACAAATCGAATATGCGATAAGTTCCTGAATGATTGTCTAGTAGGGTATATAGAGAAAAAATTTTAACACTATAAACACCAAGTGTGTATTCTACAATTATTTTCGAATATGAAAACACATCATGGACTTTTTTAACATGTACGAGTAATGTATTTTCATATTTACGATTTTATTTTTATTAATTATTTTATTTTTATTTAATTTATTTTTTAAAATAGGACATCCCTATGAAAAATTTCTGAGTCCGCCACTGCCCAAAGACCCACCCAATTCCCTCCCTCCACATAATCTTCCCAAAACCTTGTGTACGAAAAAAACAAACAAGTTGCATCATACTTAAATCCAATATAAATGTTTGTTCATGTAAGAAAATTAGGAAGAAAAAATAATAATAAAACCCTCAATTATTTTGACTATATAAATCACTCTACCACCCACCTTTCTGCCCACAAATCGTCAAAATCTCCCAAAAGTACAGTAGAGAGATCCCTAATTCCCAAAGGAAGAAAGAAAGAGAGAAAAAAAAAAAACAGAAAATGGGTTCGCTTCCTGAGGTAGTGGAAGACTGCATGGGCGTGCTCCAGCTCTTTAGCGACGGCACCGTTTTCCGTCACCAAAACATACATTTCCCCACCCAACCCGTCCACGACCAATCCGTACTCCACAAGGACTGCCTCTTCTCCGAACCCCACGACCTCCGCCTCCGCCTCTACAAGCCCGCCTCCGCCCTCAACGACGACCACCGCCGCGGCCGCCGCCGCCTGCCCGTCATCTTCTACTTTCGCGGCGGCGGGTTCTGCGTCGGTTCCCGCGACTGGCCCAGCTGTCACAACTGCTGCCAGCGCCTCTCCTCCGCCCTCGACGCCGTCGTCGTGGCGCCGGACTACCGTATGGCGCCCGAGGACCGGCTTCCGGCCGCCATGGACGACGGCGTCGCGGCCGTGACGTGGCTGCAGTCTCAGGCAGCTGGCGGCGGCGACGAGTGGTTTGGTGACGTTGACTTTGACCGTGTTTTCGTGGTGGGTGATTCGTCGGGCGGGAATATTGCGCACCACGTGGCGGTTCGGCTCGGGACCGGTTCGCTGGGTTTGGGACCGGTTCGGGTCAGAGGTTATGTGCTGCTGGCGCCGTTTTTTGGCGGGGTTTCGAGGACCGAGTCGGAGGAAGGGCCGAGAGAGGAGATGATGAGTCTCGAGGATTTGGATAGGTAATTAAAACGTTAATTTTTTTTTTATTCGTGGGCACAGATTTAATTAACTATTATATATGGACGAGTTAATATGCAAATTGGGTGTGTTTTAATTGCTAAGGTTGATAATTTGAGTTATTAGGAATTTAAGATTAACTAATTCTTGACGTGGTATGTATCAGAGTTTTTTTTACATTATGCTAATAAGCACATGATGATAAACGATCCATAACTGAACCTTTCAATAACTCGAGTTATTGAAACCTTTCAATACATTCGTTTATTGCATAAGAAGATACGGTAGTGGTCGCAACTCGCAAGCAGGTTCTGAGAATGAAATTTAAGGGTACCATAAATCAATTTGATATTGACAGGAGAAGATATAGTGCAGCCAATGTTATGATAACCCAAATGGAAAGGGAGCGTTTTCCAAAAAGGCAATATATATAGTACGATGATGAGTCTATTCTCTGGAAAAAATGGGCCGACGGAAGTCTTCAGTTAGAGCGTGCAATTTGCCACTTGATGCATGCTTTAATTTGGGTCAATCTATATTTTTGCGGACTATATCCTTCCTTCCTGTCACGATCTGTATAATTTCTATCACAGAACCGAAAAAGTTAGAGAAATTTTACAATACTATATAGTATTGTTGCTATAGGTTTTTGCCTTTATGGTACAACTTAAAATTGTACATTTACGTTATGGTATAACTTCAGATTGTACCTATACATTTTGTACAAATTCTTTTATGGTACAACTTGAACGTGTACCTTTATGTGATGATACAACTTCAAGTTGTAAAGTTGTACCATAACATAAGGGTGTAAATTGTTTTATGGTACAACCTAAACTTATACATTTAATGTTATGGTACAACTTTAAGTTGTACATTAAAGCACCAATACTATATAAAACGATAGAAGTGCTAAAAAGGTTGTCTTCATTAAAGAGTCCAAAAAAGTTTCCTGTAGAGTAGTGGAAACTGATGGAAATTACTAGTAATTATAATTAGTGGTACGTAGATTAATTTTGAACTTTTTTTTCAAACCGCAGGTTTTGGAGGCTGTCTTTGCCCGTGGGAGAAGACAGAGACCATCCATTGGCGAACCCAGTTGGAGCCGCCAGCTGCAAGAAGCTTGAAAAGGTGGACATGGATCCGATATTGGTGATTGTTGGCGAGCGTGAGCTTCTGAGAGATAGGAGCCACGACTACGCTACGAAGCTAGCCGAGATGGGGAAGAAAGTTGAGTACGTGGAGATCAAAGGAAAGCAACATGGTTTCTTCACCAACGATCCTTACTCGGAGACGTCCCATGAATTGGTCGATGTTATCAACCGCTTCATCCTCGACAATTCGAGCTAGTAAATAAAACTATCAAAAAGAAAGGCACATCGATCTTTGGTTGCATGCTATACGTTTTAATGTCAATTGTAACTCGCTAGGGACGGAGGAAGAGGGTGGGCTCACGAGGGGGAAATGGTAAGTTACGTGTAATAGTTAATCAAGTATGAAAGATAACACGTATTTAAATGAGAATAGTTGACCTTTTAAATATGTGATGTATGATTTATGAGTTGGGTATTGGCATATTCAATGTTTTTTTAACGAGTTATGTACAAAGGACAATGGTGCATATATGATCTGCTCAAAATTAAAATTTTTCTTATTCAATATCAACAATAAATTTCCACCGAATCACAGCTAATTACTAAAGTGATTCTATTTCAATTAGGGGTAGATTGAGTGTACAGGTGGCTCCTAAGGACAAAAAATTACTAAATTAGTATAATAGTTAATTGAGAATGAAACTTAGGGCACTTTTAATTTAATTGAGAATGGTTAACCGAGAGATCACGTGTTCGAATCTTGACGGCCCTATTTATTTTGTTAAGAAGATGATATTCGGATTTGCAAAAACCTTAAGCACGTATATAAGTTGGTTTTCGTTAGCAGGGAAGTGTTAGTAAATACTAAATAGTATAAGGTTCATTATTAAATCTTTCCCAACAACTCGAGTTATTGATACAAACGATCTATTGACAAAGAACATAATTCAAAAGCAAATGTCTAACGAAATCATGAATAATTATTGGGTCAATACCTTATTTTGGCCCGAACTATAACCAAACTTTCTACTTTGGTATGTGGTTTCTGAAATTACTCCCCTGGCCCGAACTATGCATCATACTTCCTTACTTGGCCCTGCGCGGGTTTTGACCGTCAAATTGGACGGTCAACTCCATTGATCGTTAGTCAAGCTCCACGTCACTTTCTACGTCAGTGAACCTGAAATAAAAATTTTGGATTTTGAATTTATTTAATTCGTTTTGTTTTCTAATAAAAATAATAATTAACAAAAAAAAATCATTCGAAAATTGGATAACGAAAATAATTCCAAAATTTTTATTTCGGGTTTGCTGACGTGCCAAGTGACCTGGCGTTTGACTAACAGTCAATGGAGTTGACCGTCCAATTTGACAATCAAAACTTGCGCCGAGCCAAGCAAGGAAGTATGGTACATAGTTCGGTCAGATGAGTAATTTCACAAACCACGGGCCAAAGTATAAAGTTTGGTTACCGTTCAGGCAAAAATAAGGTATTAACTCATAATTATTTTATATATAGAGTTATACTCTTGACAGTTTTGACATATATTTAATTTGCCAAGTTCTTATAAATACTGAATTATATCGTGAATTATTTATAAAACTAATAACTCTATTTTATTCGTATGTATTTTTTTTCTCAATAAACACACTCTAAAAAAAATCCTGACTACGTACGCCATTGATTGTAACTTATTGTATAATAACTCAGTTCTAGGAATTTAAGCTAAGCCGGACAATAACTCAGATAATATATAATTTGGAGGAAGCGATGGAAGAATCTTGAAGGTCTGTTCGAAAGGAAGATTGCTCAAAATAAAGTTTTTTCTTAGAAAGCTTGTGAATATGAAACTGAAGGCAGATCAATTATTTTTTAAACATCTAAACAATATTCCGAATATCAATACTCAAATGGCCTAACCTAATGTCTTGGTAAGCAATTAAGTGTTCTTGTGTTTGGCAATTAGGAGGGCAGAATGATACGACATTTCTAGTTAATCTGAATTGCCAAAAAATATATAACCCTAACCCGCTTCTCAAAAATCAAAATCATATGTAGTAAGGACAAACATAAGAAAGAAGATTCAACCGAAGAACATAAAAAGTATATAAATTCATAGTCTTGACACTGCAACAATAATGACTAAATCCAAAATGTCAAATCAAGATTGCACACGAGAAAATCTTGTGTTTTAAGCTTTGAAATAAAATTTGAAGTATTAGTTGAAAAATTTATTTCGAAAGAAATTATTCAGTTTGGAAAACGCTGACGAAAATGGGTATCAATAGCATCAGCTCGAATGTTGAAACTAGCACCCAAATATGAAAGTTTGGCAATTGTTATTGGAGATGGTATAACAAAGTCCAATGCCCTCAACCATATTTGGAATAGGTTGGATAGCCCGAAATTTTTTGAGGAGTTGACGTTATGACACGTAAAATATATTATTTTATACTCCATATTATGGTCAGAATTGCAAAGTTTTTCCATCTTTGTTGTCATAATAGTTTGGATTTGCTTTATATTCACTCAAGATGTGTTTTAGTAGCTCTAGGATAGCTTTTGCTATTTCGAAGTACTCTTGGTAGTGTTTAATGTGTTTTCAGGGCATAGCATCCTAATGGACGACTTTGTACATGTAGGAGAACATTAAGACTCGACTGCTAGGAGCCAGAATCGAGATTGGAGCATAGTCATAAAACGACATCAGAAAAAGCTGTAAATATCTCAAAAGGTGCTTTGGTCGCCTTTTTGAGGGTCGTCCAGAATACTCCCAAATTCGTCCAGAATATTCCATACTTGGTTGCCAAGCTGAAGAAGACCCGATTGAACTCGAAAGGAGCGACATAGACCGGCTTTTCCTCCCCAAAACTTTAATGAAAAGCCTCTAAATAGACCCTAAGGGGTAGAAGATAAAGAGCCAATGATACGAGGCAATAGTTGTCTGTTACTCTGCCGACAGAGTGACTCAAACGAATTAGAGCAAAATCGACCTAAAAGGGTAAATCAGGCCAGAAACGGCTACAGAGCCACCGATTCTCTATTATGGCTGTCGGTTATAGGATTTTCTAGTGATCTCTTTTTCAACTGATGTTCATACATAAAATCGACTTCCTCCAAGCAACAGACATCCGTAGGGTCCATTATTGTTGCCTATTAGACCTACCTTTTGCCACGACATACGGTAAAAATAGACCTTACAAGATTAAGCAACTCATATGTTGCCATGATCGAGGTTGTGAGTCCCATGAACTCTAGGGGAGCTTGCCTATGCAACGCATCACCCTCTTGCGCCCTTCACCAGCTGTAGCTTATATTTCTGTACATGCACTGTCTTTTTTTTGGTTGTGTAAAATCAAAGGGCACTTCAACCCTGGAGGAATCTCAATCTCCACAGTCTCGTGTTAAACCATAGAACTCGTCCCTCATCACCTGAGTACGTGGTTGTGAGAGACCATAGGAATACGATCCTAGTCTTCGAACGATATAAATTTGCATACATGTACTACACACGATCAGGAGTCTCTTTTTCGTTTTTTTTCTCGGATTTTGTTGGATTTGTCAAGAACCAGTTGATCCCAATAACTCGAGTTGTTGGGAGAGGTTCAATCGTGGATCATATACCACAACACTAACACGCCCCCTCAAACGAAAGCCACTCACAAGGACTTGAAGTTTGCACAGGTCTGAAGACAAGAATACCATGTGCTTAACAAATGGGGGTTACCAGGAATCGAACACAAGACCTCTCGGTCACAGAAGGCTCTGATACTATGTCAAGAACCGGTTGCTCCCAATAACTCGTAGAAGTTAGGTAATTTCCCTATTAGTGTTAGGGTTATTATAGAAGTCAGTCTCTGTACTCTATATAAACCCATGTTGTTTCAGTAATAATTCACAACAATTTCCACCGTATTCTGATATATCAACATGGTATCAGAGCCTGGTTACTGATAAAAAAAAAAAAAAACCTAAACCTCTTTTTTCTTCCTCCGCCGCCCACCATGAGTTCGCAGTCGCCTGGTTCTTCATTCCAATGCTGATTTCTTACGCCAAAATAAATTGTTGTTCTTCATTAAAAGCTTAATTTCATCTTATTCGTCCCCCACCCTTTGTCAAACCCTTGTTTCCCAGCTTTATCATCCGTGCAGATTCAAATAGCCATGCGCCCATGCCTCTGTCCCACTAGTTGGATCCAGCTTGATTATTTGCAATTGATACAAAGTCTGTTTCAGACTACGTTTGCTCGTTTTGCATGAGAAGGCTGTTCCACCGCCCTGAAATCCCCATGTTCACTGTTGCCCGTGTCTGGGACGAGAAGCTCTTTGGAAGCACTAGGTCATCCACGTTGCCAAGCAGGAGGGTCATCCAAGTCGGTTTGTCCTTCAAAAATCCAGATTCTTGATTTCGTTATGTTTTATGGTGTTGTTCGGAACACCTTGGTTAAAGATGTTGTTCGGAACATCTCTGTTTGATAAATGCTGTATGGAGCATTTTTTGTATGTTTCTTCGTTTCGATGATGCTATATGGAGCATCCTGATCGCCATGTTGCTGTTCGGAGCACGTGGTTCTGTTTCCGTTTCGATGATGCTGTTCGGAGCATCTTTATAGTTGTGTTGCTGTTCGGAGTATACATGGTTTTGTATTGGTTCGACGATGCTGTTCGGAGCATCTTTGGTTAGTTTACGTGATAATCAGTTTCTGAAGCTTCTTTGGAGGACAAGCGTTTGGAACGACTAGGCAGGTTTGGCAAGAGATCTCGTTACATCCATTAATCACCATCAACGTTTTTGTGGGGCGTGGTTATCTTCGACATTGGCGTAAAGTTTGGGAGCAGTAGTGGTTATCAGTGTCTTAGTTATAGATTTTTTTTTCTTCTTCGTTTTGTGTTAGTTTTTGTTTCGGTTTTCAAATTGTTGGTAAGTAATTACCATCAATTTGGGGAGGGTATTAGAGTATGGGTAGTACGAGTAGTATTATGTTATACTACGAGTATTGTTATGTAATTGAGCAGTGTTATATTCCTTATTAGAGTCGTAGAAGTTAGGTAATTTCCCTATTAGTGTTAGGGTTATTATAGAAGTCAGTCTCTGTACTCTATATAAACCCATGTTGTTTCAGTAATAATACACAACAATTTCCACCGTATTCTGATATATCAACAGGATTGACTGTTGAAATAAAGTTGGAATTTAGTAAGCAAGAGCTTGTAAGTTTAACAGTCAGCCTGCAATTCCTGCAATATAAATGACTTGGAAGTTGGTTTGGTTTTCACGTTCTATATGCAAGTCCTTGGGGACTTAATCTGACTATTTCAACAAACATGCAATGATGTCTTGTTCCTTTCCAGAGAGAACCTTTTTAAGATAAAAGTTGGGTTTGGCACATCATTGATCATTATTGTGAATTGTGATGAATGGGTCGTAGGGTTCCTCCCTTCTTTCCTTTTCACGGGAACTTGCTTTTCTTACACAGTATTTGCCCACCTGCCACTGAAACATTGCTGTTTGCTAGGATTTGTCAATGGTTACTTGGTTATTAAGTCATCAGTTACAGAGCACCAGTCACAATTGCTTTCCCTGTCATAAGGTTAGTTGCTTTACTTGATCGTTGGATTTAAGATGCAACTAAAAGAATACAAGAGTGTACATCTTTCGCCCTCGCATGTTAAACATATAGATGAAGATCACGAAGCGATATTAGCCCAGTACCAGCCACAAAGGGTTGATCAAGTAGTCATCTGAGAACAAAAACATCAATCTCAATCTTGGATTCAGGGCTTGAAACTCGAGTTCAACTAACAAAACGGGTTGCAAAGAGAGATGACGCTGTCCGGAATGTGGCGTAAGATCGAGAATACAATAGCCATTGCGCATTTGAATCTTACACAAATCATACAAGAATCTGCAATATACACTAGAGAGGGAGTGAGTGTTAGAAAAAAGCCAAGCACGGTGCCTTGAGCTAAAAGAAACAAAAGAATTTCCAAACAAACTAACGGCAGGGCTATTACATTTGCGCATACCCTGCTCGCACTTCTATGTTTACACCTTCCTGTTCTTTTCTCCTTTCTTTTTTCTCACATACGTTGTTCATACCCAGCAAAACAAAACTCAAGCCATGAAAGAACCCACCACCAAAATCACATATACCGATCACAAACAACACCTTCACAAATTGGATCCAATTACCCTACTTGATCCCCAAAATGTCCGTATTTGGGGAGCATTGGTAAGAGATATGTAGCTTTTACAGGTGGGTTCTTGACAGAAATCTCCAATGTTGCCTTGCTCGTGCACCTTTGTCCAGAAGCATTAACAAGCCATCGTTGTCACTTGTAGCCCCAAACATGTACCTGGAATGACCAAATTCTCTTAACATTAGCAGGAAATTAATGGCCCACTCTCAGAAAGAAACCAAACAAGATACTAAAAACACACACAGAAAAAACCAAAGAGCTTCTCTATATTCACAAATTTTGGTCTTTCCCCTCTGCTTCATGGAGAGGCATTGTGAAATTATGTTTACGCTCCCCAAAATGTGCTTTAGGTTTTAAAAGGAACGATTGTATCCAGCAGCAGGAAAATAAGTAACATTATTTCCCTGCTGCTGGAATGTCCCTGTGCGAGGAAGTCACAGGTCGAACAAATAAACTCAGCTCAACTAGACATGAATCAACTTTCACTTACCTGCTGCTTTGGCGAGCTCTCTTCCTCCAGAAGGCAAAGGATGTAACCCACTGTACATAAAAAAAATGGAAGAAACGTAAATAATTAAATGGAACGATCAATCAAGCAAATATTCTAACATTATCAAAACAGTTCAGAGCATGAAGAAATTAACACTATTAAAACAAGAGAAGCCATTTGAAGAAAAGAAAGCAGGACTACAAATGTTCCCCTTACCACCTAAAAGTGCCACTTACCAGTCTTTGATGCCTGGCAGGCAGCCAGAAGAAAGTTAATTACGGGCCAAATAGCACGAGAATGAATGAATCAAATGACAAGTAGTTTCGAAAGAACGTGGATTTATAATTTTCACAGATATAGTAGTCAATGTATCAGATCAAAGAAAAAGGCCATAGCACACCAATCATACCTTGACAACCGATACGAACTTCACGGTTCCCGCAATGGAGGTCTTCTTCACCGGTAGTCTACGTTCAGGTGTCATGTCCTTACACAACTGCTGGGCAATTTCTTTTAGTAGTACCAATTGTGCTTTGTCAGTACGCATTGAGATTAGTGACTGCCTCATTGATTCCCTGTCAGCCTCAAGTGCATGAAGCCTTGTGTATAGTTTCTTGATATCAGGATCGCTCAGGTCAGGCTGATCAAACATATCTGTTATTGGACTTGAAACATAATCTTCTTTATGATCATTTACTCCATTGTGGACAGAATCAATGGTATAAACTCTGTCATACATCTCATCTTCAAACTCTGAGGCATTATTATCTGCCTTCCTCGGAGTCTTGTGTTCTTCGGGATGAGTAACATAATCTGCCTTCTTAAAGCTATTAGGGAACTTGTATGAAGGTGATTCTGGAGCTGTATCTCTCGTTATCCCTCTCAATGAACGCGGGCTCTCAACAGAAAGAATCTGGTTATGCCTGGTCTTTCTTGGAGACTGACCAACTATCACCTTCTCCAAGATATGTTTCCCGTTTCCACCAGAAACATCAGCAGCATCCAATTGACTACTCCTGGGAGACCTCTCCATCTGGTAGATTCTATATTCCAGATTCTTCAAATGATCCCTACCACGAGGAGTTTCATTATGACGAGGCACTTCCCCATAACGAGGTGTTTCACCAAATGCATATTTCTCAACATCCACAACTTCTTCTTCATCAGCCTCAACAGCAGCTTGGTTCTCGTTCATATTGCACTTCAGTGGCGGGTAGTCATATTCTGCGAAATCAAACTGTGAACCCATATTATCGGACATGCTCTGGTTCCGGCTAATCCCACCTTCCACCTCGGCCTCTGTAAGTCCATAACTCATCATCCTATGCTTGTAGGCCTGCACTTCACAGGTAAGAGACTGAATAGCCTGCTCTCTCTTGTACAACACATCTTCAAAAGACACAAGCTCTTCCTGATCATGGGCCATCTTCTCCTCTGCAAAACGCTTGAACTGTCTTGCCTCCATCTGCACCTCGGCCTTTTCCCTCTGCAACCTCAAGATCATAGACATGGCCTCATTTGCAGCTGAGGAAGCAGCATTTCTCTCCTCTTCCAGTTCAGCATACAAATCCTGGATCGCCTGCTGTTGGCTACTGACGCTCTCTCTCAGGGCAACAATTTCGTTCTCAATTTGGATCCGTGGATTCGACACGAGATCGAGACCCGGTATAACAAAAGGCTTCCCCTCAAATTCATCATATTTCCTCTTCACAGATCTTATCCAGGGCCCAGAGGAGGAAGAGCCCGTAGAACAGCAGCTACATCCACAATTGCAACATTTGGCCAGATCCCTAGAAGGCCGAGCAAATGGTGCAGCAGCTACTTCCAAATCCATAGGCAACCCAACAACTAGAAACCAATACAAGTGATCTCACGACGATGATTAAGAACAACGATACAAAGAATGCTAGCTGACATACCAAAACAAGGCTTTCCCTAATAAATGTCTCCCCCCCTTGGCGATTGCAAGATTCTTTAACAGAAAATTTCCTTCCTTTCTTCCCCCAATCTCTACAGACAGCTCATTCCGCCCTGTGATTTAAGATGAAAAAAAATTCATTCAACACCTAGAGAAAGAATAGTACAAATTACGAAACATAAACGAAGACTACAAAACTGAACAAACATCCCGACGAACAATTGCCACAGATACGATTCAATCTCGATCGAGTATTTCCCTCTTTGCAAATACACATTCCATCAATGGCAAAAGAGAGAATTCATCATGAACCCAGACAAAAAGAGACGGAATTACCTCAGCTCAAGCCGGGAAACGAGTAATCTCCCGTAAAGGCCGAATCTTTCTTCTCTTTTTTCTTTCCTTCACTGTAAATATTTTCCCCTATGCCGGCGAAACAAAACTGAAGAAAAAACCCGAAAAGAAGAAAAAAATTTCAGGGGGTCCCCGGGGTACCAAACGAGAAAAGACGTGAGAAGCACTACTCTCCCTCCCTCCTCCAATGTTACCCGGCGGACAAAAGCTGGCCGTGCAAAAAGCGGAAAAGTAATAAAGAAGAAGGAGAAGAGCTCGAGGGGGGAATGGCGATTGAGAGAGGGAAATCGCAGATGGCGGGGAGAGAGACACAGAGGGAGAGAGAGAGAAAGAAGAGCGCGAAGGAGGAGCGAGAGAGAGGGAATTTCGAAACCCTAGATATTATTTTGGGAAATCGTCTGTTCGGTTTTTTTGTTGGTGCTGCCTAAATTTTCCGACGGCTCGGTCTTGATCTCCGTGAACTTTGTTACAGAGAGAGAGAGAGACGCGAATACAAACGACAGCCGGACAGTGCCAACGGAGAGCGAAGAAGATGATGAGGTCAGCCAGCGGAAGCGGAGTTTTTTTGGATTGCAAAAACTGAACGGATGATGACGATTGTTATTATTAACTCGTTTGATTATCTCTAATTACGATCCCTAAACCGAAAAGAAAAACTAATCACGAAATTGGTTCGACGGCTTTTTCCGGCTCAAGATAGGGTTATGCATCCATCAATAACCAAATCTGAACCCTTCATTTAGAAAATTCAGATCTAAGGATGGAGAATTAAATATCATTTTTATTTTCTCTAGCTTTTTAATCGGCTCATATCTTTTTCGTTTTAACTCGGATTTTAATTTTTTTTGCACAGGTGGAACGAGTTCATCGTGCTCTACAAAATGAGATCAATTTTAAATAATTTTTTAGAACAAAAAATTATGGCCTCTCGGTACCAACTGCATACCATATGGTATTTTCTTCATTTTTAATTCGTTTTTGAAAACGTTTGCACAGAAGGGACGAGTTCATCATGATCTATTAGATCTACAAATTTCTGGGTGAACAAATTACAGGACCAAAAAATACCACACAATACCATACAATACCACCCTGGTACGAGGTGGTATTGTATGGTATCTTCTTCGTTTTTAATTCGTTTTTGAAAACGTTTGCACAGAAGGGACGAGTTCATCATGATCTATTGGATCTACAAATTTATGGGTGAACAAATTATAGGACCAAAAAATACCACACAATACCATACAATACCACCCTGGTACGGGGTGGTATCTTGTGGTATACAATGTTAAAAGTCGTAAATGACAATTAATATATTTCTACTATCATGTATTCAACCATCCTATAGTCTTGGTTTGTTCATACCACCATGATACTTTTTTCAAACCATATGTATGCTTTTATTTCAATACCAGTCAATACCATATGGTATAGACTGGTAAAAAATGGCTCAATTTTTTTTGTTCGAAAAATATATTAAAGTGGATATCATTTTGAAGAGCACAATTAATCTGATCTAACTGTGCAAAAAAAATTAAATTTCGACTTAAAATGAGTGAGAAATCATTCGTCAAAGATTAAAGAGGGGAAAATTAAAGGCTTTCCAGGAGAGAGAGAGGATGCTGATGTCATGCTAATGTGGACGGGTTACTCATGGTTACTCACCACAAGGTTACTCACCTGATCTGCTCCCGCTTTTTCCTAGCAGCAGCTTCCGCAACCAATTAGGGGAATACTTATTAGAATCCATCAATGCTCATAATGTGTATAGGAGTCAAATTTTGAAAGATCCAATTTTTTTTATTCAATTCCATCTTTCATTCGATTCGATTTAGGTACGAATTTGGTTGAGTTATTGTTGCAAATCGTTAAAAATAGATGTTGTTCAATTGTTTTACCAATTCCTTTGTCTACATTACCTAGGATTGACAATTAGATTCGTATTGTTATGTGAAATTAAGATTTTATATATTTGGCATTCATATATATTATATTGTTTCCCCTCAATCGATGTGAATTACATTACTACTATAATTAGATGTGTGTAGTTGCATGAAATCATGAAGATATAACTCAATAATATAGAGTTACGATATTATTGTGGTGTCTCTACACTAAAAATCTATCTTTCTATAATAATAAAAAATGTTTCGTTGCTATTCTGGTTCAACACTTTCTATGAGAGGACATAGACATTATCATACCAGTTGTACGCCAAATGAGTTTATTTTATCAAAAGACACAAGGACATTGGTCATATACCAAGCACTTCTACTGTGCTATATAGTATTGGTGCTTTAATGTACAACTTGAAGTTGTACCATAACATTAAATGTATAAGTTTAGGTTGTACCATAAAAGAATTTGTACCATTATGTTATGGTACAACTTTACAACTTGAAGTTGTACCATCACATAAAAGTACAAGTTCAAGTTGTACCATAAAAGAATTTGTATAAAAAGTATAGGTACAATCTAAAGTTGTACCATAAAAGTAAAAACCTATAGCACCAATGCTATATAGCATTGTAAAATTCTTTCATATACCATACATGTTGTACTTTGAACCATTTCATTGATTTGTATCAACAATCATTTGAACGAGACAATCATATCCATATATGATACCTATTATACAATGATATTGTTCCACCTTTTATAAAGGTTGTTTTAATTTTTCCAATTGTTAAAGGTAGAAAAGAACAAAGTTTAGAGGCTAAGATTTTAGCTATACACTTGTATATAGTATCGTAACAGGAAAAGGCCGAAAGTTCTTAATGCAATTATGATTTCAATCTTTAGGAATTATAGCAAGGATTGTGGAATTAACATCACGAGGAGGCACACTACTCACAATAAATCTTGAATAACTATAGTAATCTATGACCAGCAATATGCCAAGTATATTGATAAAATGAGGCTGGAAACCCATATTGGTCAGGGATTTTATCAACATTCGTGTCCAACATTAATCTCTTTACTTCCTCTTCAACAACTAGCACACATAAATGTTCTGTTGGAGCTGGCAGCAACTGCTTTTTCAGGATTCCCTTATAAAAGTCTACTGATTCAATGATCCTTCTCTCAGGTTCTTCAATAACATTATAAAAAAACAACTAATGCACATAACCTCGATACTGGTCACCACTTTTCCCCTAACCGTCAACTAGTAGCCTAATAGTGTTTAGCTTCTACTTTGTTTTTAACAACAATAGGAATATGAAGTATTAGAATCTCCACACTTAAGTAATGTCTTTGGACTTTTAGTACCAAATGGCACCTCGACTTTCTGTAAAAACACTACTCACTAATCGTTGATTTTGAAAGTCAACTCTCACTTCAAAAGGATTCATCAATGCTTCAACTTAATCTAGTTTAAGCTTCTGATGACACACATTTTATGCTCACCGCTTTTGATGCTTCCTTTTCTTCCAATTATGCAACATATCTTCAATTGGACTTCTTGCTTCTCCACATATTTTTGGGTCATGCTTTCTGAAAAGCCCATCTCCAAAACCAAGGGAGTTGTCTTTCCACACTTATGAGCCCACCTCAGAGACAAGAGTCAATTGTAGCTTCAAATAGAGAGATTTCTTGCCGAGAATGAGAGAGTATTGCATCCTCCATCACCATTTAAGCCAAAGAGCCAATCAGAGCTTCAAATAGAGAGATTTGCTGCCAAGAGTATGAGGTATTGCATCCTCCACTACCACTAGAGCCACATAGCCTATGGGAATTCAAAACTGAGCGCTTCATGGTTGGAGGTAGAGTTGTTAATGAGCCAAGCTGTTCAGGAGCAATTCGATGTTCGAATCGATAAAAGCTCGTTCGATTCAATAAAAGCCCGACGCATCTATTAACAAGCACAACTTGAGCTAAGCCTTTGTTCAGCTCGTGACACTTGTGAGCCAGCTCGACTAAGAGGCTTGTTGAGCTCAACTCGTGAACACTCTTGGTTTGGGATCATGAGATGTCTCAACATTGTGATTAGTGGGCAACTCAATTACCAACTTATGAGATAATCGATTTAAATATTATGAATTGACTTGTTGACAATTCATAGGTTTATTAAATTGTATATCTCACATGTTTAAGTTTTTGAGTATGTGAGCAAATATGTCTCATGTGACACTTGTGAGCCAGCTCGACTAAGAGGCTTGTTGAGCTCAACTCGTGAACACTCTTGGTTTGGGATCATGAGATGTCTCAACATTGTGATTAGTGGGCAACTCAATTACCAACTTATGAGATAATCGATTTAAATATTATGAATTGACTTGTTGACAATTCATAGGTTTATTAAATTGTATATCTCACATGTTTAAGTTTTTGAGTATGTGAGCAAATATGTCTCATGTGTGATATGAGATTAGTTACTCACATGTATCATATATGGGTTTAATTTATAATTTATGTTTTATCATAGAGTTTAGCTCGAGCTGAACTCCTTATCCCAATGATAAGTCGAATAGGTTATAATAAATGAGCCGACTCAAGGTCGACTCGACTCAACTTGTTTGTAAATGAGTCAAGCTCGAGCTCGAGTCGTTTATTAATGAGTCAAACCTAAACAAGGAAAAGCTCGTTTCGACTCGGCTCATTAACATCCCTAGTTGGAGATAAGCAAGCATACTCCAAATTAACAAAATCCGCATTTCCTCCCTCCAAATCCAATACGGTTCAAAAAATTGGTGAAGCGAGCACCGAGGAAGTGGTGCAAGCGGCATAGATGCTTAAGAGGGTGGATAAGAAAGAAGAACACGTTGATCCATCCATGGATGAACTTGCTTGGAGGCACATCTTTATTTCCATTCAATAAGAAAATGGAAAGAGAAGGGAGCAAGGATGATGTTGTGAAGATTAATCAAGTCCATAAGCCTACATCAAATATCATACTGAATGCTCGAGAACTGAAACTTCACATAACCAATGAGAACCTTAGTTTCAACGAGGTATAGGGATGGACCGATACTTAGGAGCAATAGTGTAGCTTATGATGGCAAAGAAACGCGTGTTGAAAGGCAATCTAATTCCGGTCGGGTTTCTTTTTCCTTTTTGTTTTATGTTTTATATTTTAGTAGAGAATACCTATCTCATGGATGTGTGTTTCCTAATCTTGATGTGTGATTTAAACCATCTTATGAGCTTAAACGAACTTTCAATTGACCTTATTTCACCTTCTCCGCTAGTTCTTCAATGAGGTAGACTTCTTTCTATTCACTTTCACCTTGTTTTATGCACATTGGGGACAATGTGCCAATTAAGTGTGGGGTGTATAGTTACTTTTTACCAATGCTTGCATGTTACCCTGTCTTATGGTTTGTTGATTATTAATGGATTTGCATATATGCATGCTTGTTATGGTGGTGGTGAGATAATGATTGTTCATGTTAGTGATTGCTTGGAGCCTTTGATATATATGCCCAATTTTCTTTCAAATTTGAGGGCTCCAATCAACTACTTTGATTAGAATGTGCTTTATTTCTTTGAATATATCTTTCATGATTACTTGTGTTTGAGGTGTTGAGGAGAATGTAGCTCTATGAGTGAATCTATTTGAAGTTTGGTTTGCTTAATATCTCGATGTGTCCAAAAGAATGTGTTTGACTAGTGATTGTAGGTAGGTCTATATGTGTGAAAACTTGTATTCTTAGGTAGAGGTCGGTCGAACCATGCGTGCTCATGTGCTTTTCCACAACCAAGTTTAACAAAGCATTAAAATGGATTGTAGCTTATAAAATCTATGTGTGAGGCACTGATCGAGTGATGAGAGTGGAATGATTTGATGACCTTAAGGAGGCCCTCACTAGGCTGAATATAAGGCAATGTCTATTGATAATGCTCAAATTATAGTGTTCTCAACTCCCCATATATGATAAATTTCCCTTTTTGTTGATGCATCTTTAGTAGTTTTGATATATTTTATAAGGATAGTGTAACTATTTGATCGATGTGCCTAAACTAGACCATGAGTGTGTTTTTGTACTATTTCAATCTTGTTGGTGTTATTTTTTTCATTGCAAGGGTAAAATATACTCAAGAGAAATATGGACCGTGAATGGACTAGAAGGGGACTAAAATAAAAGCATGTGATACTAACAAAGATGAATTTAGACATTAGATGAGCAGTTTATGACATAGAGAAGTTATCTTGATAGTGTAGCAAGCTTACCTTTGACCATGTTCAACAAGGTCAACCAAAGTCGGATTGAGCTGAAAACTGACGAGAAACCCATTGAGCTCAAGATAAACCAATCCACTAAGATTCCACCCATTCCGAGCAAAAATAAGCTAAATTCGGAGTGCAAAACCGATGATGTTGTAATAAGAACAAGTCCAAATTTGACTAGGAGACTCCTGAAACCTTCTACAAGCTTCCCATCGAATTTGAGGCAAACTCGAGTTTGGGAAGTACAGATTTTTTGTGAGATACCACATTGGTTGTAGACAGTTTTCTTCCTCTCATTGATATCATTGTTAGAAGCTTAAGCTAGATCTTTAGATAGACGTGACAAGTCCCAAAACACACTCTACAAAGTTACTCTGTGAGATCTACTTGAAACTGCAAAGTGGAGATGACTGCGTCGAATCAAGTGGAGATGCCTTCATCAATGATGTTGCCATCTATATCTTCTATGTCTAGCTATGTCTCATATTGTTTAGGGAATTCTACGATGCTTCATGCATTACTTTTGATGATTTAATGATATGCTTTAGTTATCCTATGCTTTTATCATATATTGTATGCTTTCTTTGCTTTAATCATAAGACCATCATAGTTTGCATATGGAACTCTTCGCATATGGTATGTTTTTATCTTATACTTGTATGAATGGAATGTGAAACTTTTCATGTGTGTATGAGATAGATGTTTGATACAAGAGATCACTAAATCCTAGAATTAATTTTATGGTCCATAAAGGCCCTAAATAGCAACTTGTTATCCTTACTTCCTTGTTATGATTGATTAGTTAGCGGCTTGAAATGAAAACATGCACTAGTTGTAGTTTCTCTCGTATGTGGCGAAGCTCGGTTAGGAATGCATTATTGAAAGGGATAGGACATCATAATAAAAGAGATACATGGATGCATATCATTAATCAGTTAGTGTACATGATCATCTAAATGAAACTATCTAGACAATATTTTTAGTCAATTGGTTTAATTTTACTTTACTTGCCACCGTTATTCCGCATTGTTTAAATAGATAAAACATTGATCATACCAAGGAGCCTCAATCCATCGAATTTACTTTTCCTTGCATTACCATCTCAAATGCAAAGTAGATACCATCAAAACCCCATGGAATACGATCATGGGCATTCCTAGGATTATTACTTGGTTCATACTACAACATTGTCAAGTTTCGGCACCGTTGGCGGAGACTTTTGATAGTATTTGAAAAGAAATTAACCCCTTGTACGTGTGTGATATTTTCAAAGGTATTACACTTAAGTTTGTTTTGTACTGTAGAACTTTAACCTACAAAGTAATAGGCATTGCAAATCATACAAGAACGTGATACTAGCTAGAAGGTACTTTAAGGCTTGAACCATCAAGAATTACATGAAGAAAGATGGTTGTACCATCTCTATTCGAGTTCGACCTAGAGCATCAGATCTCGTGGCCAGCATCATCCAAAATGCATCAAGCATAGAGATAGAGCCATCACTGATAAAAATGGTGCGAGCAATAAAGAAATTCTCGGGAGAGGATGATAGAGACCAGGTGTTGCATATTAGAGAGTTGATCACCATTTGTCCATCCACATCAGAAGAAGAAGCTGAAGCAATACACCTAAAATTTGATGGAGGATGCCACTATATGGAACATACATAATGGAAGAGTGGCGTGCTTTTGGAGTGATAAGTTCTTTGATGATGGAGCTCTCTTTTGAACCTTACACCTAATCTATCACCGGCACTCCTAGACAAAGCAGTTAAATCGGGATTTTACGTAAAATCGAAAACTGGGGTAAAATCGGAATCGTAAAATCGAATCGTAGGATTTTAAGTACCATATAGAAATGAACATATAATAATATTAATAAGGTAAATAATTAATAACACAAAGACTTAAAGTGATAATTTTCAAGATTAATGTTCCAAAATCATCATTTTAATTGTTATTTAATGCGTAACTCAAAATAATTTATGAGGAAGGGATAGAGCTCATGGGGTTTGGCTCTTGTTTTTCATGTTGTGTCTAGGTAGTTTAACTCAAAGTAGTATCCCGACATCGTCTACTAAGCATAATTTAAAACTAAGAATAACTGAAATCCAATAAAATAATTAATGTCATTGGTTTGGTACAAATATATTCATTAATCAAATAATTTATTAATAATGATGTTAATTCTTACGCACTTACAATATTCTGATAATTGTTTTACCGATGAGTTAAACAAGGAGAAGGGAAAGGGGTTGACCAAACCCTAATTAGATTTTTTTTTCTTCTTTTCAAATGTTCTTTTAGTAGGAAAAATATATGAGAAGATTCCCGTCATTGCCCTTTCTACCGAAACAGTTTCGCTTCTTTTGAATTGGCTCAAGCTCCCTATTTTGTTCACATAAGATCAAAATCCCAATTTTGGTACGATTTTACGATTTTAACGATTTTAATCCCGATTTTGAACGATTTTATGGTCCACCGATTTTATAGTAAAATCAGGATCGGAATCGCTAAGTAAAATCCTAATATCCTACGATTTTACGATCAAAATCCTGATTTTGACTGCATTGCTCCTAGAAATGTTAGTGGTTGAGTTCTTCTTTATTGGTGAGTGGATACAGAGTTTTTATGTCATTACTTACCACCGGATATTGTCCCACAGGTCCTGTTGCACCTCAACCTCGCGAAAACAAGATGATGATACACGACTATGGCAATACTCAGACAAGGGAGACTTCACGCTACTTGCCATACAAATTGATATACTCAACTCACATGCCCACACACAAGTAGCCTATATGGAGGTCATTTTGGAAAGTTCCTGCCATGAAGCACGTTAGAACCTTCCTTTAGCTTCTCAACCACGAAGGGTTTCTCACAAATGCAGAGCAAAGCAGAGGCACCTAATGACACGCATCAATTGCAAGATACGAGGAGGAGGCCTTGAAACTATTATTCATTTGGCTAGGGACTCCCCATTCGCTAGTGCAATGGGGATGAGGCTTCTTGAAAATAAGTCGGACCCAAATTCGAGTCGAACTGACATCAAAGTACTCTCTATTACCTATGAGGAGTATTAACATGATTGACAATACATTGTTCGCCGGTACGTGCTAGCTACTATGGAAGAACCAGAATAGCTAGTTATTCCATTATGAGCCCTATACACAAATCCACTTTAACAACATGCATTGAAGGAAACATATCATATAGCCTTGAGAATGAGAGACGCATTTTCAAAGCTAGGGGATTCCGCGAGCGACCCCAAATCGGCTAGAAGCCACCACAACGTGATTGGGTGTGCCGCAACACAGACGACATGTGACGGCAAATCGCCAAGTCATACTCTCTCCTACAATGACCACATGTGACAATAGTGAGGGGAGACGATTTTCCTTTCGTCAAGGCATTCTCATCGAACCTAGCAGGGGGTTCGGTTACTCGTGCATAGCTGGTTGGTATTGTACAAGGGTTGAAACTCACATAGGAATAAGGGACTAGGAAAGTTGTTCTATAGATAGACTCGATCACAGCTAAGAACCTGATAAAGATTGCTACTCCACATCATCCACACTATGTGTGTGGTATAGAGATTTGATGTTGCTTATCCACCATGGCAAGTCAAGATAGTGTTCGAATCTCCACGGTCCCCAATATTAACAGTTAATTAAAGCATAAGGTATGGTGATCGTCTGTGCAAATTTCAAGCCCATGGTTTGGCTTTCATTTGAGGGGGTGTGTTAGAGAGTGACATAAGATCCAACATAACCTTCTCCCAACAAATCGAGTTATTGGGATCAACTGGTTCTTGACATAACATGTTTACCGTGAGAAAAATTATGTTGCAAACTATCTAACCTCGTTTGAGCGTTCCCTGACTGTAGCGATCAAGGTTGTCAAAATGGTTTAAGTCGTTGAGCCGGTCAAACAAGGGGGTTTGAGGTTTAATGGTCTGATCGGGGTCCGACCGGTTTAAGCCATTTTAGACGTTTTCTAAATATATGTACAAATAAGATAGTAATTAAAGATTTAATGACCGAAATAAATTTATATTACATGTTTCTATTAAAAATTTATTTTCACAAAATAAATCTACCTAACCTTCATGACCCACCCACCATCTCTCTTTCGTCGTTCATCTTCCTCTCTTCCCCCTCTCTTCTTCTCCTTATTTAGGGGTCAGACTGGGGGCTTTTTGGAGGCCGTTTTGAAGCCCAAATTAGATCGAACAGGGTCCAACCGGGGGTTCGATAGGAATTTAACAACCTTGATAGCGATCCATTTTTACGATGGATCGAGCAATACACTTTCTTACTTGCTATATTTACTATTTAGATCGAGTTGGGGATCTGACCCACATTTGGTTTAATGAATAAAGTTTGGGCCTCCGTTAGGCGCTCTATTTTAAAAGAAAAATGTTTTGTTCAAGCGTTCAGCTACCCAGGCACGTCCCAAACAGTCGGCCCATAAAATGCAGTTTTGAAGCTAGGGCCGTCAGAACTGATAAATTCAACCAAAAAAACCTTTCCGTTGTTCGCCAACGGCCGCCATTACAGACGGACAGACACCCTTCTCCCGGCCGAGCTGACATATTCGTCCCGAAAATTCGTCGGCTATGTTGAGCTGCCGGAGGACACTGCTGTCTCAAGTCATAAAGAAAAAGAGGCAGGCAAAGACCAAAACCAGAAGAAAGAAAACCCTCCCCTCCAAAACAGCCGCCATTTCCAAGCAGCAAGAAGTAGAAATCCAAGATGAAGAAGGAGAAGAAGGGTTTAACCTCAAGGTTTCAGCTCCCTCACACGCCCACGGCGTCCAGCCGCTCGGGAATTTGTACCTGAACCCAGGCTCTGTCAACTCGAGGAACACCGGCTTAGGCAATCTCCAAATTTTGTCCGATGAGCTGGTTCTCGACATTCTAGGGCTGCTTGGTCCATCCCAGCTGGGATTTTTAGCCGCTGCGAGTAAATCTCTCTATATTTTCGCCAATCACGAGCCTCTATGGAGGAATCTCGTTTTGGAGGAACTGCAAGGTGGGTTTTTATTCAATGGGTCGTGGAAATCTACTTACATTGCTGCTCGTTACTCATCTCTGTCAACTTATCCTGATGGTGCGAAAATGAGGGTTAGGGATTTTTACTCGGATTATCTCTTCCAGAGCTGGTTATGTGCTAATCTGGAAATGAAACCTGAGTGGCTTCAGAGGGATAACATAGTTAGAAAGAAGGGAATTTCGGTGGAGGAATTCGTGTTGAGCTTTGAGGAACCGAATAAACCGGTGTTGTTGGAAGGATGCATAGATAATTGGTCTGCTTTGAAGAAATGGGATAGGGATTATTTGATTAAGGAATGTGGAGATATGAGGTTTTCAGTTGGTCCAGTGAAGATGAAGCTTGAAGAATATTTCAAGTACTCAGATCAAGTGAAGGAAGAGAGACCATTGTATCTCTTCGACCCTAAATTTGCTGAAAAGGTTCCTGTTTTGGCTTCAGATTATGAAGTCCCAGCTTACTTCCAAGAGGATTTGTTTAGTGTTTTAGGCAATGAGAGGCCGGATTATCGATGGGTAATAATGGGTCCAGCAGGGTCTGGTTCTTCATTCCATATTGATCCTAATTCGACATCAGCTTGGAATGCAGTGATCAAGGGTTCCAAGAAATGGATTTTGTTCCCCCCAGATGTGGTACCGCCTGGTGTACATCCAAGCCCAGATGGGGCTGAAGTGGCATGTCCGGTTTCTATTATCGAATGGTTCATGAACTTTTATGGTGCTACCAAGAAATGGCAGAAGAGACCTGTCGAGTGCATCTGTAGAGCCGGGGAAGTGATCTTCGTACCAAATGGATGGTGGCATCTAGTTATCAACCTGGAAGAATCCATTGCCATTACACAGAACTTTGTCAGCAGGTACATCTTTCTATATCTTATATGAGAATTGAGATGCATTGCAACATTTTTTTGGTAACTGACAAATTGAGTGCTGCTACTGCATAAACTGGCGAGGGAGTGTTCTTATTGACTTCCAAAACTTCATTGAAACAAGGGCTTCCCATTACATTGGTCCCCTGGATTTATGTCCCTGTGAACTAAAATTGCAGAACGAGGTACCAGAGTTGGTTAGCTGACCTGTAACGAGCCAACGTGACTAATAGAGCATTTTAGCATTGTGTATCTTTATATAGTTATCCTTACTTAATTATTATTTTGGGACTATGCGGGTTATTTAATAATCGTATTTGTCTAATTAGATTAAGATTTCTTATTGATAATGGTTTATGTTTAGTTAATGTCTCTTGTGGGTTAAGAAAAGGGAGTTCGAGTAGGAGAAGGAGAGAGGCTGAGGCCTAGGATGAGAATGAAAGAGATCTGAGGTGTAATTCTACAAATTCGTGTTCGAATTATGGTTAATAGTATGAGAAGATCGGAACCCAGTTTAGTTTTCTTGCTTCCCTTCTTCCCTATCTTTCTTTCATCTTATTCTCTGTTCAAAATTAAGGAGATCTTCTACTCGAAAATTTCGAGCCATTTGTCTAGTCCGGAGAAGGAAGATACAGTACTTTACATTAGCACTCTTTAGTTTCCCTTAGCCTTTGAGGCACTCAATGACATCTGGGTGGCATACCTTTTTGTTTGTACGGTGACTAATCTTTGAACTTTAGAAGGGTGGATAAGTTGATTAAGGAACACATTCGTTTATCTCGTTTGCATTGGGCAAAGCTATTTCCTACTTTCTCGCAGTTTTCTCGAGCAAATGTTCATATGGTTGGTGCTTTGAGCTCAACAAGGTGATCGTCCTTTATTTGCAGGCGGAATTTGTTGAATGTTTTAGATTTTCTCAAGAGACCTAATGCAAGCGAACTTGTGTCCGGAACAAAAGACAGGGTGAACCTTCACGACAAGCTTAAGAATGCCATCGAGGCAAATTTCCCAGGAACTATTGACGATTTGGTGGAGAAGGCAGAGGAAAAGAAGGCCCAACTGAAGAAAGTTTCGTTCTGGGACTCAGTCTCGGATGCTCAAGTTGGTGCCTTCAAGTTCAACTTCTGAGAGATTTTCGGTTGCATTTTCAGTCATGCAAAGAAATGATGCGGCAATTTTGACATGAGTTTTGAACGGCAGAGGCAGAAGCCTGTACTGAATTGTAGTTGTTTCTTATTTATTGATGAACTATTGCTGAATGTATGTGGTCTTCCATGGCACTCTTCCGAATGCGTCATGTCTGTCTCTCTTCTGAATTGCAGAACAATTGCTTCAATGAGGCGATAGAGCTCTTTCGCCTTCTTCAATCTCAACGAATGCAAGCTAATGAAACAATAATGGTCAGCGTGATTGCTTCCTGTGCTCATATGGTCGCTTTACAGACCGTGAGCAGGCTCACGAGCATGTTGTCAGTAACAATATCTGACCTTAACGTGATCCTCACAACTGCTCTAGTTGAAATGTATGGACGCAATTGATAAAAGCCCTCCAAGTGTTCAACCCAATTCCGGAGCAGGAAGCTGGGATAACCCCTTGTGCATCATGTTTATCGCAGTTCTCTCAGCTTGCAGCCATGGAGGCTTGGTGGAATGAGGGCAAGACATTCAACAACATGCCGAGAGGTCATAATATAAAGCCTTGGTTCGAACACTATGGCTGCATGGTCGATCTACTCAGTCGAGCTTAGAAACTAGCCAAAACTGAGAAGTTTGTTCTTGACATGCCAATCAAGCCCAACACACCGATTTGGTGCATTGCTCGGCGCCTGCAAGTTACACAGAGATGCTGACTTGGCTGAAGGGTCAGCAAGATTAGGATTGAGTTGTAACTCGAGCACAATGGCGACTAGCCTACTACCTACTGTTGTCCAACATCTATGCTGGGCGAAACATTGGAGAATGTGGAGAAGATGGTGGTGATGAAAGAGAAGGGAGTAAAGAAAGCTCCTGGTTATAGCTTGATCGACATGGATGCTGGGGTTCATAGATTCACCATAGGAGAGAAGACTCACTGGGATTATGCACTCTTTGATGTAGAAGAAGAGAATGAAAGTGTTAAATATCATACAATTTAGTATCTAATAAACTTAGGGGTAGTTTGCTTGAGGGTTTTGGTCATGAAAATATATTCATCATGGACTTGAACCGAAATCTATCGTTTGCCTTACAGCATGTTTGGATTGACAAAAAAGTAAGGAATTGGAATTCCATTTCCAATTCCATTTCCATATATTATGTTTGGAATAATAAAAAGGTTGAGAATTGAATTCCAATGGATCTAAAATATGGGAATTACAATTCCTATCAAAAGTGATAGGAATTGGGAGAATGAAGATGGAATTAGTGGGACCCATCAATACTTTTTATTATTTTGTTGACCCACTATCATTTTACTCTCTTTCTCTCTCATTCATATTTCATTTCCCAAAATAAAACAAACATATTACATTATTCATTATGGTTAAAAGTGCAATTCATTTCCATAGTTGTAGGAATTATACCAAACACTAGAATTGGAAATGAAATTCTATAAAAATAAAAAATTGAATTCCATTTCCATTTCTTCCGGAATTGTATCCAAACAGGCTGTTAGGGAATTAGGGAGTAGGCTTGGCAACCCTGACCGACCCAGCGGGTATCCACCCGAAACCCGCCCGAATTATACCCTAAAAATCCGTCCGTTGTGGGCTTTTGGCGGATTCGGATTTACCCGAAACCCGTGGGTCGCGGGCGATGGGTGGGGACGGTATTAGTGGTATCCGCCCCCGCCCCGAATCATAAAACGACGTCGCTTAGACATCGTATATAAACCAAAAAACGAGCCCTGCAAACCCTAATCTCTCATTTTCCACTCTCTGCCGTCCCAAACGACTCCTCCCATTCCTCTAATCTTCCTCTTCGAGAACCTCCCGAAACCCTAGCTTCTTTCTCTCCATCGAATCTCCAAACATCTAATCCGCTCAAAAATCTCTCTGTTCCCCACGATTTCCTCCCAATCCAGCTTCTTTATACAATTATGATTGCCTACTGGCAATCATTATCTCTCAATTTGGCCAATTGGATGCTAGTTTTGCCGGCGATTTCGTCGGGAAACAGCATGCAGAGCCCTAAATTGCCCGCTGCAATCTTCGATTTGCAGCTATTGGGGGAAATCGACGTGATATCGCACATCGAGCGAGATAAGTTCCTTCTCCCCCTTTTCCTTTCGTATTCTGCTGCACTTTCTTGCCTTCTTCCTTCTTCTCGTATATAAATTAACCCCTCGATTAATTTCAGGTCACTGGTCAGCCTTCTTCCTTAAACCCATTACCTGCACTCTGCTCAGAGCACAGTCGAGGTAAGCACAAACTTAACCCATTATTTTTCCAGATTCATGAGCTGTGTCTATCATTCGATGCATGCATGCTAATTTTCTTTTGTTTTTTTGGCTTTGTTTGGGAGTTGTTTAGCTTCGCATTCGAGGCATCAGCTGTGTCTATCATTCGAGGCATCAGCTCAGTGCTCACCATCTGCAGTCTGGTGAACAGAGTCTCCCTCAGTCCCTCTCCAGATTACAGGTAACTTCCAATTGAAGACTTTCCTTTTTTTTATTGGTCCAATTCAACTCTCGATTTAGTCGATTGTAATTTGTATTGTGTGTTGTGTGATTTGTCTGGGTAGTTTATAGTTTTGGTTGATTGATTGAATGCAATTATTTAATTGTTTATGTAGATGGATGGTGCTACTGAAAATTGTGCTTTGAATGCGAATGATCCTACTGTGCCTTCTAATCAAAACGGTAATGGTAATGGTAATGGTAATGGTAATGGTAATGGTAATGGTAATGGCAATGGCAATGTTAATGGTAATGGTTCTGGGAATGATGCTAATGGTTCTGGGAATGTTGATAATGGTTCTGGGAATGATGCTAATGGTTCTGGGAATGAAAATGTTGAAATAATTCTGGCTGAAGATCGTAAATTGACTTCTGATGTCTGGCCACATTTTGTGAGGGTCAAGTTTAATGGGGAGATTAAAGCCAAGTGTAAATACTGTCGAAAACGTTTAGGTGGTGATACTAGTAATGGAACCTCCCACTTGAGGAACCATTACAAAACTTGCACCCAAAGAAAGATACATGATGGTAGGCAGAGAGTTATTGGTCCTGATTATAAACCAACTGGAAAACCCCTCCTATCTTGATAGAAAGTTGTCCTCGATTACCTTGGATAACTGTACCACCAATGATGCCATGATTACTCATATGAAAACTAAACTTGCTATTGATGATCTGTTGTTGGATGGTGTGCTGGTTCAAATGAGATGTTCTGCTCATGTTTTGAATCTCATTGTGAAAGAAGGGTTGGAAGTCATCAAAGATGGCATTGAATTGGTTAGAGATAGTGTTGTGTACTGGAAGTCCACTCCTAAGAGGGTACAAACCTTCTTTGAAACTGCTAAGCAGCTTAAAGTGCCTTGTGAGAAGCAACTTGTGCTTGATTGTCCAACTAGGTGGAACTCCACCTATGATATGCTATCTACAGCCATTGTGTATAGAGATGTTTTCTCTCGTTTGAGGCAGTGGGATAGTCAATACACCACTGTCCCTACTAGTATGCACTGGGAGTTTGCTGCTATGGTCATTGATAAGCTGGAAATTTTCAGTGAGATCACAAAGCTGTTTTCTGGCAGCAAGTATCCCACTGCTAATTTGTTTTTCCCCAAGGTTTGTGATCTGAGACTGAAATTGTTGGAATGGTGTGCTGATACCAATTCTCTTATCTCGGCTATGGCTGAGAGTATGTGGGAGAAATTTTCTAAGTATTGGGATGATATACACTTGGTTCTCGCTGTGTCAGTGGTTCTTGATCCTAGATACAAGTTGCATGTGATTGAGTATTATGCTGCTAAGTTTGGCAGTACTAATACTGACTTGGTGGCTGATAAGATTAAGCAATGTATTTGTGGTTTGGTGCTTGATTACCAAACCAAGTCTGAGAGGAACAATTCTGGTTCTTCAACTGCTTATGATAGTTCTTCTACTCCTGCAAATGATGATCTTGATTTTGAACTGTTTGTGAGTCGGAGGAAAAAAAGCAAAGCAACTCTGGTCCATACTGAACTGGATCACTATCTTCTTGAGGAACTGATTCCTAAAAGGTCTCCTGACTTTGATATACTGATGTGGTGGAAACTGAATGGCCTTAAGTACCCCACTTTGAAAGCAATTGCAAGAGATTTCTTGGCCATACCAATTACATCAGTGGCTTCTGAATCTGCTTTTAGCTCTGGTGGGAGGTTAATAGACCCTCATCGGAGTAGATTGCACTATGATACAATAGAGGCAATGATGTGTACCAGAAGTTGGATTATGGAGGAAATGCAACAAGGTAATCTGCAATTACTTGTCTTTTTCATTAAAATGTTAACTTGATTGAATATTAATTGTCTTTTTCATTGTTTTCTTCAATCTGCAGAATCATCGAAGGCTGCTGAAGAGGCAATGGAAGGGGTGTTCTCTGCTCTAGCAATTTCAGATTCCAGTACTGAAGATCAAGACGAAGCTGGTAATTAGTTCAATTTAGATTGGTACTTAGTTTGATAGTTTCAATCTCTAACTGTAATTTTTTATTCTTACAGTTCAGGGGGGACTTGTGATGAGGAAGCATCTAATATCCCTAGACGACTGATTTGTTCAATGCAATGAAAGGTTCAAGGTATTGAGCTAGACTTGAGCCTTTTAACTTGTTCAATTTAAAAGTGACTTTCACTTATCTAACTGTGTTTAAGTGACTTTCACTTATCTAACTGTGTTTGCTACTCTGTTTCTTGCAGTGATTGCTTTTCATTTTTCAAGGATGAATGCTGCTGTTGAGTGTTGAGTTGGTTTCCAGCAGCATAGTGTTGCTTACTTTTTGGAAGAAAAGATCAAAGGAACTCGTGTGTGCTATTAGTATAGGTTTTAGTTCGATTTATGGATGATGTTATTGGGGCTGTCTGCCTTTGTTTTTTATCTCTTCCTTTTGAGTTTTGAACTTGAACACTAGTGTAGTGAGGAACATGTTATATGGATTTTGGGTGGTGGGTTTTGGTTGCAGCAGCTTGTTTGGTTGCTGCAACCTATCACTTTTGTTTCATTGTTTGAACAATGAAGATCTGGGTGTTGGGTGGTGGGAGGGTTACAGCCCCAGATCTTCTCTTTTGTGTTTTGAATTTATGTGCCTTGAACATCAAGGTACTTTGAAGTTTGAATTTCAGGAATTTTTTATTAGGTTTTTCCTTTTTTTTGTATTTTTCTCAGGATCCGTGGTGATCCGTGGTTTACCCGAATCCGTCTGGGGACGGTGACGGAAACCAAACGCGCCCCGACAAAGGGACGGGGACGGGGACGGGGAAATCCGTCAGCCTTGACGGATGGGTAACGGGAACTAGCTACCCGTCCCCGATCCGCCCCGTTGCCAACCCTATTAGGGAGATGGAATTTGTGGGGCCCGCCACTTTTGGGGTTCCAAATCCGTGGACCCCACGGACTTGAAAGTTCCACCTCTTGAGGTGGGATTGGGGTGATGGATTAAAATCCATAATGGTAAATTACCTTACTACCCTTAATTAATTCTTTAATTACAAATTTGTCCTACTTTAATTCAATGGTCATGCAACTGTAAACTTTTATAATAGTAATACATTTCTATATTTGTAGTTGAATTATTAATCCTCATAGTGGTAAAGAGTTTAAAATTTATTTCTATGTTTTGGATTAGTTTTAAATGAAAGATTTGGATTATAATATAAAAATATAATTAAATAAGGATAACTAGGTAATTTGTATTTAATATCCACAAATCTAATCAAACAAAGTCCATAATCAAATCCATCAAGCAAACAATAGACTTGTTCAAATCCATAATGCCACCAAATCCATCATATATTCATGCTTTTCCAAAACCCAGGTTTTACCAAAACCCTCATTTTTCAAATACATGAAGCAAACCACACGTTAATCAACCTTGTCATTCTCTGCGATTTGGAAATGCTTCCCTTTTACTTTCTCATACAAAGGTTTGCCAAGATGGAATTGTTGCATCACATGTCAAAAGAGTACGACTTGCACTTGCACCAATTCGTGCCTGAGTTGCAGCAACGGCACGAATAATACAAGGAATGAGATACAGACGTACGCCTCGCTTGGTGAAACCAAAACCGAAGAACTGACAACAGCAATATTCTCTTCCCTTTTTTACTTCAAAAGGAAACATCTCATGCTGGTGAGAGGGAGGCCAAGTATGAATTATCCCTATACTTCAACCCTGTTATAAAGCCTGAGCTCACGCAAGGAGCAACAACTGCTTCGGCCAAGCCCAAAGCGCTACTACTATCACTTTCTTGTACGGTTTCTGCATCAGATTTGGATTCCTCGACAACTTTCTCAATCACAACATTCAAGCCAATCGAAGTGGGTTCCGTAGCAAAGCTGCAAAATAATTATCAATGAGGAATGTGAACAGCAACTATTTCTAAGGATGTGCCTGCTTTTACGCAAACCTAGAAAGGCATACGGGAGAGAAATGAGGGTGTAATCAACTAATCATACCTCGCCTCGAAGTTGGTCGCTTCACAGCTCAAGAGGGCACAAATGCGGCTAACAATCCATGGAGGGATAAATGTTCCCTTTACTTCAATGATTGAGCTGAGAGTGACATTTGAGCCATCTTTAGGGGATGCTGCAGTATGGTCAGCTCTCTTCATATCCACACAACTTATCTGTAAGAGAGAGAGACTGGTTCTTAGCAAGTACAAAGCAAAGAAAGTATGAGAAAGGATGCGTTGATATGAAGAAAGAAAAGTTCATAGACTGCTTGACATTACATAAGAGGAATGCTAACCTCTGGAGCTGAAAGGGAAGCATTTGGAAATGGAATAGGTGAATAAAGTAATGGAACGTCCACTCCAGACAAGAGGGTCAAGGAAGATCTGTCAAGTAGGAAAGGAAGTATGATACTTCATCGAACGAACTTAACAATATATATCTCTCTCAGCTGCAAACATAAAGTACACCCACCTGTAATTTAACAGGAAATCATACAGTCCCTGCACATGTATCTTTTCCTTGAAGGCCAGTAAGGATTCTGGAGTATTATCAACATTGTCCAAGGAACTAAGATTCCGAACCTGCATAGATTTAAATGAGCAATAAAGTAAATTGTCAAACTTAATATCACCACATGGCACAGATAGGGGATTGCATTGAAACTGCAATTCTGTTTTATGTTTAAGTTAGCAGCTCATCAAGAACCAGGGAAAGTTGTCCAGTAAACAGACAAAGTGTTGGGTGTTGAAATACGAAAAATGATGACAACCTGGCCCAAGTTTTCCCTCCTAATCGCTGCAAGCTCAACCAGATGTTCAGTGGCAACCTGCTCCACTTTGGAATGGCAAAGTGGCATAGAGAAGCATACATCCTACATCAAAACCAAAGTAAACTATTCATTTTTTTTTTTTTTTTTGGTTCCTTTACTGCAACCATCTCCACTGAAAGTAACAGGTTCCACCAACCTTGGACATGTAAAAGAAAAACATTTGCGCACTGACAGTAAAATCAGGTCCAAAATAATCTCTGAATTGTTATGAAATGAAAGATCCGAAGTGCTTGAGCACAGCCTAATTATCATTCGATTTGGAGCAGTTTAATTCCAGAAACTTCCACAGGGTTCGGATAGAGAACGCATAACGATCTGAGTCACTACCAAAAGGACAACAAAAAACAGTCTAGATAGGAAATGGATCTCCTATTACAAGATGCATGGCAATTACAACTTCCTCTGTTAAAGTCAATGGAGGTTTTGCTGAGCATGCAAGAAAACAAATCCCCAATGGTTGATAGAGGATTCACTGAGCATGATATGCAAGATTTTTAGAAACATAGAAATTACTTTGACATAGAAGAACATATATCAGGCCTGAAACAGGAGGAAGAGAATGAATATGTCGAAACAACGATGAGTTTTAGGAAAGCATGATTACAATTTCAGGATCAAGTGATGCATGGAAAGCACAAAAACTAGGCTACAACTGATTATACCAATTTGAGCAGCTTATAAAGATATACAAATTACAGTGAAAGAAATAACATGGAGTGAAAATATCGTACATGTTCTCTTAACAAAGACCTGACACTTATAGTTGATTGCGAGATGTAGGCACTGCACCCCAAGCCTCCAGCATTGGTGAACATCACCACGAAGTGTGATGTACAAACTACACAAGTTTCCAAAAAAAGTGGAGAAGTTTAGAATACAGTCATGGCATGTCATCACACGATGATAATATAGTTTATACATGCAGCATGTTTCATCGCCACGCGTACATGTTCAGATCCAAGAAGAAAAAACCTTAGATAAAGCTACATGCTTTACTTCCTAGGTAGTTCATAATTTAAGTCATAAGGAAGATACAGCCTCACACAAATAAGGGGAACTTACCATAGAAAATGCTGCAAATGTTTTTGCGAAGTAAGTAATAGAGACTCCGAAATGAATCCTGCCAAGCCATTTGCCTTTTTCTAAGAAAATCTATCAATTGAACAGAAAAACAAACTTCAGCACAAGAAAGAAGCAATTAATAGAAGATATGTGACCAGAAACATTTGTATGACTAACCTCCATCAGCAGCTGATGAAGACAATACTGAAATGACAGCAGGTGGTAGTGTAGACTGTGGATAAACCCAAGAATGCAGAGATTTAGGGCTACACAATTGGGAAGTTAAGGTTTGCAATGGGCTACTGATATCTACAGCACAACCCTGTTGAAATATGAACTGTGGAGTGCTATTGTATGTGCTGGACACGATCGACCTATGAAGCCTGAACATGTTCAAAAAGTTGGGAATAAAATGACTTTCTGATAAAATCATTCACTTAGGTGAATACAATGCACCATTCAGTGAATAACGGTACATCTGTACTTACCCACTCACTGAGCAAGCACACAACAGTCGCATTTTTGTTTTCAAAGTAAAATCAAGAGGAGGTTTCTTGCCAGGTATGCAACACTCTGAGCAGAAATTGCCAGAGTATTGGCCAGATTTCCCAGATGTATCAGTATTTAAACGGGAATGGCCTGCAGGCTCACAGGCAGCCAATCCTTTCAAGGCCTTATCCTATAAAAATATATGGAAACGACTTGTAAGAATATTGCACTTCTAGTTACCATAGCAAAACAGGAATAAAACAAAATCATACCATGTCAACAGCTGCAAGACCTGAGGACTGTTTCCCATATGTCGAAAGCTCAGCAACAGTACGGAATATACTCTGACTACATTTTTCACTTGTTTGGTGAGCTTTTGTGCTACAATCTGTTGAGACATCCGCATGAGCTACAGGTTTCTCCAAACTGAAAGGAGAGTGTAGGATACATTAAGTCAGATCACATCCAACTTCCATTAATATGAAGTCAGGTCGAACATATACCATGTTTCCTGTCTCTTTGCTGCCAAATTAGTAAGAGTGGAAAGATTCTTCAGATTGTTAAGTTGCCCCGTCGATTTGTTTTCCTGCTTTTGAAACAAACTCAATAACACAGGTTACAATCTTCCGCAAACAAAGTTCTAAGCAAAATGGATTCACTAGAATCACCTGTACTTTCTCTTTCGCGGGGAGCATCCCCAATCTCGACTTTTTGACGGGGTACACTTCATCCAGGCGAGTATCAATATACTTTGGATTTCTGGACACTTCAGGTTTCTTTATCCCGTTTTCAACAGGGTTGCTGGGACACGATTAAGTGATTGCACATGAATCAAAACCCTCAGAATGAAAGATACTAATAGACTTAAGCAGAAGATAAGTTGGGAACTCACTTGGTTTTCCCAGGCATAGATAGCTTAGATTCCCCCATAAGCTCAGCTAGACTTGTCCTCCTCAACTGCTCTCGCTGCAGTTCAAAAGAAAATGTTTGACCATAAGACCTCCTAAACTGAACCACCAGATGAACTAAGCATTTGGCGCCTATTAAAGCTTAAAAGACCCGAACTTTGAACAATGATAGGATGAATCAACAACAGGAAACATACCCTGAGGTCAGACGGCGTCTTCCTCTTGGCCATCGGACCAACATTTAAAGGACCAGCACCAATTTGCAGAGAATTTGGAGGTAAAGAACCAGGCGGCGCCACTTTTGCCATAAAGAACTCCGAATCACTTCACTGCAAATCGTCCGCCACGCAGCCCACAACCTAATAGGTTCAATGAATTCTCAAGCGGGAAATCCAGCTAACATAAGAGAAGCTAAAAATGTTCTTCCGATAAATAACATCCAAAGAGTTCCGAAACCTAGGGTTCCGGTCGATCGATTTCCGATCAGGATTGAGAGAACCGACGACGAATCGAGCCACCGTCGGGCAAGCGGCAGCGATGCTGGCGGCGGACGAGATGAATCTGGAAGGAGAGGGAGAGGAGCGGAAGGGAGGAGGGAGATGTAAAGGCAGAGAGTGGGAGAGAGAGAGAGAGAGAGAGAGAGTGGGAGTTGGCTCGCTGGCTCCCTCGCGGCAAACAACAAGATGAAATCGAGGGAAAACACTGTGCGCAATTGCTTTTAGGTTGTGTTTGAATAAATTTCATACTTTTTTCATTTTCCCTCCTGTCTCTAATGACGTTAGTCTCGAGCCGTTAAACGGACAGTTGATTTGACGGGGCCGTCGACGGTCATTGGTCAGTCAGATCAGACCGATTTGGTTATCTGCTGACGAGCGCACAGCGACGACGTCGTTGCGCAGATTTTTTTTTCTTCTTTTCTTAAAACAAATTATTACCAAAAAAAATTTCTAAACAAATTTATTTTAATTTATTTTTTCATCAAACAAGATAAAGGATGACATTGGGACGGGTCGGGTTGGGTCGGGTTTCTCTAACCCATATCCAATCAAGCGGATGTACTCATTTAAAAATTCGATAAAATATTAATTGAATTTTAGAAGTGAAAACTCAACCCAACGAATACCCATGGATCTACGAACTTAACTATTTATTAATTCCTCAAACATCCACATCATAATGCATGAAATATGGATTGTGAGTCCTTTTCAATTGTTGGTAAATCTGACTGGTCTCATTTTCATTAACATAATTAGGGGTGGAAATTGGGGTGGGTGTGGTTACCCACCCCACATTTTGCGGGTACCCACACCCACAAATTTACAATTATGCTACCCACAACCCGCATCGCAGTGGTTAGTGGGTAACCACTACCCACTGTGGGTTTGTAGGGGTTAGGTGTGGTTACCCGCAAAAATCCATCTTTCCAAGCATATAGTTATAGTCGCCACTAACGTATTTGCTGTTCGTAACTAGATTATAGTGATATACACTTGTGTTGTTCGTGGAGATACAATTTTGTACATCGATCTTACTCAATGTGGAGATTTTTTCTTTTGAGTTTGGTATTCAACTTTTGTGTCCGTGAGCTGTGATTTCATATTTCCCCGACTAGGGGTGAAATATGACAATTAAATATGATCTTGTATTTTTTTCGCACAAAAGAAAAAACATACTAATAAAAGTTATAAAAGGTGTTCACTTTTAATGAATTGATTATTCTCCACTCTATAAATTATAGTGTTTTATAAACTAAAAAGTTCTTACATAAAACTGATTAGGTGTGTCTTTCTTATTTGGTGGCTACTTTAATTTTTATCCTCGCACTTTTCACATACTATTATATTATAAAGTTAATTCACTAAATAAATATAATTAGTGTGGTTATTGTGGATTTTGTGGGTTATCTGCGATGGGTAACCACTAACCACAAAAATCGTTATTCTACTACCCACTACCCACAACTTGTGCGGGTTGGTGCGGTTTGCGGATTATCCACAACCCGCAACCCAAACTTCCACCCTTAAACATAATCAAGGGCTTACAAACTGTGAATGCACTTTTGGGATTTCACTCAAAGTGGTATGAAAATAGGTGTTGTTGCTAGTTTCCCCTTATTCTACAGTCCGTTGAAGTTTATTTTCTTCATCTCGATTCCTTACAGTCAATGTTATTAAGACCAAGTCGGCCGGTCAGACTACTAAGACTGCCACCCGGCTCGCACAGTCATTTAGCTGCAACGGCTTTTTGGAGTGGTCGGCGAACGGTCGAGGCGGTTAACCGCTCAAGGTGATCGCTCCGCTTTTCTCTTCCGGGCATTGGGTTTAATTAAAAAAAAACATTGAAAATAAAATAATCGAATACTGAAAGGGGAAAACGTCGGGTTGTCTGGAAAAAAACATAACTCTAATTCATCTCATTCGTCTTCGTGCAAACTGAATTGAGAGAGGATATCGACGCTTCCCTCCGCCAATCCTTGTCGTCGCCACTTCCCGTCACCATTGCCAGTCCCCGTAGTCGCTCCCCGCTCGCAATCGCCATTTCCGGTCTCCATCCATGCTTCCCGTAGCCGCTTCCCATCGTCATCGCTAGTCCCGTAGCCGCTCCCCAACATTCGTCCTCTCAATGCCTACTCCTGCTCTGGCCGACGCCACCTCTGCTCGGCTCCTCAATCAGCAACATCTCCCACTGCCCTGCTCGACGCAAGGTAAGGTAATGGTAATTTGAATTTCAATATGTGATTTCTTTAATTCTTTGGATTTCAATGTTTGATTTCTTTTGTTGGGTAGAGAATAGCATAATAGAGATTATCAAAATATTGATTCGGTGTTTCTTTTGTAGATGAGTAATCCAAATTTAGATAGTGGTACCCAATCAACAACACCGAGCTCTACTGCTTCAACTGTGCAAGCTGGTAGGACAAAGAACGATCCAACTTGTAATTGCGTTCAAGAAATCAAAAATGATAATGGGAAGGCAAAGACACTTAAATGCACTTAAAAGGAGGAGAGATTCATGGATGAAATAGCATATTGCTCATTATTTAAAAGGTAATATTGTGAAATGCTCAAAAGTTCTATATGATGTGCGTGTGAGGTTTTCCAATATTCTTAAAGAATATGATGAAAAGAAGGAAGGGAAGAAGAAATCTAATGATCCTAGCATTGGTGACAAAGAGGATGATGTAGTTAAGTTGGTTAGATCACAGGAAACTAAAGATGTTAGTGACTTGATGAAGAAAACCAAGGGCTAATTTTTTTTGCTCTAAGAACCACTCATGGGTCTCAAATAGGCATCGCAAGTGCAATGACTACTCATGATGCAATTCATAGAGCGCATATGATAGTTGCAGACTTCTTCTATGAGAATTGCTTATCTGTTAATGCTGCCAACTCAGATAGTTTGCAGATGATATTTGATGATGCAATGACTATAGGTCCAGGATTTAAAGGTACCATCATATCATGATTTAAGCGTGCCTTCACTAGCTGATTGGAAAAGAGAAACTCGGCTAGTTGTTGATCAACACTTAGTCGTTTGGGGACAAAGTGGGTGTACTTTAATGGTTGATGGTTAGACTAATCAACAAGGTAGAAGTTTGGTCGATTTATTGGTCTATTACACTAGAGGTCTTTGCTTTCTTAAATCTATTGATGCATCAAGTGTTGTGAAGAATGCAAAGAACCTGTTCAAGATATTTGATGAAGCAATTCAGTGGATTGGCGTGGGCAATATGGTTCATGTGGTAACTGATAATGCAGCTAATTATAAGTCATGTGGTAAGATTAATCATAGGATATCCACATATTTATTGGTCCCCATGTACAACTCGTTGCATGAATTTGGTATTGAGTGATTTTTGGAGATTTGGAGAATGTGAAGGTTGCATTCAAAAGGCTAGATGAGTCAATGTGTTTGTTTATAACCATACTCCTATGCTTAATTGGTTGAAAGCAAGGCCAAATTGGAAGCAAATAGTGAGACCTAGTGCAACTCACTTTGCTACTAATTTCCTCTCCGTGTAGAGTGTATGAGCACAACATTGATTTACAAGCTTTAGCAGTGAGTGAGTTCTTCAATGCAGATGAATCATCTAAGACTGCAAAAGGAAAGGCGGTGAGTGTTATATTGTTAGATGCTCAGTTTTGGGGTGATTATTTGGAGATGGTAAATGTGGCTCAACCAATCACGAAGTTGTTGATTCTTATGGATTCAGATGAGAAGCCCACTCTTACTTATGTTTTATGAGGGAATGAGAAGAGCAGTTAAGGGCATTAAAGAGATCTTTCTAGGTAAACCTTATATTGGCATCATCAAAGAAAGGTGGGATAAGCATTTTCGGGGGGATTTGGTCAAGATATCTTATTATCCTCAATCCTGCTCTCAAATATGACGAGAAAGAATATGTGGGGGACATTGAGGTGAAAGGGGTCTATAATAAACTTGCTTGAAAAGCATCAACTTTGTAGTGATGGTATGCAAGCACGTAAGGAACTGAAACTTTTTGAAGAAGCAAAGGGGACCTTTGGTAGAGACTTGGCTGTTAGAGGTAGATCGTCACTTGATACAGGTAATATGAAGTATCATGATTCGTAATAAAATAGTTTATCTATTTAATTGTGTTTGTTCTAATTAACCATTTATGTTTGTAGATGATTGGTGGAATACCTTTGGTGATAGTGCACCATTGTTGAATTTTGGGTTATGCAAGCTATGCTTAGAATAATGCTAATGACATTCCTTAAGTAAGTGGAGCTAAAAGTAGGGGAAAAAGTTCGCAATGAAGGTTGTATTGACATATTAGAAAATGAAAAACGTTCAACTTTGATACATTTTTAACTCATGATTTCTAACATATCTTTTGTTTTCTTCCCAGAAGATGATGGAGATGATGGTAGCACAACAATTGGCACTGTGTCCTCAAGCAGTGATTCATCCAATGTTAGTGGTGGCGAATGAGATGATATTGAAGTTATATTTGATAGTTGTTTGAGTTTGAGATTTTGAGTGGGTTTCATGTTGAGACTCTTGTTTCATGTTCAGAGTCATGTGACATTGCTTTTATTTTGGAGCAATGTGGTGGTTTGGAATTGAATTTTAGAAATTTTGGTACTCATGTTCTATAATTCATGGTTTACCATGATTAAGAAGTGTCCACTATTTATACTGAAGGCGTTTATTAGATACGGATTCTCTAACGATTTTTGAACGGTCTAATGCCTGTTGGACCGCTAAAGTACGAGTCGTTCATGTTACCGTGTCATACTTCGGTTCGGTTCTGACACCATTGCTTACAGTGATCACCTATATCAATCAAATAATTACAGGGATGGGGAGGCTTGTCGCTCGAGTGACGATGACAAAGTTATATCAACAAGGGGAGCCTCCTGAGAGGAAACTGGATGAGAGCTAGCGATGATTTATCGATGAGAGATTCATAGAAGGAAAGATTGAAAGGATAATCCAACTTTTAAAAATAAAACTGCACCATCCCCCCCCCCCCCCCAAACCCAACCCGTAGATCCTAAGACTCGAATATCAAAAGTCTAATAAAGAGGTTTAAAAACTAGCTTGTAAAGTTTTTACTATGCTTTTGGGTTTAGTTTGGCTTTTGGTACAAAATGCTTTTTGGAACAAAAAAAATAATTGGGGGTCCAAAGCATAAAAATTTAACCTTTGCACTCTTTAAAAATATCTTTTGGGTACATAGAACCAATAACCATTACTTATTGTTTTGATTGTCATTTAGCAAAGAAAAAAAAAATAGTTGAAACCAATTGGACAATTGTTGTGCGTTCAATTGGTTTCATGAGATGTTTACTATAAGGGGGTAATAGACGTTCCTCACTTATATAGAGAGGGTTACAAAGTGTACAAACTATCTTATAAGTCGATGACACCCTTTATCGTTTAGTTTGTATTTTGGGTCTGTGGCTGGTCATATGTTATTGGATCATATATAATTATCATGGGCTTTCTTGAACTCAATTGATTATGGATGAAAGATAATATGTTTTCTGTCTATATATATGGTTCCGGTTAGCGTACGTCAGGCGCACGTTAGGAATGGCAATGGGGCAGGTCCAGGGCGAGTTTCTTGGTACCCAGACCCGCCCCGTGGCAGGGCGGGTTCAGGTCGGGTAATTTATCACGGGTCGTGGGTCGGGGCAGGTCGACCCAATGGGTATGCAATTTATTTGAAAAACATTAGAAATATTCGTTATTTTTATTATAAAACTAAGAAAACAAACAATATTATGACAATTGTAGTTAAATTATTGGAGAAATTGAGGTTTTCACTAATTTACAACTTTATTATAGCTAAAATATGATGCAATAAAAGTAAAATTTAAAGTAATTTGACTAAGATTTCATGTAATTTAGACAAGAACGGGTCGAGAATGGGGCGGGTCAGGGCAGGTCGGGTCGATGAGACTACCCATGCCCGCCCCGCCCCGCCTACGGGGCGGGTTGGACCCGCCCCAAAACAGGTCAAACAGGTCGGGTAAAACGGGTCAGGTCGAAATTGCCATCCCTAGCGCACGTTATATGCCCGTGTTCACACTATCGTACGCCCGTCAAGTTTTATTATTTAGACCATGAATTAGTTGGAGTTTCGGCCATGATCGTATAACCTAACCTCTAATAGGTGAACCTCAGTCCCTAATTCTCTAACCAGAACCATAAAATTCATTCAATCTATAAAAAAATAATCGGTAATTCTGATCCATCGAAATATATCAAAGCACATATAATAAGTGTGAATGCAGGCGTATAGCGTACATCAGGTGTGTGCTAGCCTTTTACTATATATATACATGCCAAAGGCTAGCGTACGTCCGAGCTACGCTTGCCTTACCGTACACCCGTTGAGTTTTGTTATTTAGACAATGATTAACTGGAGCTGAGACGTAACATAGGAAGGATAGTGTAATGGATATAAAGGATGTCCTCATTATGATATCAAAGACCATTCTAAATTTTCATATATAATGCCCCACTATCCGTTATGAGTTCTTATAATCCTCAAAATGAGCCTTCTACTCTTTAAGGCAAAATAGGGTCGAATAGTATCTCTATGCATTCGAAAATTCTACCAGACAAAGTGAAATAAAAATGTTGTCTCACAAATAAAGTGTAGGTTAAAGCCACGTGTGATGAAATCACTAATTGCACGGACGTAATAGGAACAATTCAATTGAGTATCGATTAGTGACCATACGATGTTGCTTATCTAGTACAACCCCTTGCCAAATGAAGTGTCGCTTGAGAATTGTGCTTGGAGGAAACACATAAAGCTTCTGAAACCCTCATTTGCATCGCCTTTCCACATAAATCGAGGAAAAGGAGTTAAACAAAGCCCTTATGGGAGTGTTAAGGTGCATAAATTGCTCTTGCTTGATCAAGGCTACGTATAAATCCACTTGTGCAACAAAAAGTACAAAGGATGACATTTTGCATATAAAAGAGAGATCTAAAACTCTCTAATTGTCAAATGGTAGAGATGTACTCTATCGTCTAAATAAAGCTACAAAGAGCTTCTCCCCAAATTTCAAAATACTCGAGTGAGATGGGAGCTCACGATTCGTAAGGATAAACTAGATTGTCCTTACAAGATATGCAATTCATGGATATGGTATAGTCACTAAGTGCGAGGGTTGACCTTGTAAGTTGCTTATAATCCACTACCTACAATTGAAAGTCACGTGTCATCATGGAGGTTTAGTGAGTTGTATGGTTGTGAGTGAGGGTTGCTTGAGGACAAGCGAAGTTTCATTGTGGGGTTATTTGATGATAAGTGAAAAGTACTCTTTTAGACCCCCATATTATGACGAGAACTTCTTGAGTTTCATATATTTATTGTCATAATATCTTGAATTTGCTACATGATCACTCAAAAAGTACTCTATTAGCATCAAGCTTGCTTTTATCAATTTGATGCACTCTTGATAGTGTTAAGTTTTTTTCCAGGGCATAGCAACCTAGTGGTACCAGAATTGGGTTTTGTTATATAATTGTAGGTGATCGAGGAGTTCATGGACCACTTTGTATGTGTTGGGGGCTTCAAGACTCGATTACTAGGAGCCAAAAGCGAGAAATGAAATGAGGATAGAAACGACACTAGATTTAGTAGCCTAATCACCAAAATAACCTGTTAGTATATGACTTGAATTTGATTTGGGTTTATTTAGTGTTTTGGGCCTATTTTGTTTGGGTTTGTGTTTGAGCTTTGTTTTGACCTTTTCCTTGTATGTTTGGGAAAAGATGTTTGGTTTTCTGTTTGGGATTAGGAGAACAGTATTATAAATACTCTTCACCACCCTAATATGTAGTAAGGTCAGTCAGGTTAGTTTGTTTGGTTTGTCTGTTTCAGAATTTGGTTTGTAACCTGTACTCTCCTCAAAATCAGTGAAATTTGTTCTCCTCAGCCCGTGGATTAGCTAGCACAAATTGTGTTAGTGAACCACATTAAATTTGTGTTCGTTTGTGTTGATTTGGATTATCGATTGCCACGCTTCTGTTCTGACATAACCCTCGGGTCGCCATTTTGAGGTTCGTCGAAAAAAGATAAGATCCTTCAGAAACTATAACTTTCTTGGTGGCCAAGCTGGAGGAGGCTGGTAGGGACTCAGAAACGCGTTAGATGCCCGTCCTCCCCCCCCCCCCAAAAGCCTAATAGCTACAATGTTTATAAATGAATTTCTAAGGGAGAGGAGTTTGGTAGCCAGTGATAGGAGGCACTAAAAGGCCATTACTTTGTCGAAAGCTCGCGCGACTTAGAGCAAAGCTAGTTACAGGAGGCAAATTGGCTCCAAAATCAACGGCCTAATTCACGAAATCTCTTTTCTGGGTGCAAATTTTGAGAGGTCCTTGAGATTCTTGTTTCAACTGATGTATCCTTTTGATCTTGTCTACATGGCCGACTAGTTTCCTTAGTTACGTTGATGTCGAATCCTATAGGTTCTAGACTATGTATCATTTGATTTTGGCATATATGTGATGATTTGATTCTTTTTCTTTATGCTTTGTTCTTGTGTTTGGTTTATTGTTGAATTGATTGTGTGCTTAAGACGACGACTGACTTCAAAGGTCATATATTCTCAAACCTGACTTCGTGGGTAAGATTAGACTTGACACGACGTTCTGCCCATGATCGATCGTCAATTAATGAGACTGTATTGACTTCCTCAATGAAGACATCCATAGGTTACATATCTTTGCCTACTAAATCGGACATTTGTGGCAACACATGGTAGAAGTAAACCTAACAGAGATCAAACAGTTCTTATGTTGCCAGGATCGACGTACGAGTCTAAGGAACTCTAGCGGGAGCTTCCCTGTCTAACGCCTCGTCCTTCTTGCTTTCCTCCCCTCGCCAGTAGTTAGCTTTTCCTTTCCGCATTGCTTTTAATTTAGATTTTATAAAACCAAGGAGAACTTCAACCCCTGAGGCATCTCAAGTCCTCAACCTTCAAAGTTGCATTTTCTAAACCAAAGAACGCGTCCCTCACCATATGAGTAAGTGGTTGTGAGATACCATAGAGAAATATGATCCTGATATTCGTACCAAATAAATTTGACTACATACTAAAACGTGATTAAAAAAAACCACAACGTATCGGATTGTCGGAAGAAGAAGAAGGACGGCTCGATCCACCAGAATTTTAAACATAATTGAGATTTTTGTAAAAAACTATCAAAAAGACATCAAAATGAATCCCATTTGTTGAAACCATTGTACCCCCACATTTTACATTATACCCAAAGTTCACAAATCGATCGATTGGGGGGATTACTAATAATAGTCGAATCCTTCCCAATTCTCAGAGTAATTAACATCGTTCCCACTTCCACTCATGTAGTAATTACTACGATCGCCGGTCCATTCCTCCTCGTCCAGCATCCTCTCCGGCCGGTGGCCGAAACCCATGTCACCATCTACCGCCGGCGCCGGCATTAATGAACAAGGGAGGACCTCGGCGGGACCATTCGTGGGGCCGGCGGCGTCATCTCGCTTACCGGTGAGGCTCTGGACGAGCCCCATGAACTCCTCGGGGCGGACGTGAATCACGTCCGGCGACTTCACGTACACTATCACCGGGCCGCCGGCTCGCCGCCGGTGCTGCTGCTGATGATGATCATGAGTGGTGTTGGTGTTCACCGGCGGCGGCTTCGGACCCTTCAGCTGCTGCCTCCCGCCATTTCTCCCAACCAATTGGTTCATCTCTTGCGCTTTGATTTGTTCTTCCGCTTTGATTTGTACTTCAATTCAGGCCTTTATATATATGTACCGGGAAATATTTTTTGGGTTTGAAAAGAAAAAAAGTAAAAATTCTGTGATGGAGATGAAATGTCAGCTTTGAACCGGTCGTGACTGATGTAGTTTATTGAACAGGTTTTGGAAGAGCCGGCTGTTTTTTTTTTTTTTTTTGGTTGCAAGCATACCTAATTACAATTTGTGATACTTAATTAATAATGGTTTTTTCTTGATTAGGATGTGAAATTGTCATTTGTCAGCCGTCCCCGGCCATCTAATTAGGAAAACACGACAAATGCACACAAAAAAAAAAGGTTACATCCAATTAGGAATTTTGGGATCTACGATAGCCGAATGAATGTTTCCATACAAGTTATATCGTAGTGAAATATTCGATGCTAGCGAGTTCTACTACTCCTGTCTCCTAATGAAATGAAACTGCGTGGTACCATGATTTAATGTCAATTCTGAGTTGAATATCTTGGCTTTCACTGGATAATAATAAATTTAAGAGCAGGTCGTTTTGGACTGTTTAGTTTGGAACTATACCCAATGTTAAAAGAAACATTCATTCGGCTAATTCCACAAATATATTTACTAGAGGTGGCAAATGGATTGATCCATGGATTGGTGGATTTGGTTGGTGGATCCATAAATTGGTGGATTGGGTTGGTGGATCCATGGATTGGTGAATTATCCATGAATTCAAATGACATCCTCAACCAAGGACCAATATGTAAAATGTGAAAAGTTTAGGTACTAAAATGTCATAATAAAATTTTAGGTACCAAAACATAATTTTCCAATGATATTTTTCGTATAAAAAATTAAATTTTGACTACCATGATGTAAAATTTAAAAAGTATAGGTACCAAACAGTAATTTGCCATTTGGATCCATGGATCAATCCATTAATCCACCAATCCAATTGGATTTAAATCAAATGGATTGGATTTAAATGGATTGGATTAGGTGGATATTTTTAATGGGTTCACTACAACAGAAATGGTCTCTTGAGACGAATTGGATGCGTCGCTTTAAGCCAAAAAAACGTCACAACAAGTCTACACCAACAATTTTGGAAGCGTCGTAGAAATGTCGCTTAAAGTTCCGTCGTTTCATATTTTACTAACATTTACAAGAAACGTTGGTGAATGGTTTTTACGACGTTTACTACGACGTATACATTGTCACAAGAAATAACTTTTTCGGCGCTTTTACATGTCGCGCAAATGTGGTTATTGTCACATTTAAATCTTCTCATTTAAACTTTCAAGCGACGTTTTTAAAAATCACTAAATGTCATTTTTTACGACATTTATAAGTGTCACATTAAAAGAACTTTCTCACGACATTTAAAAATATCATATTACTACTAGTAGGCAATATTTACATCCGTTGGAGTAACACTTTGTCCCCTCACTTTGATGTGTCACTAGAAATACTTGTTATGTCATTTTTTTATAGGTCGAATAAAATTGTTGTTGTGATAATTCATGCTAATAATATGAGAACTTATTGTGATGTTTATAAATATTACTAATTCCAAGCACATGTAACGCTTGTAAATGTCATATATAGACGCAATTTCTCAACACATTTATTCATTGCATATGCTTTTTCAAAATTATTTGGCGTGCATATGACAAATAATAGACGTAGGTGGAAGAAATTATTGTGACATATGAAAATGTCAATGGAGTGAGTAAGTGTCACCTATTATATATGGTCCAGAAGTTTTTTTCTTGTTCATTAAATATAGAAAAATATGTGCATTAGAAAAATAAAATACCCAAAAATAATTGAAATATCATTAATTAAATAGACAATGTCATACTTAAACATGATAAAAACATAGTTTCCAACCATAATCCCTTACATGTAACATGGATAATGTAAGGTCTAAAAGAAAATCAAACTAAAACAAGAGTGCAAATTCCTTTATTCCTTTATTCCATTAAATGCATAGAAAATCTTCATTCCACCATAGGCTCCGCACCACCTGCATGCATGAATAACAAGTGTTAGTGAATCCAATAGGCTTAGTGGAGTGTTAATGAGTGATTGATGTAGAACACATAGCACATATTATCCTTTTATTAATGATTATACAAAAAGAGATGAATCAACGAACCTGGAGATGAAGTAGTGGCACGACTAGCATTACCAATGTCATTTGATTGATCAACACCCGCAAATTTCCCCCCTAGCATTGTTCCTATATTTGGAATCTACAATTGTGCTTTGTGTTAGTACTTTTATATATAAAATAAAGTAATTAAACTCCCACTTGGGATGTTTGTTCATAGAATATTAATGTGCATATACCTGTTGAAGGAATTCTGAATTGGTAGCACCAATAAACTTCAGAATGACCTTCCCACAAAAATCCACTTTTTCATTCAAAGTTTGGACTTGCTCTTCTAGTACCTCATTGCGCTCTTTCACTTCCTCATTTTCTCGAATCACATCCATATTTGATTTGGTAAACATATTGGGAGTGACACCAAATCCCATTCCACGAACACGGCCATACCTTTCCGGGCCAAGTACTTGGGATAAAATATCTTCATTTATAGAAGCAAAGATATTATCCCCAGCTTCACCACTCGAACCATCTTCCCTTTGGAGGCGTTCTTCAATTTCATCCTATAAATTAATTATTGTTGGTGTATTAGATTGGTCAATTGGATTGAGAATTGCCACCTCTAATATTTATCTTGCTACCAACAAAAAGAAGGAAGAAAGCAAGGTAAAATATACCAAATGTTATATAGGGGTGTGCAAAAGTTCAGCTCGGACCGGACCAAACTCATGAGAACCGTGGTTCATTAGTGAAAGACATTGTAGGACCAAGGATCGGACCATCGTTGCATTCGGTCCATTTGGTCAGGTACGGTCCGGTCCAAATATCAGCTCGGTCCATCATTTCTTCAGTCATTATAAAATTCACGTAGATCAAGAACCGGACCATATTATACTCGGTCCGGTGCGGTCCGGTACAAACTTCGGTTTGATTCGATATGGTCCGGTACAGACCGCACTATTGCACACCCCTAATGTTATATATTGAGTTCCTGAATTTTTTGTACTAATTTCACAAATGCTATTATTTCCATTTTTTTTTCCTGGGCATGCAAAGACTAGAGAGGCATACTAGTGTGTGTTTTTTTTCTTTAGTAATTTCATAATTTTAAATTCATATAATTCATCACACAAATGTTCAAAATGTCTTACAAAAGAAATTATAGTTTCTTCATTAAATTTAAGTTAGTAATTAGGGTGGAATTTAGTAGAGGATCATCCAAAACTGACAAAAATGCCGAGGAACGAAGACGAGGAAGCATGAATAGAATTAGTAATCAAGATTGGATGGTCTTAGTGTATGTTATATATTTTTTTCATAATTTTTTTAATTAAAATAGTGAGCAAACTAACAGAACCGTTATTATAATTATTTGATGGTTCTACCGGTACAACCATTGATCTGAATTGATTCCTATAACAAGTATTCAAATAATAAATTCTAGCAATTCATTGAACATTACCTCTAATTAGAATCAATGTAGTTAAAAGATATCTTTCAAACTTTTTTGCTTTGGTAGCTTTAAAACTCAAGGGCTATAGCTTTTACGGGTCGTTTGGAAGTTGGAATTTGAGATGATGCATTTAGCCAATGTATGTAATCAGAAGAATTCATCATTTTTTTGTTTTAAAATGAAACAAAATGCTTTTATTTGAATAACAAATGAGATCTTCAAAATTATTCATTATGAATGATTGTCAATCTCAGCTTTTACTAGAGATTGTGTTTGGAGGATTGTTAGCTTACTTTTTTATTCCTTATTCTTTGAGAGACCACCAAAATCATTCAATCTCCAATCAATGCAATTTTCAAAATTGCAAAAATATGTCATTGAAAACTTAATTTTATGCTTTAATAACATATAAGATTTCCCAAGTAACACACGATTTGAATATGTTAACACTCAAAGTCTATAAAGTTTATATTCCACAAACTACAAGTCAGAAGATTTCACACAATTTCACATAACCCATAAAAATCTGGTTATTTTATTTATTATTCTTACCATCATTTTGTTTAAAGATAAAAAAATATAACTTGACTCCCATTTCTACCGTACACAATTATTTCCACGATACACAATCCCCGAATGTTGACGCTGACAATCAACGACTCCAGCAGTTATTTTTTCTCGTACAAAAAAGGATCATATAAGCTGTGATTTCTTCAACGTGAATTGATGAAGATGGGTGTCAGTTAATATTTAATTAGATATGAGGGGAAGGGGTCTTAGGCGGTTTAGAATTGGAGCCTGAACTTTTCAGCTGGGCTTTTACCAATTCCCAGCTTCGGCTGGGGAAACAGAGTAGAGAAGAGCGGGTTGTCTCCATAAATGATAGCTGCCAGCCATACCTTGACTTTGTCTCATTCTCTACAAGGGTTAATTTGATATGGTCCCAGAGAAAATTGTCCACATCAATAGCAGTAATGACAATGGACGGGTTTGGGGCGGGTATCTCGACATTCATACCTGTCTTGTGGCAGGTCGGGTTCAGTTATTCGGGTCAAATAATTTATCGTGGAGCGGGTCGAGGTAATTTATCTAAAGGCAATAATTCAAATCCCTAAAAAAATAGACTTTTTAGTCTCCATCGTTCAAATTTCTGATTCCGCCACTAACTTTCCACCAACCATATGATTAGCAGCTAATGGATCATCAACCAACTACGAGGGCCATCGAAGGCACATCCGTTTGTTCTTTGCTGGGGCGACGAGTAAGGATCTAAGCCCGGTGATACAAAATTAAAGTGTTTATCTTTCTTATACTTAAGTGACATTTCATTGCTTTCTTCTATAATATTGATTATTTCAAATATCAAATTCTTTCCTATTTAATTTTGTGTGTATTTGAACTCTCCTAAGGCCATTTTGGTCATTTCGATATTGTTTGGAGCTAGTTCAAATGATGTTCAAGTATTGGCATCGTAGTAGGCGAGTAAACGAACGCGTGACTAGACACAAGTGTATCAAGTGGTTGGATTGAGGAGACATTGTTGGACTTTACGGACGAGGGTACACATACGATATCCCGAAATTGGGAGACTAGGATGGCCATAGAGTTGTAAAGTAAGTTCACGAATGAGATTCCAGTCAGTGAAGTCAAAGTAGGGACTCACTCAATTGATGCTCTTTATGCATATTATTTCTATGATTTAATGAGTTGTTTTGGTCAATAAATGTCTCTATCAGTCGATGTTTTAGTCATGTGGTGCTTGTAGTATTTGAATGGTTTAGTTATTTGATTCCCTAACCATACAATCCTTATATCATCATCGTCATGATAAGTTGTTAATGTACTACTCTTATGTGATGTGTCATTGTCTTGTGCGTTTATGGAGGAAAGGATCAACATCTATAAGTGTATGAGTTCAATGCTTGATACCTTAGAATTCATTAATGCTATAAACTATTAAAATGGTTCATAGATTCCCTAAATAGTTAATGTGATATCCTTACTTTCTTGTTTGATTGATTAGTCCGATGACATGAAGCGAAAATATGGATTAGCTAGTTATAGTTTCTTTTGGTAGAATGAATATGCCCCCACTATTTGCTCAATGAAATGCCCAAACCACATGGAATATGTTTTTCTATATCAAGTGATTGGTAATAGAACTTTGGATAAACATATTAGACCTCCGAAAGTGTGTTAGGGGTCTGGATTTGGTTTTTGATTCCACGGTTAATAGAGTTTGTCTCTATTGCTCAATTCAATCTTGTACTTCCATGTGATAATAGAGAAATCGATTCATCCTTATGCATTGGTCAATTGTGATGTTTCTTACCCTTGGACACGGTATATGAACTTATATTTTGGCATGTAACCCTAGTTTCCCATGAATCGTATTCTAAGTCATCTCTACTAACATGTCTTTTCACCTATGCACTCATGATTTTACATAGTATCATTTAAGTGTGGGGGTGTACAGATTTGACTGCCTAAGGATTCAAGAACTCTCGACGGATGAAAGTGACTGCCTCAACTGGGTTCTGTTTGGTCAATTGGATCAACCTCCTCGACATCAATGATAAGATTTACAGAGTTCTTCTGATGTGTTCCTGGGTATAGTCACAATCAAGGAGTTCAGAGGAGCAACACACAATTTTCCGAATATTGAGTTCAGGCTAGGAGGGAGAACAAGAGGAATGTCCATCGTGGAATTCACAGCGGTTCTCAATATTTTCCCTCAAGATTTTATGGAGTGTTCTTCAAGTTTTGCCTCACTGATTCTAGAGAATGAATTCCCCGAGTTTGGAAACCTATATAAAATAGAGGTGAAGGGGGCAAGAGATTGAAAGCTTGATATCAAGTTATCAAAGGCTAGTGAGCTGAAACCATAGTGGAGATTGATCCACCACGTGTTTTTTCAGATCCGTGGGTAGCAGGTGTTGAAACAAAGCAATATGACTGCCCGAGATGTCAAATTCATGTGGAGCAGGAGGAGCTAGAGATCTCTTCACCCAGGACCTCCCATCATTTTGGACATCGAACCACTACATCACCTACAGAAGGCTTGTAGTTCTTCACGATGGTGTGCCTATGTCACTAGGCTCACCAAGTATTTCAACATTGACTTCGATAATGTAAAGAGCATATTTGGTACTTGGACCGTTTCATTCTCATTCCCAGCATTGAAGTATTATCTCAAAGCTATGGTGAAGAACGATCAAGGAATTTGGGATGTCTGAGATTTACCTTTTCCCGACACCAACACAGTGGCGCGACATTTAGAGAAACCAAGGTCTAGGAAGATGAAGCGAAAGTTGATGCAGCTCCCTAACACATGTATGGTGCGACATTCTTCCATAGCTATCAACCTCCACAACAACAACCTTCTAGTTATTTAGGAGCATTCGATCATTATGCTCGAGCCTAATTAGCCCATGTTTTTTAAGAACTAGGAGATGCTACACAAGAGGATACGAGACAAACCAAGGTGAGGAGACATGACATTTCTTGTCAACACGCCACCATGGCTACCCTCGGAATTGATGTCATGAAGATATTATGTTCGGATAATCCCATCTCTCTCAATCTCGTTCGTGTGCTTTTTCTCTCTCTATACATAGTGTGGTATAAGAAAATATGATGACTATTTGATATATAGTGTGGTATAAGAAAATATTATGACTATTTGATAGTACAAACAAGAAACAAATTTTTGTTATGTGAAAGTACAGTGCAGGCATTTGAGTGATTTGCAATTCATCCACCACCTACCAAATGAGTGCGGATAAGAAATTTATCAATCCACAATTCATCCACATCAGTCACTCACCCACTGCGATTCGAGTTATTTGCGTGTGTATCGATATCAAACCGCGAATTACGACCCATGTGCGCCTAGTAGACAGCATGGTCCATGAAATCGTACCGGAGACTATACCGGAAAAGTTAGCAGTAGGGTATTTTATGGCAAAATCGTGGTTTAATCATTAATACCGTTAAATACCGCCTATCGGTTTAGCCTCTGATACTGGTATTTTGTGGTTGAATCGTCGATCCGGTACGGTTTCATGGACCACGGTAGACAGTAGAGTAAACTAATAGTTTTTACGTGGATCTTGGGTCTAGCTTGAAACTGGGCTTCGTTTTTCATGCTATGTCAAATGCGGCCCAGCCCAGATACTTAACAAGCGGATCATTTCTGTGGATTTGAACCAATTTTGTATTATTATTTGGCGCGCAGAGAAGGATCCGTCGGTCGGTTGCTGTTCCCACCAAAGTTTAATTTCAAAAAAAAATATTTTTTCTTTTTGAAAAATAGCTGACGCATCAAATTTCCTTTTGGTTTGGCAAATCAAATCAGGTAACTAACGATAATTAATTTCTTCATCAGCCCGTCGATTAACTGTCTCGTTCTTCCCAACAATCTCTTGCTGCTGCTTCCCCAGAAAAATGGCTCGAATCGACGAACTCTGAAATGACATCTTTCCCCCGATTTCCCCAGTGTTTTTTGTTCCCTTTCCCACGGTATCGCAACCACATTTTCCCGATCAAGCGCGACGGTAAATCACTAGAATCCCTAATCTGTTATCCCTTATAGATTTAGCTTGCTCTCTCTCTCTCTCTCAGATTGGATTCTGTCCGATGTCCGTCGGAGTTTGATCCCGAATTCGCGATTCTTCATTGAAAAGAATTTCCACCCCCCGTCTTTGAAACGGCATACCTAAGGTAGAAGAAGAGGTTCGTCTCAATCTGATCTACTAGGCTGGTTCATCGAGAATCAAGGCATTGTGACAATTCGGGAATTAGGGTTTCCAAACGATTAATTGTTTGGAGCCAAAAGGTCTAGGGGGAAAAATATTGTCAGGGTTTCTGCGCAGGAATATCTGCAAAATTCTTTGTTTTTCTCCATCTTTTTGCCCAATCGTGAATGGGATCAACGGCGATCAAATTGCTATGTCATTTTGAGCTGGGTACTGGTATATTTCGGAGGAGAGAGCTGGTAAGGACCTGAAAGTAGGTCAGGGGTATTTGGTTTTCTTGATGGGGAACACATGCACCGGACCAAATCTCAGCTCTAATGGATTCATACAATCTGTTACTGCTGCTGTGTGGCGTCGGCAACCAGACGAGCGTCTTCCTGCTCCAAACAAGGACGAAGGCAGTAGCAAAAAAGACGGCTCCAGCAACAAAGACGCTTCCAAACGCGGAGATTCTGAAGGATCCAAGAATTCCGATGGCCCAACCCCCAACACCCCACCTCCTCCAGTCAAGATGGGGAACGATGGGCAAGGGAAACCAATGGAGCATGAGAGATCGATTAAACCCGAAATGCGAGATGTTCCAATTACTAACAAGCCAGGGGAGGAAGCCAAGCCGAAGAAACCCGCACATGTGAAGAGGTGTTCTAGTGCAGGGCTTCAAGTAGGGTCAGTGTTAGGGAGGAAAACAGGGAACTTGAAGGAGATTTATAGTTTGGGGAAAAAGCTAGGGCAAGGCCAGTTTGGCACCACTTTCCTTTGCATTGAGAAGGCAACTGGGAAGGAGTTTGCTTGTAAATCGATTGCGAAGAGGAAGTTGACGACTCAAGAAGATGTGGATGATGTTAGGAGGGAGATTCAGATTATGCACCACTTGGAAGGGCATTCCAATGTGATCAAGATCATTGAGGCTTACGAGGATGCGGTTGCAGTTCATGTTGTGATGGAGCTTTGTGCAGGTGGGGAGCTCTTCGATAGAATCATTCAGAGAGGTCACTACACGGAGAGAAAGGCAGCTGAGCTCGCTAGATTGATAGTTGGTGTTGTCGAAGCATGTCATTCTTTGGGTGTTATGCACAGAGACCTAAAGCCTGAGAACTTTCTGTTTGTTAATCAGAGAGAGGATGCAACACTTAAGACAATCGACTTCGGGCTCTCCATGTTCTTTCGGCCTGGTAAATACTTCTTGGCTGTAACTTCTACATACTTACAACAGTTACAGAACTAAACCTTAGTTGAGTCTTGTGCTTCCCTTATGCATTTAAATTTCTTGAAGTCCATCAGAATGAGATCAATTTCCCTTATAGAGGTGGTGCCTTTTAATGTTGTACTAGGTGAAATGTTCACTGACGTTGTTGGGAGCCCCTACTATGTAGCACCTGAGGTGTTGCGTAAGAATTATAGTGCGCAATGTGATGTTTGGAGTGCTGGTGTTATCATATATATCTTGTTGAGTGGAGTCCCTCCATTTTGGGATGGTGAGTTTCTTTTATTTGTAAACTTCGGCTAATTTCCTAGTTAACGTATATTGCTGCATCTAACTTCTTAGTATCTTTGATTGATGATTGAGATGATCAGAAACGGAGCAAGGAATATTTGAGCAGGTTTTAAAAGGCGACCTAGATTTTGTTTCAGAACCATGGCCAAACATATCAGAGGGTGCTAAAGACCTAGTTCGAAGGATGCTTGTTAGAGACCCTAAAAAGCGCCTAACAGCCCATGAAGTTCTCTGTGAGCATGCATATCATTATCTTTACTGTGTTTTATGTTTCAGCTAAAAGAATTTGCTTGGCTACCACCTGTATCATTTGTGGCTTCAATTTTCGATTTCTTAACTTTTGTCAATGAAGATGCACTTCGGTCCTTTTGTTGTTGGCTTTGCTGAAATTTAGTATCATCACTTGAATGTTGGAAGCTGCTTGTTGTATTTTTTAATAATCTGTTTGCTTAAAAATATAAAAGCACACCTTTGTGAACTGAAATCCTGGAAATGTTAAGCTTGTGTAAGAGGGGAAATTTACTTAGTGGTCTTGCTAACCATCATTTCTCGTCTTTGGTAAAAGAATACCAATGAGATACTTTTCTCCTTTGATTCTCCGTGTAGGCCACCCTTGGGTACAAGTGGATGGGCTTGCTCCAGATAAACCTCTTGATTCTGCTGTTATAAGTCGCTTGAAACAGTTCTCAGCCATGAACAAGCTGAAGAAAATTGCAATTCGGGTGAGTACTTTGAACCCTCAACCGTGGCAGATCATAGTATGGTTGTATTAGTAAGTAATCAGGACACAAATTGGAGGCAGAGGCACACCTCTTGATCTAGAAGCTGACTGCCCAGGCGGGTTAACCTGTTTGTTATCATATACATCTGTCCATGCTTGAATGTCTTCCTCTACTCTATTGGTCTGTCCTCTCTCTGAGTATTGGCATACTTGAGGCATCTGATCACTCATCAAAAGGGTTTTCTACTTGAATTCAGGTTATAGCTGAAAGCATGTCTGAAGAGGAAATTGCAGGCTTGAGAGAAATGTTCAAGATGATAGATGCAGATAACAGCGGAAATATCACTCTCGAGGAACTGAAGAACGGGTTGGAAAAAGTGGGTGCTAACCTCAAGGAGGGTGAAATAGTTGGGTTGATGCAAGCAGTAAGTTTTTCTGTTCTTCAATAGTGGTCGTTTGTCTCATATTTTTTAGTATTATGATAATCTGATTAAGCTGTGCAATATATTGTGACATGTTACACAGGCGGATATTGATAATAGTGGTACGATTGACTACGGGGAGTTCATAGCTGCAATGATCCACTTGAACAAAATACAGAAGGAGGATCATCTGTTTACAGCATTCTCATACTTCGACAAAGACGGGAGTGGCTACATTACTGCTGACGAGCTCCAACAGGCTTGTGAGCAGTTTGGGCTGGGGGATCTTCACATTATGGACATAATCAATGAAGTTGACCAAGATAATGTAAGCTGTTATTTCAAGACTCAAAATGTTGTTAGTTTAGCAGCAGCAAAACACTATGATTGACATATGTTTGGTCTCTCTTCTAGGATGGGCGCATTGACTACAGTGAATTTGCCGCTATGATGCAAGACTCGACAACATTCAGACCAGCAGGAAAATAATCCAGGCAGCCTTATTTCCTTGGCCCGGATACGGTAAATCACAAACTTAGTCAGTAGCTAATTATGTCTAGCTGATATATATATATATTATACTTGTCATTAGTTAACAGAAACTGGATTACACACACAATTGTATGTAAAGATCAGGCAGGTTTCAGTGAGAGGGAAATATTGAGAGTTCGTTTTAGCTTTTCCTTTCTTTTTGTATCTATTACATCGAGTTTTTTTTTGTTTACTACCTTTTTTGGTCCCCCCCTTAATCAATTGTACCAAATCGCATTGAAAGGCTGCAATTCCTTAAGCTAGAAAGATCAGTCACAATATACTGATGGGATTTTGCTTTATAGTTTTGGCTCTCTGTTGCAACAGTTGAGATCCATGGTTGAAGTTCTCAATTATGTGTAATGTAATCCTTTGCCTTAGACCTTGATTTATCTTTAGCCGACGCGACCCTGTGATCCGTCGACATCTCGATTTTCTCAGCCATGCAGTAGGTTTTAGCATCAGCAACCCAGATTAGAGGTGTTCTAGCTTGGTATGCCATGTTTGTAAGTGGATGCCATGTATGGTTTTGATGTGGAACAGGGCAGTCGTCATGCATATGCTGTTATGATCTACCTCTCAATGACTGAATGCATTTGTCTTCTTCATTTGATGTGGGAAATGGCTCCATCTTCTGATAGGAAGTGAGTTTGTCCTGCTGTTTTGTTTTGTTTGTTATCTAGTAAAAGGTCAGTAGGAATTGGGACAGAAGGGAAAGCTACTATACGAAACAAATGCTGCTGGTTTTTTTTGTTTTGAGATGCCAATTGCCATTGCTGGGAGGGCACCTAACTCTTCTTATTTGGTTCATCATCATCATCATCATCATCGTGTAGTAGTAATCAGTACTGTGAGGGCAGCGTTATGTACAGAAAGGGCTGTACCCGAAACAAAAATAACAGAGGGGAATTGCATGGCTAGCCAGCTCTAGTCCTGCATTCCTGCCTCACTCGTTTAGTCGTTTTCTCGGTGTCGATTCTCAGAAACAAAAAAGGGCATAATCAACCCAGAATAGCGACTCCTCGTACAAGCATAACCAAAAAAAATATATATTATGATAATCATTCAAGGTGTCAAATAGCTGATGGTTTTGAAAATTCGCAAAGATCTATTGATTCAAATACGATCGTTACGGGTTATCATTCATATTTCTAAGTACTAATTGATCTCATATTATAAGATTGAACCTGTTTATAAAGTTTTAAAATTTTAGGTACTATGATGTAGTTAAAAATATATGAAGGTACTAAAACATAATTTTGCCATCAAAATTTCTGGACTTATTTGTAAAAAATAAATTTTAGGTACTAAATTATAAAAAAATATTTAGATATCAAAATATAAGTTTGTTGAGTCAAGCCGACCTGCTAAAATCAGCTAAATCGTCTCGGTTTGACCCCAAGCTGGTGAAACGAGGTCAAGGGAAAGTAGGACTAGGACGGATCAGGTTTTGACACTATAGGATTGGATATTTAAGAGCTTCTGTAGAGTCAGGACTGCGTTTGGTCCAATTTCATTCTAAAAGTACATATAGCTCTCGCTCAATAGTCAATACCCATATAAATGATGAGAATTATAAAAAAATTGAAATTACAGTATTACACCATAAATCAATCATTGCCATAGAAAGAGCAACAAATAAGTTCCCAATCTAAACCAACTCTAGCATTTAGTTTTCTTCTTCTTTGTCGCTATTTCATAATGTGCAGAGGGAAAGAAAATCGAAACCAGGCTTTTGTCTAGGACAGAAGAAAGAAACAAGTCTCTGAGAAAGTCAATTAGGTTAGGTCTCTTCACTTGACATTATTCTCTCCCTCTTCCATACTGGGGACCTACTTACCTACTTCTTTACCAAGTTTACATGTGCAATTAGAGCCGGCTATTTGGTCCGGGCATTTTGGGTTTACCCGAAACCGGACCATATAACTCGGATCGGTATCGGATATCAAATAATTCAATTGGACTTAGATTTGAGGTAAAAAATTGTTGGGACCGACTCGAAAACCGGATAAAGACCGGATAAGCGTGTTCAACACCCAAAACTTAACAAACTCCTCGCCTTTTGAGGCCTCAGGTCACTCATTCACAAGGTCAGTCTAAAATCAAGACCAAATTAGGACCGGACCGGATCAAGACCGGACTGTATCCAATCCAATCTTTGGTCCTTATATTCACGAAAAGATCGGACCGGGACATGATCAATTCAGGCCAATTTAATCGGACCGGACCGTATAGCCACCCCAATGTGCAATGCGGGCAAATTGCTTTTTTTTCCTGTCCATTTACTAAAGGTGAACAATGGGTGATTTTATGCGAATTTGGATGAGTTTGGAAACACCCACTACGTGGTGGGTGAAAGAGAAAATGACCAACACTCACCGAATCATTATATGTGGTGGGTTGGGTGATTGTAGATGATGAGTGGTTGGATGGATTCGATGGGTTTACAACATCTATTTCATATGATGGAACGCGTTAGGATGATTACTCAAAATTGAGTAATCACGGTGGCTACTAAAATTTACACCCTTCATTATCTCTATTTCACCCTAATTTTAATTTGACAGTGAATATTAGATTAAGGGTAATTTTGAGAATAAAAAAAACCACACATAATTTTTATCCTTTAAAAAATTAATTTATACATATTATATACCTAAACCCTACTCCGACCCCATTCTATCGCTGTCAACACCTCTCCTGTAGATGGTTCTCTTCCTCCGCTGTAAGCCACCCTCCCAAAGACGGCCACCATCGGCCAACCTCCCAATGCCGTCGGCCACCCTCCACTCCGGCTACCCTCGCCCACCGCTGCTGGCACCCTCCCACCGCTGGCCTCTCTCTCTCTCTCTCTCTCTCTCTGGGAGATAGCTGTGGTGGACGGTTGTGGCTAAAAACAGTGGGATAAATAAAAACCTTAGATCTGATTTTTTCCCCATTGGTATTGTTTTTCTGGAATGGTAGTGATTTTTTCGTAGTGGTATTGTTTTTTCGCATTGGTATTGTTTTTTCGCATTAGTATTGATTATCATGTAACCGTATGACTTTTTTTGTGAAATGATTGTATTCTTTTTCTGTACTGGTAGTGTTTTCGCATTTCTATTGTTTTCTTTCTTTTTTTTGAATAGGTATTGATTATCATGTAATGGTATTGATACGCATGTATTGATATTGATTAAATCTGCAATGATATTGGTATTTTATGAAATGGTAGTATTTTTATTTTTCGAATGGTATTGGTGTTTTGTGCATTGTTAGTGTTTTTTAAATGGATTGATATTGTTTTATTGTTGCAGCGGTATTAGTTCGACAAGTTTCTATAGAGTAAGTCAAATATAAGAAATAATCAAATATAAGAAATAAATATGCAGAACATTTTTCAAATTTACGGGAGAACAATCACTCGAGAAACTTGTCATATATGCTTGCAGTCTTTGTACTAATTTTAAATCACTTAATACTAGTAAGCATATCTCTTATTATTGGACTCTAATTATTTATGATGATATCACTAGTAATGGTTCATCAGGTCGACAAGTTCCTGAAAGCGGTGGACCGGTTGGTGAAAGAGGTAAACCACTTGAAGGAAGTGGTCGACCGTTTTCTTGTAAAGTGGCCGACTTTTTAGTGAAAGAGGTCGGCCATAGTAAAATGAAAAATTGTACATCTGGTCGATCATTTTATCCAAATAAGTCGATCATATCAGTAAACAGATCGACCATTTTATTCAACCAGGTCGACCAGGTCAACCATATGACTTGCAAGTTAGCAAAGTCCTCTTAATTATACGATGTTAGTAATAATTAGGTAAAACAAAAAGTATCGTAATGTAGGAAATGTGGAGCGCGCCGAGTTATAGATGACCAATTTTCCACGTGAATATTGAAAAGAAAACGCAACTTGCCTTTTAAACTTTTACTTTTGACCTTTGGTGATTGGCTGGTATGGCCGACTGGTGCCAGGTGGGTGGCCTCAAAAGGAAGAAAAAGATTGCGCAGTGGACCACGTGTCAACACCAAACCCAGGCTGGCTGGCTGCACCCAATTGAAATGAATCGGTTCATCATCAATCGATCAAACCGATTCTCAGCCCTACGCGTGTCCCCGACCGTTATCCACCCACCCAAATAAAATAACCAACCAGCCCAGCCAGGACCACCTCCCTTTTTTTTTTCTTTTCCTTTCAACTTTCTCTCTGTCTTCAGTTATGATATTATAATTTTCCAAACTAATTTGGTGAAAGATAATATGTTTAGTAAATCTAAGATCACCCAATGTCAATAATTATTAATTATTTGAATTTTTTTTCCATCATAAAACCAGTTTAAAAAATTTCATTTGAGTTTAATAAGAATTTCTTTCGTGGCTTCATCAGGTTTGACCTGAATCCAATGAAAAACGGGGGCGCCACATACTCGCGGGTCAATTGGCAGCAAGAGTCCCGGATTGGACGTCACACGGATTTGTTTTTCACTTTGATTTTCGAAATGCGTCTATTTTCTGGATTTTTCCTTCATCTGATCCTATTTTTGGGAACTCTAAGCTCATCACATTTGAGAATTGATTTTATATGAGTGTGTTTGAATTATCATCATATGTTGAAATCCAAGTACTAACTGTTATTTTGGTATAATGCGATATGTTATTATCTATATGTTAAATGTTAATTAATACATTTTTTAAATGTATAAACATTATAATAAATTTCTCATATATCCAGATTAAATCGGACTAAACCATTTAACTTTTCAACTCACTTGTTCAACCGGATCCAAAAAGGAAATATTGAGAGAGAGAGAGAGAGGCACTTTGGCAGTGAGGTCCCTGTCACGTGGACTGCCCTAACAAGGCCGGCACCGCCCCCTTCTCTGATCACTCGTCCCTCCGCTTCTTCATTCATTTCTTTTCTTTCTCGCAAAGTGATCGTATTAAGAGATAATAATAATTATTAATTACTAATTAGTCACTCCCTAATTGCACTTTAGATCTCAAACCCATACCATGTATCCGACGACGTATGTACTCATTATTTCTGCGGTTATAATAATTAATATATGATTATGAAAGCTCGTATCTATGGGGTTAGCGTGCTTAAAAGTTAAAACAACCTTTTGTTTCAACCAAAGTATATAAGTTAACATTGAACCAAGCCAACTGGGAAAAAAAAAAAGTTTAAGAGAGATAGATTATACTAACGGTTATTATTGTCTACAATTAGTTATCACCGTGTGGTATACGGTGGTATATTGGTTCTGAAATATTTTTTTTTAAATTTATATATCAGTAAATCATAAAAAAAAACTTGTTCTTTCTAAGAAAAATTATTTAAAATTCATGTTAAAATGAAGATGGTATAAGGTGGTAACGAGTGATATAGATAATATGCGTTTTTTTCCCCTCAAAATGTATTGAAATAATCTAATTTAGTAGTCCACCCTATAAGACCGGGCCACTCTTCAAATAAATTGTCCAAATCGGATTATGCAAAGATAGAGCACACTATGGTTATTAATCCTATCGATCTTCATTGGGGGAGATATGTTATATTCAGGAGGGGCTGTAGCTCACCCTCAACTTCAAAATACTGATAAAATTACATATAAAATTCGTACAAATTTTAAAAAAATAGACAAATCAATAAAAACTGAGTCTCTATCTCCAATTATCACGATCCAGTATCAGCCCCTCTCATTCAGATTTCTGTCTCCGCTACGACGAATCTTGGACCAATACCCATACTACGGACTGCATGCATGCGAGGAAGCCACGTAGCGAAGTGGGGTGGGAGAGGACTTAGGATGATCATCCACTTGGCAGATGGCGAGGCAAATCCTGTCATTTCGTGGAGGAGGGGGATATCATAATTAAATAATTAATGACCTACTTACTGCATTATTATTCCTCTTTATAACATCGATTACGATTAGAAGAAGAAAAAAAAAAAGCCAGGCTCCACCAATTAGCTAGCTAGTGTGTGAGGATTAATTAATTAATTAATTAAGTGTCCCTTTCGCAAGCCAGCCTCTCTCATTCATCGTCAACCGCAAATAACGGTGTTACCATTGATTCTTACGAACAGTTAGCTCCTAATTCCTCTTATCCATGGAAATTAAGGTACTGCATGCTGCTGGATCGCTTAACTATAGTAATCGATCGTCTTCCAATGAGCCTCTTATCCATCGGCCAACTGCGGGTATTATTAGGTCGACTCATATTCGTATGTAATTTAAAGAGAAAACATTAGACATATTTATATTTTCATTAAACATTAAAAGACAGACTATAATATGATATGTATTGTTAAATTGTTTGAGAAATTGAGATTCTCACCTATTTATAACTTTATTATTGCAACTTTATTATTGCTAAAATATAAGAAAATAAAAGTAAAATTATTGAGTAATTTGAGTAAAGCCACATGTAATTTAGGCAAAACTAGTCAGAAAGCACTAAGGAGTCAGAGGCAGCCATGAAGGTGTTCTAAGAGGACCTCTGGCACACGACCATGTATATTCATTTCTAAAGTCCTATTTGTATTCGGAAAGCCCAATTTATGTTATAAATGACACAATAAATTCTTAACGAATTAAAGATTCTTGCATAATAAAAAGAATATCTAAATTTATTTCAAATTTGTAAATAACAATGCTATGATCATTTTCAATATACTTAAAAAATTGGACTAGTTTTCAATTCTAGGACAGGGTTTACCCAGTTCAATGCTAGTGTATGATTAATTGATTATGATTTATTATAATGACTTTAGTTATGTCAATTAATATTAGTTCTAGTCATTGGTCAATATTCTCAAATATATATAGTCGAGACACGTATAATGACTTTTAAAGTCATGTTTGCGAGCCAAAACTCCTATTTTTTTTAATAAAAAACGATAATCGATTGATAATGGCAACGACGGTCAATGATCTTGTGAAGACAACGAAAATTATAGACTAATAGATACTCCCATTTTTAAAAAATAATAGGATTACATTTTAAATGAGGATTAGAAATCAACGAGAATTAGGAAATTGAAGATGAAGCCCAAAACAAAAACAATTAATAGTGGCGGCCAAAATGTGTGCACTGCATGGAGATGATGAGAAAATTCCAAAGAAACATATGCATCTATACAGCTAATTAGATAGCGTATGGAAGAAAAAGGGAGGGAGGGAGGGGTAGTACTAGACTACTAGCTAGTAACTAGTAGAAATGGCAATGGGTAGGGTAAGGTTGGGTTTTGTCAAACCCAAACTCAAATCTATGGGTTTATTCGGAAAAAAAATCAGGGGTAAAACTCATTGGATCTGGAAAACTCAAACCCAACCCAACCCGTTGGGTATCCGCGGGTTCATGGGTACACATGAGTTTTTGTGTTAAAAAATTTACAATAACAAGTCCCTATCAAAATAAAATTCAAACATCAATTCCCCATACAAATTATCCATACATAAAACACCGGTCTAGAAAATTCAAACAAATCACAATTACACTAAACAAAAGCACACAGAATAAGTGTAGTGAGAGTTAGATTGGGGGAAATTGGAATTAGGGTAGGGTTTGTGGAGGGTAGGGCGACGGAATAAGTTTGGGCCGGGTATCCATGAATCGGGTATCACTAAACCCAAATCCAACCCAACCCGCGATGAACCGTGTAAGAATTTAAACCCGAAACCCGACCGGATTAAATCGAATAGAGTACCCGTGGGTTCGAGTTTTAGTACTAGTAATGGTAGTGCCAAAATTTGCATGCCCTTCCCAACAGGTAACCCCAAACCGTCACATGACTACTCTCGCACCATCGTTGCCAGTTGTGCCACTCTCGTCTCCATCATGCACACTCACCGCCCGGTCCCTTTTGCAGTTTCTTTCCTTCTCATGCATTAATGCCTTATCTCCTCCTCCAATTTCAATTTCAATTTCAATTTCAATTTGATCCACCACCTACCAACGTATACTCCTCTCAAGCATATACTTCCAAAGGAAGAAGAAGAAGAAAAAAAAAAACAATGACTAGCAAATAAATTTGAGCCTTCAGAACACACATTCTGCAACATAAAACAGAGCAAGAGATTGATTAAGATCGGTCGAGCACGCAAAATACTATTATTACCATTACGGTACTGCCCGCGTATGAGTAACGGACACGTGTACGGTGGACAAATCAGGACATTACGACTTGTACGTGATATTTTAGTTTATATGCATCAAACGTACATGAACCCAATTCTAGTTTAACATTACATACCTTCTTCAGCTCTTCTACTACTGTATAGGACCGCGGAGGGTTTCCATCATATCAATCATGAGTGATATAAAATGCACTACTGTTTGGAATCCGGACACGTGTACGGTCCCGATGGCTGCCCCACTTTACATTCCACTTCGCCACAAGATAATGTTGTGGTTGGGGGAAAAAGTTGTAGGGGCAGTTTTGTTAAACCATAAAAGTTTAGTGACTGCCCCACTTTACATTCCACTTCCTTCTACGGTTCGGTAAACCCGAACCGAAACCGAAACCGAATTAATGCTATTCGGTTCGGAGTTCGGAAGGAAAATATGGATAGTTCGGAAATCAGGGTTCTTTCAATCGAACGGAATTTCCGAACGAAAAACCGAAATACTGTAATTGCAAGCTCCAAAATGGTGGATTTTTATGTTTGTAGTTGTTTTTAGACTTAAATATTTGAAATATTTCATGACTTATGTGTTTGAAAAGTTTGGTTTTATCATTGATGATGCATATAATTGATATTTATTGTTTATATTAGGGGTGAAAAATAATTTAAAAGTGAGAAAATACAAGTAGCTTCACAAATTCGGTTTTGTGTGAAAACCCGAACCGAATTATAATTCGGTTTAAACCGACCGAACCGAATTATATTTCGGTTCAAATTCGGTTTGTGAGAATTCGGGGACCCAATATTCATAATTTCGGTTCGATCGAAACTGAACATACCGAATGCCCACCCCACCCCTGCCTGCCTTTATATAAGCGCCAGCTGCCACGGTTGAGTTGAGAGCAAGGTACCTCGAGAAAGTTGCATTGCATTTACCCACAAACAAAAAACACAATTTATTTTTATTTTCCGGTGTGTGTGTGTTTTTTTTTTAGTGAAGAGAAATGGAGAAGGCGGCGACGAGCTTGTCGGGACTGGTCCGGACGAAGTCGGACCAGCTGGTGGAGGCGTTATCGGCGGCGTTCAAGTCCCCGTCGCCGTCCTCGTCAGGCGAGGCCGTGGCGGCGACTGCCGCTGCCACATCGGAGACCGTCGGCGTCGGCGGGGGGCCGTCGAGGAAGTCGAGCAGGAGGGCGTCGCCGGGAAACAGGAGCGGCGGCGGCGGCGGCGCGGGGAACAAGAACGCCCACATCCGGAAGTCCCGGAGCGCGCAGATGAAGTTCGAGGTGGAGGAGATGATCAGCAGCGGGGCGGCGCTCAGCCGAGCTTCCAGCGCCAGCTTGGGGCTTTCCTTCTCCTTCACGGGTTTCAACATGCCGCCCGACGACGTCATCGCCGATTCCAAGCCCTTTAGCGACGACGATATCCGTAAGCTAGCCGTTAATTTTTACGTTCATCTCACTTTTAGCGACGATCGTCATCCTATTCAAAGGTATCATTTTTTTTAGAGACGAAATCAAATTATCCAACTCATCATAACAAAAGGGAAATATTATTTTCTATAGGAAATGAAATATCATTTCTCTGATGAGGAAAAAAAAAGAGACTATATTTAACGAGGTTTTAAGAAAAATTGTAAAATCGTATCGAGAGCTGTATTAATGGAAAAAAAAATTGAGCGGTAAGGTATTTTGTATTGGAATCGTCGTAGTTTAATAATTTTCATATCGCTAAAATTGCTTATCAATTTGGCCTTCGATAGAAAATTTTCTGGTCGAATTGCCAATATGATACGATTTCAGAGTGAACTCTAATTTCGAAGGGCATCAGTTGAGAATTATTGAAAGACTATAAGAGGTTGAGCAATAACTTAATTAATTATGATTCATGGGAGTTTTAAAAAAATATATATTGGAGTTATTTATTAAGGGAGATGGGCATGAAAAGGAAACTAAAAAATGATTTGGGGGAAGAATGAGATTAATTGTGGAGGAAAAATGGGTGGTGGAGGATGCAAAGAAAAAAAAGAGAGCGAGTATATGAGGTTTGGGATGGAAGCAGCATGACAAAGACAAAGAGGAAAGTGGGATCTGAATCTTTCAATCAACTACGTAACAACTAATGCATTCAACAACACCAACCAACCCCACCTCTTGTAATTAACTCTCATCATCTTCTTTTTCGTGGCACACTGTAGGATTGAAATACCGTATCGAAAAAGTTAGCGGTAGAGTATTTTATGTTAAAATCGTGATTTAATCATGGTTCAACTGTATTATAATGTTAAATACCGCCTACCAGTTTTACTTCCGGTAGAAGATTTTTCAGGTCGAACCGCCGATACGGTACGATATTTTAATCCTTGGTCACACCTAGATATGAATAGGATGGGACTATACATATTGGCAATAAAAATCTTCATAACAAAAAAAAACTTTCAATTTAATCCGACCGTGGATAAAGGTTCTTCGTCATAAAATAAAATTTAAAATTAATCTCAACATATTTTCAATGGATTGGGTTAAGAGCAATGAGTAGCTCTCGGCTCTCGCTGATGGTGAGAGTTTTCACTATCACTTTCAGGCAAGTGTTAAATTATATTTTAGAAGAATGAATGATTGAGGGCTTTGTTTGTGACTTTTCTTGGGCCCCCAACCCATATGGACCAAGCAATTCTTTGGAGTTGGGCCCAACATAGTAGGCTGGCTGACTGACTGGCATGTCCATTTCCAACCACATCACCCCAATCTTCCTAAGTCCTAACAAATTGGAGCCATTTCCAAGCCATGCTCTTCTTTCTTAATCGTTTTCCTTCTCACTTCACTTATTAAAGATTTGACCTACTCAATTTTTTATTTATTTATACTAGTATTTGTATACTTGGTATGATATTGGTTTAATTTTTTTGTTGTTGTGCCATAAAAAAGAAGGCTTAGTATCAAAATAAGACACAAGACAACCTTTCACTTTATTAACACTAGATATGCCCGCTCAATTACGCTTCGTGTTGGCGAGTGGGAGATAAGACGGTAAATGTGTCATTAGGAAATAATTAGTAAAATATAACTCATACTAAATGTAATTTCAAGAACGACAAGAATAATTACTAAGATGTTGTGGGAGAGGTACGTAGTACTTCTTCTGATTTCGTTGCTACTGAGACCACTTGTGCCATCTTCGATATGAAGTGAGAGGTTTCTCCGTGGTCTTAGTATATGAACTCGAGTGAGAGAGATGACCAATAATGAAAATTCAAATACGGACAAAGAGGTCAATTTAGGACAACAACAAAAAATACGCATAGTGAACTGTAACTCACATTAGAAAATTTCTCTGTGGTTTTTTGCTATTTGAGCTCGAGTAAGGGAGAGTTGATTAAGTGTACAAAACCAAGTACGAACAAAGAGATTGATTTGAGCACAACAACAAAATACGCTTAATGAATAATAACACATATTAGAAGATAGCTTGATAAATAATAACACAAATTATGATATATGAATAAAACCAAATACGAATAAAATCGATTTCGACATAACAACAACAATACACGCCTAATGAGTAGTAACATAGGTGGAGATTGCCTAGTAAATAATAACATATATTAGGAGTTGGAGAAAAAACTCAAAAAAATCTCAAAATGACTCATAAAATGGCCTCCACCTTTCCCAAGTTTACATTATTTACAAAATTACCTCTTAGTGAAGAGTTAATTATCTCTTATGTCATGTGTTCTCCATCAAGAATACCCCTCATAAACTACTCTCTTTCTTCTTGTTGTTATGTGTCCTCCATCAAGAATACCCCTCAAGTTGGGGTTATTTACAAAATAACTGCTTAATGAATAGTAAGTTTAGAAGTGTGACTTTTATACCAGAAAAATTCCGAAAACCTATCCATTACTCTCCTGTCTTAGGCTAACACTGATCACTTACCAGTGTATTAATTCACACTACAATTTCATTTACTCAATTAATTGACTTCACATGCATCAATCACTGTCTAGTTCCTCATGCTAAAATTATTTTCCAAATTGCATAATGCGAATAATAGATCCAAATCGCGTCTAACCATACACCGCTAGAGCATTACCAAAATCTAACATACACCTAGTACGTTAAACTTTGTTGAAAGGAAGACAGAGCAGAGTGGCAGAGACTGAATTCATGAAAACCAAAGTCAAGCCAATGGGACCAAACTGACGACGGAGGAAAAATATTGAATGATTGGTGTGATGGGGAGTACTCATAATCATAATGCAGTTTTAGGAGGATGTGTCCAAATCCTTGACTCTTCAGCCTGTCCGTAATGCTTTTAGGACTTAGCAAATTTTCTTGTCCCCATCACTTCACCATTCTGCTGAATATTTGGCATAGCCATTCTTAACCAAAAGAAAGCTATCAAATGGTTTGTGCAGCTGAAGATATCGAGGCTGGAATCGGAAAGCCCAAATTCCAGACAGAACCCACCTTGCCAATCTATCTCAAGGTCACACTTCTGCTCTTTCTCTTCTTTGGTTCAGATGTGGTAATTTGATTCAAGCACAGTTGTATTTTTGGACAGGCAAAAGTGGGGGAGTTTTATGTATTGGCAGAAACTGGGAATTTACTTCCTTTCCTACCCAATGCCAACTAAGATACCATTTCATCATGCCCACTTGAATTTCCTTCAGGTTCATGTCTCATTGTCTTGCCATGTACTACAAACCCGCGTTTTCTCGCACTCTCTCTCTGATCATTCATCGTTCTAATGTTCGAGACGGCCCCTTCTTTCCATTGAACTTGTTCTGCAGCTTGATTTTTGGTGGGTGTGGTTTATAGAAAGAGATAGAGGGAGAGTTTCCCAAGTGTTTCTACTCTAGACCAAATTTTTTAGTCCTTTTGAGTTCAGCTGCAGTCAAGGAAAGAAGGGTATGCACTGTCTTTTCCCCCTTGCCATGTTTTCAAACCTTAAAAAGTATCCAGTAGTCTCCTGAAATTGTGTGCAAGGAAAGCTTGAAATGCTGACCATTTTAATGGAAATGATGATTCTGCAGTTCACTGATGTGACATACAAAGTGGTGATCAAAGGAATGACTTCAACACGGGAGAAAGACATCTTAAATGGGATCACAGGCTGTGTCAACCCTGGTGAAGTTCTTGCTCTCATGGGACCTTCAGGAAGTGGGAAAACCACACTTCTCAACCTGCTGGGCGGCCGGTTGAACCAATCCAGTAACCTGGGTGGCTCAGTCACTTACAATGACCAGCCTTACTCCAAGTCCCTCAAAAGCAGGTTAAGTTTTTGAAACTAGAATATGTTCAAAACTCTCTCAAGCCTTTCAACCCATCAGAAAAATTCTGATAAAAAACCCATTTTCTTACTTGCTTTCTCACAGGATAGGATTTGTGACTCAGGATGATGTCTTGTTCCCTCATTTAACCGTCAGAGAAACACTGACATATGCTGCCCTTCTGCGACTACCGAGTTCGCTAACTCGAGAAGAGAAGACGAAACGAGCAATCGACGTTATCCAAGAACTCGGCCTGGAGAGGTAGTCTGATTCAATGCTTCCACAAAACCTGATGAAACTGTTTCAACATTTTGTGGGCTAGAGCTAGACTAACCTTCCTGACTGCTACACTACATTGCTCGAATTTTGGCAAAACATAACCTTACTGCTACATTCACTACAAGAAACACTTGGAAAGTTGTTCACTTTTTTTCAATTTGGACCACGTAACACAGATGTCAGGACACGATCATCGGCGGCTCATTTGTCAGGGGAGTCTCCGGCGGGGAGAGGAAACGAGTCTCCATCGGAAACGAGATCATCATCAACCCTTCCTTGCTCTTCCTCGACGAACCAACCTCCGGATTGGACTCCACCACCGCGCTGAGGATCGTCCAGATGCTGCAGGAGATTGCAGAGGCAGGGAAAACGGTGATCACCACAATTCACCAGCCGTCCAGCAGGCTGTTCCACAAGTTCGACAAGCTGGTGCTTTTGGGGAAAGGAAGCTTGCTCTACTTCGGGAAAGCGTCGGAAGTGATGGCATACTTCTCGTCGATCGGATGTAACCCTCTCCTGGCAATGAACCCTGCCGAGTTTCTTCTTGATCTAGCTAATGGCAACATAAACGATGTCTCAGTGCCTTCGGAATTGGAGGACAAAGTTCATGTGGGGAATGGTGAAGCTGAGACCAGAAATGGGAAGCCTGCTCCTGCAATTGTTCACGAGGTAGGAAAATGATTTCTGTGGGATGCTCCATTGTAATAATCTTTGCTGAATCTGACAGTGTGAGTGTATTTTCAATCAGTATCTAGTGGAGGCCTACGAGACACGAGTTGCGAAGAGGGAGAAGAAGAAGCTCTTAGCTCCCATACCGCTAGATGAAGAAGTGAAGCTGAAAGTCTCATCTCCCAAACGGCTGTGGGGAGCAACCTGGTGGGAGCAGTACACTATACTGTACTGCAGAGGGATCAAGGAGCGCCGCCATGACTACTTCAGCTGGCTGAGAATCACACAGGTGGTCTCGACTGCAACCATTTTGGGCTTACTGTGGTGGCAGTCTGATACCAGCTCTCCCAAAGGACTCCAGGATCAGGTAAGAAAAAGCAGAAGCTTGGTCTGTTTTTTTTTTTTTTGTGTGAAAATCAAACATTCAGGTGAAAATGGTTTTCTGCAGGCGGGGTTGCTGTTCTTCATTGCTGTGTTCTGGGGGTTCTTTCCAGTTTTCACGGCGATCTTCACGTTCCCTCAAGAACGTGCGGTGTTGAGCAAGGAGAGATCGGCTGATATGTACAGGCTGAGTGCATATTTCATGGCCAGAACTACAAGTGATCTTCCACTTGACCTGGTTTTGCCAGTTCTGTTCCTTCTGGTGGTGTATTTCATGGCGGGGTTGAAAATGGGTGCTGGTCCCTTTTTCTTGACCATGATCACTGTTTTTCTCTGCATTGTTGCTGCACAGGTTAGCCAAAACTGATAATTAAGAAGCCACCATGATCCCAAATATCAGATGTCTCTTTTAACAATAATAGTTTTTTGCTGCAAACTGCAGGGGCTTGGACTCGCCATTGGTGCAAGCTTGATGGACATGAAGAAGGCTACTACTTTAGCTTCAGTTACTGTCATGACCTTCATGCTTGCTGGAGGCTTCTTTGTTAATGTAAGTACAAGATTCAAAAATATTACTGATTCTGAAATAGGGTAAATTCTGTTTCTTTCTGGATGGAACATATCTGACAAGGAATCTGGTTATAGTGGAGGCATTCTTGATTAAGTTTCCTAACTGTTTTATTCTTTTGAAAATTTGCTGCAGAGAATCCCAGTTTTCATATCTTGGATACGCTACATGTCATTCAACTACCACACCTACAAGTTGCTACTGAAGGTACAGTACGAGCATAGGATGCCAGTTATCGGTGGAACCAGAATCGACAGTGGTTTAGAGGAAGTGTGTGCTCTTGTTGCCATGGTATTTGGCTACCGTCTCTTGGCCTATATTTCTCTGAGGATGATGAAGTTACAGTCTGGTGCCTGATAGCTTGTGGCAAAGGATTGTTCATCAGGAACATGAAGATGATAATCTAGCTCTTAAGAGCTAGCTTGTGAAAACCTTGTGTTCCAAGCCGAAGAGAAAGGGGAAAGTGAAGCTACAGTCTAAACTAGCAGATTTTCCACCTCTACCGGGTGTCTGGTTCCTGTATGGCTAAGACCTGTACTGAGAGGATGGGTCTTTACTCCTGGCATTAGGAAGCATGAAGATGAGGTTTTAGAAATGCTGACCGGGAACTCGAGCTCATTGCTAGAGTTTGACAATAAGCAAGAGCATTAAACACTATGCATGAAATTTCGACAATAAGATTTTAGAGGATGGGAAGAAACTCTAGGGTGTGATATGGTATAACTAGCAGACAAGACACATGTTTGGAATTTTGTAACAAACACTCGATGCATAAAATGCATGTACAATTTTCGTTTGACAGGAGACTCGGAAATCAGAAGCTTGATTACCAAGTTACTAGCATGTTTCTATCTTTTGATCATAATGTTTACCCCTTGGACAAGTATGGTTCTACCTTCTCTGGCAAAACTGTTCCCTCGAATGCTAAATATGATCATGCCAGTGTCCTTAGCCAACCAAGTAGCCCAAGCAAGGCAGCGTCCAAAACAGGGGACTTCTTTTCAAGTCCTACAATGGAAATTGCATATAAAAGGGATCAGAATTTGCAAAAAGAACATGCAATTAAGAAGGTTTAACAATTTTACAGAAGTATGCTGGAGAGTTGTAGTTTCTAGCTTACCAACGTCAGCAGCAACACGGTGGGCACACATGACTCCAGAAAAGGCCACAGCTATAACACCTTGTCCAGGAAAGCAACTGTCACCAACACAGTAAAGCCCATCTACACTCTGCAAATTTTGCATCACCAGATTCAACACAACTCTCAAATCAGTAGACCGGAATTTATAGACAGTATCATCTTGTTTAAGTCAGAAGAGGTTAGGACTTTACTTACTGTTGTATTAAATGGCATACCCAATAAGCCTTTTGGAATGTTGCGTGGCATAGGTCCATAGGTCCCATCGTTGCGAGCAAGATATCGCCTGTGAGTCTTTGGTGAACCCACCTGCCATGAACCACAAAATTATTCAACATCTACAACATTCTATAAGCATAAATATTTTGAGCACAAAAAAAATCGTGATTAATAATCTAAATCTGCAACTATGTTAAGTAAAACATGACTAAGCTAACTTTACCTCCTTGAAAACAATGGCGGATTTTAGCCCAGGGAACAGTTTTTTCTCCAATCTGCTTATGATCTCATCAGCTACAGCTTCCTTCTTTGCCTCATAGTCTTTTCGAGGAATTCGCTGAAGCAATGAGTCTACGATAAGGAGAGAGAAATAATGCAGGGGACAAACAGAAATAAGACGAGAATTTACCTCCCAATCCTCTATGGAGGATGTTGTAAATATGTGAAGAATATGACACCCTTCTGGAGCCAATGATTTATCAAGAACAGTGGGAATGCTCAAAAAGATGCTTCCATATGGCGCCTCTAACCTTGCCCAATCATCCTACAAAGAGGAAGAGGAATGCACCATTGTTGGTTGCGGCATCCAAATTTGCCAAGCAAATGCAGTTCACCAGGAAGAGAGAAATCACCTCAAGCACAAAATGGTGGCAGTCTGTATCGGGTGGTAGAACCTCTGCCTTAACACCCAGGTGAATAGAAAGAAAAGAGGGTGCCTGGACATAAATTTTTTGGAAATTTTCTTCCTCTTTTGGGAGCTGCTCTCCTTTCAACAATTTTCCTGCATCATCATGCCACTGTTTGCTATAAGAACTCGATGGGATGAATCAAGTCATCTAAGTTTCAAACCGAAACATGTTTCAAGAAAGCTAACCAAAGGTATCCCATCTAGTTGCATTGGATATAACCGTCTTTGCAAATATCTCTCTTCCATCCGAGAGTCTCACTCCTACCTATAAAATGCAACTGGGTTACTTATAACCACCAGTGTTTGCATCAACCATCATATCAATATAATTATCAAATTTAACTTACAGCCTTTCCATTTTCAAGAATTATCTTCATGACGTTTGCCCTGTAAGCAATCTCACTGCCTTGATCAACGAGACCTTTTGCTAGGGATTTTGCAATTTGACCAACACCACCAACTGGATAATTAATTCCTCCAAAATGTCTGTCACATAGGACCTGAAACATGGAGTTGAAAAGGTTCAATGGGAATAAAGAGGATGGCTGTGTTGATACCGCAAGTTAAAATACTCAGAAAACATACCATGGCTGCATTGATCATTGGTGTCTGCAGAGCATTAACTGTGCTCACTATAAAACACTGCATCCAAAAGACAACTCATAAGCTCGTCTGTTCTTTCCTTCAACAAGTTTTCTAGAATATGTCAGTGAGATCACTGAAGAAAAGGTTAAAGAGAAGAAATGAACAAACCTCAGCATCGATAAAGGACAACAAGCCAGGGTCTTTTATATACTTCCTAGCAATATCTCCAGCATTTTGGGGCAGATAATATGCTGCAACGTTGAACCAATTATGACAGAAAAAATTTGCATGCATGATAAAGATAATGGGTTTTCAGTTTTTCAATGAATTTTCTTTATGTCAGAAAATATTTGCGAAAAGCCAAAAAAACATAAATTACCAAGAGTTAAGCACTCAAGAGGCTTCTGAAAGAACTGCCCAAACAGGTAGATAGGTTCCTCCAACGACTTCAGTTCCAAAGAGTTCAACGCATTGAATATCTATAAAATATAAGGTAAGCACTCATTAAAGGCAACAAAATTGCACTAAGAAGTTGAACTCCAAGTCACTTGCCACCAACCTTCCAGCATTCACCATAGAACTTAGTGATCCCTTCCTTCTCATGAGGAAACCTAGAAACCAGTTCTGCAAGAAACTCACTGTACTCTCTGTGGACAAGAACCGAGAGATTATTTGGAAGATGAAAATGGACAGTACTCGGATCAGGAAGCACCTCCATCTCACAACCAACTGCTGCCAATGCTCTGGTTATCAAATTCAAATTCCCCTGTAATGATTCCAACAGCAGATCAGAAACGATGAGTTATAAACTTATAACACCACTGATGATTCAGTGAACAATGTTAGCTTAACTTGGACACACAATGGATTTCAAATTGAGCTACCGAGAACTTCAGCTACATTCTAATTGCTGAGACACCAAGAACCTAGACTATCACACTATTCATCCTAAATCCATACCCCAATTCTCATTTGGTTCCAACATTACAAAAGACAAAAGAAACGGACACCAGATGGTGCAAGAAACTGACCTTGTCACTGAAACCAAACATGACAGAAGACCCAACATCGAACGTGAAACCATCTCGTTCATAATAGCCAGAGCTGCCGCCGGGAATGACATACTTCTCCAAAACCAGAACTTTAGCCCCTTTTACCGCCAGCTGAGTAGCAGCAACCAACCCACCAATCCCAGACCCAATCACAATTGCATCATAATAACCTCTCCCCTTATCCCCACTAACATCCGTCTCTTTATCCACGCTCAGGGTTGACTTCGCTCTCGCGGAGAATTCTCCCCTCCCGAGCTTCAAATTCCCATTCCTTACACAGCGCCCCTTGTCCATGTCGTCCTCAATCCCATCTACAGAACCCAAACCTCTAAACGAGCGGTGAATTGCCTGGTTCTGGGTTGTTGTAGGCCTGAAACTCCCCAATTGGGCAGCACAGAAGCTACCCAGGAACTGAGAGCTGCAACTCATGACTGTCTCTCTCGGAAAGAAACGGACTTTAGTGAATGGTGACCTAGAAATGAACCAGAATCTCTTCCAGGCAGTGGGGATGAAAATGGGTTGAGATTGTAATTGAAGTAGGGAAGGCAAGTGCGGACGATTGGTGGTTGATGAAGAGATTCCATTCCCGGATTCCTTGCCATTTGGAGGCAACGCAAAGACAAGGCGGAGGACAGTTCTAGGCTGCAATTGGAAATTCGAAAGAAAAAAAAATATATATTTTTCGGGTTCACCATTTATTTATATTATTATGCCGCGATGGAGAGTGTTCCGTTTGGGCCGGCTCTCTTTCTAATGGGCTCACGCTGGGGCCCAAAAGAAAAGGAAGCCCAAGTTAAAAAAAAAAAATTTGGAGTCTGTCAGAAAGCACACATGACCATCTGGGCCGCCTCAGCAACCAAGAACGATCCTCTACAGCCTCGATTGGTCCGAAGACAATCTCAGCCGTTAATCACGCTCTGATCATGTGGCTATAGTTCATCCACCAGACTTGGATTCCTGTCTCCTTTGTGCTAAAGGATTCAGAGGTACGAGCCTATAGAACAGATCCTGTTCAAGTAAGGTCGTGTCCAATCAAGCTTCCCCGGATAATATAAACACCCGCGTTCAACTGAAACTAAGCGATGTGGTATTCTCTTCCTTTGATCTCTCGCGCCAAACTAAATCGGGCCCTACTCCAGGCCCGGCCCACTCTCAGGATGTGACTCTTCTTTCTCCGTTTCGCCTACACGTGTCCCTCTTTTTATTATTTTTTAGTTTTTTTTTTCACACTTCGATCTGTCGCTCTGCGGCGCCAACGAATTTGGATCGCTCACTTGCAAATCAAATCCCTTCTTCTTCTTCTTCTTCTTCTTCTTCTTCTTCTTCGATCTTTTCTTGTAATCTCTGCAATTCAATTCATCGCTACCTCCGCTTCGCTCTCTCTCGGTAACTTCCTTTCTCCGCTTTGCGTACTAGATCCTGCATTTCCCATCACAACCTTGTTTGTCTTCTGAGAAAATCGTGTTCCTGTGAAGCTACTTTAGGAAATTTTAGGGATGAACTTTCTCTGCGATCCCACTTGTTTCGCCCTTCCTATTCAGCACTGTTCCGTCGCCTAATGAAAACTAGTTTAGTTTCAGGCTGAAGTTGATTCTCTACTTGGGATGGAACGCCTCAAGGAATCTGCCCGTCTTATGATAGTCTCGGATCTTGATCATACCATGGTATATATACTAACTCGCTTCTTCTCTTGCTTCTTTTCTCTGTATTCCCCTAGTTATGGAGTTTCACCGTGCAGTTTGCTTTGTCCGGTAGGTTGATCACCATGATAAGGAGAACTTGTCTCTCCTTAGGTTTAATGCGTTGTGGGAAGCCCACTACCGATTTGATTCTCTCCTGGTTTTCTCCACTGGGAGGTCGCCCACGCTCTATAAGGAATTGAGGAAGGAGAAACCCATGTTGACACCTGACATAACGATAATGTCTGTGGGAACTGAGATCACTTATGGTAACTCGATGATACCCGATGATGGTTGGGTTGAAGTTCTGAATCACAAATGGGATAGGAAGGTTGTCACTGAGGAGACTAGCAAGTTTCCTGAACTTACTCTCCAGGTAAGGTATGAGAATAATGGCATTCTGGTGGGCATTAGAGGGTTTGCAGTATGAACCACGGCATTGGCCATAGGTCGATGTTGTGAGTAAAAAAGAACAAGAGCTTTCTTTTTCGCTGCAAAATGTTGATGGAATAGTTGGGCTCTCTTGAGTAATTTGGAAAGTTTGGTTTTGTGCAGTCGGAGACAGAGCAACGGCCTCACAAGATTAGTTTCTATGTGGATAAAGCTAAGGCTCAGGATGTGATAAAGGCTCTCTCCGGGATATTCCAGAAGCTTGGGGTGAGAACAAGTTTCCCACTTGCAATGATAGTACATTTTAGTTCGATGATATGACCTCAATTATTCTGCATTTGTTGTAGTATCCTTATTTGAGGTTATGGGAAGTTACCATTTGAGTCATTTGTTGACCTATTGGTTGTTTCACTGGCCAGTTGGATGTGAAGATAATTTACAGTGGAGGAATGGATCTTGATATTCTTCCACAAGGAGCTGGAAAAGGCCAGGCCCTGGCGTACTTGCATAAGAAGTTCAAGAATGAGGGGAAGCTACCCAAGAACACTCTTGTCTGTGGTGACTCTGGAAATGATGCAGAGCTATTCACCATTCCTGATGTACATGGGGTTATGGTAGGATCTTGGTCTTTCTATGAAGTTGGTTGACAGTAAAGATTAGCAATGCTGAAGAGCACATCATTCTCCTGCTCTGGAATTTTATATCTCCCTATGCAGGTTAGCAATGCTCAAGAAGAACTTCTGCAGTGGTATAATGAAAATGCTAAGAGTAATCCTAAAGTAATGCATGCGACTGAGAGGTGTGCAGCTGGCATTATTCAAGCCATTGGTCATTTTGGCCTTGGTCCAAATACTTCTCCAAGAGATGTAACTAAGCCAAAAGAAGGTGATTCAGAAAGCATCCATCCCAATCATGAATTGGTCAAATTCTTCTTGTTCATGGAGAAATGGAGGCGTGCAGAAATTGAGAATTCAGAGGAATATCTGTCAAGTTTCAAATCTGATTCGGTAAGCTTGCTATCTTTGTAACATTCCTGTCTGTGTTTCTAGTATGCTTTATGCATGCATCTGTTTGGCCGTAGGTTATAATTTTGAGACTTTTTTTTATTTTTTGTCATAGATAAATAATTTTGTGACTATTACTGACTTCATATTGATGAACAGTTTTGCTGTTTTACTTACCAAGTCTTCTAGGCTGACTTTATAGTGAAGAACCGTATGAAACTTTTTAACTTTGAACAAATCCCTCTGAATGTGTCTAATAAGTTGGTTGCGTTCAGTCAGATAAGGTTATGAATCAACGGATTTAAACAGCTCTGCCTGAGGGTTTTGTTACTAAGTTTGGAGCTTCTCTTTCCCTTTTCTTGTGTTTTTGCAGGATCCATCTGGGATTCTTGTCCATCCATCTGGTGCAGAGCTTTGTCTCTCTGATGCCATGAATAAAATTAGGAGTTGGTACGGTGACAAGCAGGGGAAACAGTTCCGGATCTGGGTGGACCAAGTTTCATCCGTCCCAATTGGCTCAAGTACATGGCTGACAAAGTTCTACAAGTGGGAACAATCAGGTAATGCTCCTTTCTCAAAGAAACCAAACTCATTTATTATGATTTTAGGATGATACCAGTCAAAATGGGAACTGAAGTAACTAGTAGAAATGTAGAATGAATTGTATAGTAGTACAGACCTGATTTTCTTGTGAAAGTCTCTTTGAATAATGAAGTGGTTTGTTGCTTTGGTTGAAATCCTTGTAGAGGAGGAAAGGCAAGGCTGCGTGACCACATGTATAGTTACTTTGAAGGTTAGTAGGGAAAAACAAAAGTGAAATTGAAGTTGGCATTAGTTTTGGTGATCACCCTATGACATGACGATTTTGGTTTGTTTGCTGTCGTTGTTTACTTGTTAGGCTGGGAACCCGACTCCAACGTTTCTGCATGTGCACCAGACATGGTTGGATGGATCAGCAGCTTCTAAAGATCAGTCCACCTGGCTCTTGTAGATCTCTCTCCTTCCCTCTCGAACATCGCCGGAGAAAAGAAAGGAAAAGGTTGGGTATACCCGAAATAAGATAGCTCAACCTAGTCTTTTGAAGTTTTTTTTTTATGTAATTGAGTCATTTTACATCCATCACAAAGGATGATGATTGATGTGCAGTATGGCTTCCAGTTTCCTTGCTGTTGCTTTGACGTTAGTAGAAGCTATGTAACAAAAACAAATAACAAGTGAGAAACGATGATGATATATCATTAGGATGAGAAGTGTTCATTTGAATCTGGCTGGCTGCTCCCTTGTCATCACTCTCCCCGATTTCATGTCTCAGCTCCATCTCCTGCTTCTGCCTGCCCCTTCTCCCAAACCGAAACCCAAGGCAGCTAAAAGGGTGCGTCGAACGATGTCGTTTTAGCCTTCTGTAAGCTAGTGATGCTTTCGGCTACTGGTGATGCTTTCGCCATCTAGGATGCAGTACTCCACCGCTTCGCCTAGCAGCACGACGCTTGTATTGCTCTCCCACTACCCAGTTTTCAAGGTTAATGCGTATAGTTAAAAAGTTTGAATAAAAGGATGCGTGGAACGATGTCGTTTTAGACTTCTGTAAGCTAGTGATGCTTTTGGCTACTGGTGATGCTTTCGCCATCTAGGGTGCAGTACTCCACCGCTTTGCCTAGCAGCACGACGCTTGTATTGCTCTCCCACTACCCCGTTTTCACGATTAATGCGTATAGTTAAAAAATTTAAATAATAAAGGGCCCAACCGGGTTCGAACCGGTGACCTCTTGATCTGCAGTCAAATGCTCTACCACTGAGCTATGGACCCTTTAATGCCTTATAATTTTGTAGTACAGTAAAACTTTTATTTTGTTCAAACCTGAAAGAAAGAGATTCAAACCGGTCTTATCCAATCGCTCACTTTTCTCTAATTAATTAGTACGTTACCTCATTTATTACGATTTCAAATTCCCAGTCTAAATCTCTCTCCACCCCAGATCACCGCCATCCCCTACTCTCTCTGCCTCCCGCTATCTTGGGATCTTAGATCCGAACCAGATCGGAGGCGAGTCCGGAGGTCCGATTTGATCAGTTTTTTGGGGGCGAGATGGCACTTCGGATCGCGTACGGAGTGGTGTTCCTGTCCATGTCGTGTACCTGCTTCATGCTTCTCCACCTCCTCCTCACTCCAGTCCTCTACCTCGCTCCCTGACGCCCGCTCAGATCGCCGGCCGGATCTGTACAGTCAGTTTATCTTCTGCTTTCGTTTTTCTCTGTGCGTCGGTTCCCCGGTGATGATCTATTTGGAGGCAGCAGTTTCTCCTGTTACAATTAAATTTTAGCATGAGGTCGATTTTTGGAGATGGTCCGGTTCTCTGTTTCCTCTTCTTCTTCTACGGCGGACGGATGATTCCGGCGAGTGTTTGGTTGGATTTTGTATCCTGGCTTGTATTGTAAGTTGTAGCACTGCAAAATATTTGTTTATGTGATTATGTGGAATGGAATTGGATGAGTTATCTGCTTTAACCCTAATTTTTCTGGCTTTATTGGCTCCATGATTGATTGCATCCTTGCTCAGAACTGCAGAGGATCCCATAGATCACAGATTTGCATCATCAAAATCCACTGCTTTTGTGATCAATTAGTGCAGAAAACCCCCCTATTAAGTGGGTTTTTTGAATCTTTTGATGCCTCTGGATTTTACTGTCCCAAATCCACAAACGCAGAAGAAGAAGAGAATTCGTATATTTAGTCAAAAAGAAGAAGCTCAAACGTTTCACAATACCAACGACCCCAAATGTAAAAAGCAATATATAAATCAAACAATGAAACACGAAGGAATTTGTTTATCATGATATTTTAAAACCCTCTCTAGAAACGAAGAAAAATCCCCAGGAGTTAGTGGGTTCCCTTTACCATTCCTGCGCTGCGCGCACGTTTTTCCCATCAACGCCTGCTTCTTCCCATTCTTCCAATGTTGGTGTCCGGACATTCAATAAATCACCATAACCGACCGACCAACATATCATCCGCGGACTCTTGAGGGAAGAAGAAGAAGATGGAGAATTCTGTGGGAGTTGGTCTAATGGCTGCGTTTGCAATCTCGGGGAGCGTTGCTCTCATTTCTATCCAGCTCCAAAACCGCCTCCTTTCAAATTTCATGGACAAGATTGAAGTCCAGCTGGGTTTGTATTATTTCCCTCTGTTTCTGCTCTGTTTTTCTCTTCTCTTTTGTTATGCTCTGTAATTTCATTTTCAACGGAGGCCGATTTCCTTAAAGTTGGGAAATTTGATGACAGCGAGGAGGAGAAGAAGAATAATCCATCACCATAATCGTAAACACCAATATAAGCAGGGGAAGAGGGTCCGATTTGCAGAACATGTAATGGAGTTTTCCCCTGTTTCCCAAGATAGTGATGATTATGATGACAACAGGCAGATTCTTTACAAAGGGATTATGGTTATGGATGAAAGGACCCTTGAAGAGAGTAACGCATCTCCACTTGTATCTAAGGAATCGCCAACCATTGGAGCGACGAAAAGCTCCAATCTTGGAACAGTGATGTAGTGGCGCCACAGATAAAGGGGATTTTGGTTTTCGGTAGCAGTTGTAAAAATATTACTTTAGCTGCAAAATTGCAGCTGTTGTCAATAATTTATTGGTTATTGTTATTGTTGATGGGTCGTTAAATCGATCTTGTACTCTTTGCATAGGCTGATATTGGGTTAGGATACGTTGGAAAACAAATTCACATGATATCAATGTTATTATATCCTATCAAATAGTCATTTATATTAGTTCATCAAAGTGAGTAGTGTTTTTACCTGACTCATTGGTTCATTATAAATGTCCTTTTCAAAACTTGTAAAGAAGGCTGGTAGCGAGAACATTAGATCGCTTGTTTGATTACCATAGTTCTAAAAAAATTCAGGAATTATAATTACTTCTAGAAAACCCGTAGTCTTTTTCAAATCATATAGATAATAATCTAGCTGTGGTTACAAATCTAAAAATACGATTGTGAGAGATAGAGAACTCATTATTAGGTTAAAGGGAAGATAGCAAGTTTCAACAAGAAGAGAATTTGGTTGAAGAAGAGTAAAATATAAAACTAAGGATTTTATACATGAAGATTGAAGTTTTATTTGATTTTAATATTATTTATGACGATGAACTAAGTTCATTATATTGTAGCTTGATTGTAGAAATACCGGTTGTATTGATGAGATTGGAGTTCCAATCTCACCTAACTACCACATCTATGTTTATTCATTTTTCTCCTGAACGACCTTATTATGAATGGCCCCGCCATAATATCTAGTAGATATTAGATAATATAGTAACTAATAGTAGTAGTGCTCTACAAATACTCTTTATCTTTCGCATTTATAATTTCATGGTCAATGTTTGGTGTGTGATTATAAAATATGATGAGCATTCTTTAGTATAGAAAAAAAAAACAACTATTTTCAATGTGAAAATGAGATGTGAATAATTTGACTGACTCGCATCGTCACCCACCCGAACGGAGTAAGTGTGAGTGTGAGATTTAGTGACCCACAATTCACCCACATCAATTACTTCCCAAAACGATTTGAGATATTTATGAATAGATCGATGTCATCCTGCAATTCAACCACTCATTTAGCTTGCCTGCGATATCAGTATGATAGATGTTTTAGCCCTCCCGTCATTACTGAACCAATTTCTAATGTTAACCCAGATATTAACAGTTATCCTTTATTTGGGTTGGAAGTTGAATAGTGTTTTGAAGTGTTAAATGAGTAACGAGTCATTCTCATGCAAAGCAAAGCAAAGCAAAGCAAGGGGGCAAGTTCCATGAAAAGGCATATTGTAAGTTTGGGCTGTAGTTGCTCGATGGGCTACAGCCTACAGCAACTCATCAATGCCGGTCAACACAAAGAAACAATTATGTCGTCCATGGGACACAAAAACTGCCACTAGCCTCACATGTAGTGAAAAAAAGATTGAAACACCATATCGTACTAGCGGTTCGATCAGAATTTTTTTCCACTGAAAGTTGAATCAGTAGGCGGTATTAGTGGTATGAAGCGGTTGAACTATTTCAAACCATGATTTTAGCATAAAATACCCTATCGTTAACTTTTCCGACACAACCTCCGGTACGATATTTCAATGATCTGAGAGTTGGAAAAGAAAGAAGCCTGGATCGTACATGGATGGATATATATATCATTGAGTAGTGAGACGCTTAAGAAGATAGAAACGAGAACTTGGCAGGGAAATGGGAACTTCTCACATGGAATGTTTGGGTTTGTAGAAAGAGACACCTACTGCTTCTGCTTCTGCCTGCCTTCAGATTGGTTATTATTATGATTGTGTATAATGTCACTCACTCACTCACTCTACTGTGGTCCTTTTCTTGTGCCCATTGGTCTCAAAGCCCACCCTGTTTTACCCTTTGTTTCTTTCCTTCTTTGGCTTCTCCTCGTCAATCTTTCGCCTATTGTTGGGCAAACAACAGAAAGGTGGTTGTGATTGTGATTTATGAGTAAGAATGCCCCCATCATTTAGCTTATTGACCACTTAATTTTAAAGTTATTCAAGAGGGTAATGATGATTTGAGTAGTCTTGGTATTAAAATGCTCGATTTGAACTGCAAAGTTGACAATTAATGCTTCGTAATGGACTTCTGGGCTCTGATCTCCTAGGTTGGATCAAGACCTCTAGTTGACAAGTAAGACTCTTGTTTAATGTCGAGTACAGGGCTTTGACCTCCTAAGTTGGATCAAGACCTCTAGTTGACAAGTAAGACTCTTGTTTAATGTTTGAGTACATTGAACAAAGAGGTTGATTATCTCAATCTCGAGCTCGATCGAGCTCGTCCCATAACAATCCTCCCCTCAAGCCAAGAACCACGAGTTTCGCGTCCTCTTCTCAGTGATTATCTTGATCCGCCAGACGCTTTGTATTGATGGGCTTCTCGGTACAAGGACTTTACCTGTTTCCTGGATCGCAGATCTCAAATCCCGAGATCACCGAATGAGGGTCCCACCGAACTGACGTCCACCGCCCCGGATCCGCCGAACCAGGCTGTGATACCACTTGTCAGAACAAAAGCGTGCAATTGATAATCCAAATCAACATGAACGAACATAAATTTAAACGTGGTTCACTAACACAATATGTGCTAGCTAATCCACAGCAAGGGAGAACAAATTTCACTGATTTGAGGAGAGTACATGTTACAAACCAAATTCCGAACGGCCAAACCAAACAAACTAACCTGACTGACCTTACCACAGATTAGGGAGATGAAGAGTATTTAATTATTTATAGAACTCTTCTTCTAATCCCAAACAAAAAACCAAATACTTTTTTCAAACCTACAATGAAAAGGCCAAAACAAAGTTCAAACACAAATCCAAATAAAACTACACTAATATTCTACTGAACCGCCAACGGCAAACACCCGAAACAACCAGCACTAACTAAAGTCGCTTCATTATAGATAACCACTAACCCACAAATTCCCATTAATCACGTCATAATCCCACCCCCAACAACTCACAATTAAATAATAACTATTATTAAATTAATGCACATGACATTAATCCTATACATATAACATCTTTCTTATTTGTAATTAGTTGCTTTTATTTTAATATGTATATATATTAGGTTGCACGATTGCCTAAGTTACCAATGGACTACTACGATTAGGAACTTTTTGAGGAGTATAGGAAACTCGCTGGGAAGGTTTATCAAGATGGATGAGGCCACAAGGCGAAGTTAACTTGGCGAAACCTTTGATATGCAAATATCGTCTGAAAAGGACAACACGTCGAGTTGAGTATGAGGCCTTACGCAAGATTTGCTTTGAATGTGGTCGTTATGGGCATGAGCAAGAAGTGTGCCCATCGCAATCGCTAGCAGCACCAACGGAAGCGGATTTCCTTGGAGCACATGTTCCCACCCAACAAGCTTACCATCGAGCAAGAACGCCCGGAGATACATGAGAGCTACGAGACACTTATAACAACAAAATAATAAGAATTAGAATTAAATTATGCATATATTAATTACACTTGAGAACATCAAAAAAAGGAATGATTATCCATCCAATTTTGCATTTTTATCGTCATCATACTTAAATGGAGAGAAGTAATAAGAGAAGAAAATCACGATTAGGGGGGGGAGTCCTTAAATAATAAGTGCCTAATAAGATGATGAGATTGTTAGATTTGGATAAGTGTCTTCCAAATTGATGACTCGGCCATCACTTTCGGCTGGTGCTTTGTCGTTCCGACCACACGGGCGGCCTGCTTACTGCTTTAACCTCCACGTGTCCACACCACCAATTTTGTTATCTTCCTCACAGTCAAAACGGTAAGACTAACAAGGTTGGGCGTCGTGGGATCTATCGTTGGACCTTTCACAATGGACTATTTGTTAAAAACACATGGGTTTTTGTTATTATTTGCTATTCGGGCGATTCCTGGTTTACGATAGTTTTTGGAATTGTTTGTGCATTTTTTTGGCATTTTTTATAGGGGTTTTTGGGTGTTATTTGAGTATTTCAGCAGTGGGATTAAATGATAGATAGCTTAAAGAGAAGTGAAGTATCCCGGGTGATATGTTCTGTAAATTGTGGGCTTGAGCCATTAAGCAATAACCTGTAATTTTCCTAAACCTACTGCTTTTATGTGTTTGTTTCTTAGATTTGAGTTGCTCTCTATAGATTTTCATCTTTCATTCAAATTCTACTTATGCTTATGTTTGTGATGCTATAATTGTATTGTGGTGGAACACCTGTCTTGTGATTGTGTGTTATGAAGAGGCTTGAAAGTATGGTATTGTTCTAATACAATTCTATCACCTTCAACTTCCATAAATCTTACCACAAAACAATTTCGCATTATTGTCCATTATGTTTTTTTTTAGTGTAGGTAGAAGGTAAGTGCGTCATCTGATCAACTGTTTGTCGAAAGGGATTTCCCGATTGCCAAAAACAGAAATTGTTTTCTCCAAGTCACAATATAAAAAAAAATTATATGTTTTTGTTCAGTTTTACACGAAGTTTTGATTATTGAAACCCCAATATATTTTGTCTATAACTAATATTATTTTTGCGTCAGGTCGGACGGTCAGATTACGCTATTTTGTTGCGAGGTTCATAATTTTCAATAACAGACTGTCCGACTCGATTATCATCAAATGAATCATTTCAACGTCAATCCGAATAAGCTCGCCCGATTATTATTACTCAATACATATCCGTCTCGTTGGAAAAAAAACCCCTATAAATGGAAGAATAAACAAATCTTTTGCAAGGTAAGTTTGTACTTAACAACTTACCATTTTATATCATGTGGGAAACAAAAAGAAACCAAAAAACTGTGGGTAAGTAGAGCACTTCTACTATGCTATATAGTATTGGTGCTTTAATGTACAACTTAAAGTTGTACCATAACATTAAATGTATAAGTTTAGGTTGTACCATAAAGCAATTTGTACCATTATGTTATGGTACAACTTTACAACTTGAAGTTGTACCATCACATAAAGGTACAAGTTCAAGTTGTACCATAAAAGAATTTGTACAAAAAGTATAGGTACAATTTGAAGTTGTACAATAATATAAATGTACAATTTTAAGTTGTACCATAAAGGCAAAACCCTATAGCACCAATACTATATAGCATTATAAAATTTCTCCGGTAAGTATTATTATTATTTACCAATATACAGTAGACTACTACTGGCCTATTAGCTATTAATAAATTCCAGGAGAGGCAGAAAATAGACCTATGAATGCTCGGCAGGAAAAAGTCCCTCCCACCCTCACCATTCTTTTACCAAAGACTGAGAGAAAGGAAGAAGAAAGAACAACAAAAAAAAAAAAACACTGGAACTCCGCGAAATTCGGTCGATCCATATTTGACCTTCTCTCCCTCAATCAAACTCCTTCCTTCTCGTTTAGAATTAGATTCTTTCATTCTATAATCCAACCTCCCGATCTCCCCACCTCCATTTCGCCGGTGTTATCAATCTCTGCACGGCCAACACACAACAAAACCCCCCTTTCTTCCTTCTTCTTCTTCTTCCGCCGCCGAGCACCGCCTTCCTGGAAAATGGAGGAGGAGCTCTGCCTCTAATCTCGCCAATCACGAATCCGGGAGAAGAAGGGGGAGAATCCAATACCCAATTAAAAAAAAAAATTAAAAACCCAAAAATGATCTTCGACATCGACAGCAACGGCAGCACGCGGCGCGTGCTGACGGCGAGGGAGCCGTCGCTGGTCCTAATCCGGCCGTCCTCTCCGACGATAGCCCGTCGGGACACGTTCCTCCCGCCGCGCCACCGGCGGAGCTACTCCGCCTCCGAGGCGTCGTGCTGCAGCGGGAGGTTCGGGGAGCTGGCCGGTGGCACGACGGCGGAGTGCGCGGCGATCGCCTGCTGCTGCCCCTGCGGCCTGGCGAACCTCCTCTTCCTCACAATCTACAAGGTCCCCGTGGGGCTCTGCCGGAAGGCCCTGCGGCGGAAGCGGCGGCAGCACCTGATGAAGAAGGGGCTCCTCCTCCCGCGCGCCCGCCGCTGCCAGTGCGGCTGCGACAACACCGAGGTCCAGATCCACCCGATCCACGGCGACCCGCAGTCGTTCGACCTGCAGATGATGATGGGGATGCACATGGAGGACTTCGACGACGCCGACGACGGCGACGTCCTCAGGAAGCTCCGCTCCGGCGGCGGAGGCGGGGAGGAGATGATGAAGCTGGAGAAGGAGATGTGGGAGACTTTCTACGACACCGGGTTCTGGAGGAGCCCGTCGCAGCGGGAGGAGAACGGAATCCCCTCTGTCGCCGCCGCCGCCGCCGCAGAAGCTTCATCCAAGCATAAAGAATTGTAAAATCGGGGGTGGGTTTTAAGTAGAAGAAAACGCCCCCCCAATTGAAAAATGGGAAATTGAGAGATGAAAATTGGGGAAAATCGGGAGGAATGGGTTGAATCTATCAATCCATTTTTGTTTTGCTTCTTCGTTCTGCTCTGTTTTTTTTTTTTATAATCAAACTCCTTGCTAATGCTAAAAATGGTTACTTCATCTTATTTGCTAAGTTTTTACCCGATTGGAGGTTTCATTTTTTTCCTCAAATTTTCAACACCTGTAATCGAAAGCCTGGTGTCAAGAAGGAATCGGAGAAAACCAACCCTTTAATTGGTTTTAAATTTTATAATTTGTTCATGAATTGAATTTGGTCTTGGTGGTCGGCCATAAATGAATCGGCTTGTTCTTGTTGCCCTGTGTATGTGTGATGAGGAAATGAACAAATTAAGGCAGGCAAAACAGGGGAGAGGGATGCTGATTGTTGGGTGGAGGAAAGAAAGGTTTGAAAAGGTAAACAAAAAAAAAAAAAAACAGAGTGAAAAACAGAGTCCAGAATTTTACCCGTCTGGTATTTCAAAGTAAGTTACCACGTGCAAGTGAAAAGGGGATTGAGATGCTTGTTGCCTTCGTCTTCCTCTTCATCTGCTTCTACCCTTTCCATTTATCGTAATCACTTGACAATCATAATACTCAGGGATTAAAGTTAGTTTCTAGGATGGATCTTTCATAGTAGCAACTGATATTTGTGATTGCCATATCTGGCTTCTTGTAGGTGGGCTGGGGCTATCAGGTGTGGTTCTCATTCGGCGGGGATGGTAATGTAGGAATGGCAATGGGGCAGGTCCGGGGCGGGTTTCTTGGTACCCAGACCCGCCCCATGGCAGGGCGGGTCCAGGTCGGGTAATTGATCACGGGTCACGGGTCGGGGCAGGTCGATCCAATGGGTATGCAATTTATATGAAAAATATTAGAAATATTCGTTATTTTTATTATAAAACTAAGAAAACAAACAATATTATGACAATTGTAGTTAAATTATTGGAGAAATTGAGGTTTTCACTAATTTACAACTTTATTATAGCTAAAATATGATGCAATAAAAGGAAAATTCAAAGTAATTTGACTAAAATTTCATGTAATTTAGATAAGAACGGGTCAAGAATGGGGCGGGTCAGGGCAGGTCGGGTCGATAAGACTACCCATGCCCGCCCCGCCCCGCCTACGGGGCGGGTCGGACCTGCCCCAAAACAGGTCAAACAGGTCGGGTAAAACGGGTCAGGTCGAAATTGCCATCCCTATGGTAATGGGGATCCTGTTTTGGCTAAAGGAGTGCAGTTTCCAAGCATGGATGTTCCTCTGGTTGTCGAGCTTCTGGTGCTTCGGGAGGCCATTCGGTGGTGCCTGCACTTGGGATTTACGGAGATGCAATTTGAAGGCGACGCCAAAGTCATTATTGATAAACTCAATCGGGCGGACGCAAGGGATAGCCAGATGGGAGCGATTCTTCAGAAAGTTATCAATCTTTTTGCTGTCCATTCTGGGTTTTGTGTACGGTTTGTAGGTCGGAGTAACAATAGGGTAGTCCACTTGGTGGCTAGGAAAGCCCTGTCTGTATCCGGCTACGTGTCATTTCTTTGATTTTCAGGCCTGACTGGTTTTCGGGATGTAACTATTGATTCTTGAATCTATTTGATTATCTTTTGTAAAAAAAGAAAGAAAAAAAAATATTGGTGCTGCGATGGTAGTAATACAACACTTGCTCCCTTGGACTCACGGAAAGCAGCATCCGAAATTAATTAAAAAGAGTTTATGTAAGTTAACACAAAAGCCATAGGGGGGGTGGAGGTCAGTGGTCAGTTGGATGGATAGGGCGAGTTGGATTCGAGTTTGGGAAGCGAAAATTCCTCCTAAGTTGAAGGTTTTCCTTTGGCAGATTCTTAATCGGCTTCTGCCTACTACTGAGGCCCTTATTGAAAAAGGGGTTCCGGTGCATCCCAGATGCCCTGTGTGTTGGGCGAGTGCTGAAACCATGGAACATCTTTTTCTTGACTGCCCAGTAGCGCGGGCCCTGTGGGACTATTCAGGGCTGGCTCACTTAGGGGAAGGTCTTCCTCGCCATACTTTCCCGTTGTTCCTAAAGCGGCTGCTGGCGGTGATTCACCAACCAACAATTATCATGGCGGTTGTTTCCATCCTGTGGCGGATCTGGCGATCACGGAACTGGGTTGTCTTTGAGGGCAAGCAGTTTGGATTTCCGGCCCTCATACGTCAATTTCAACAACAGTATGATGAGTGGGTACGGCTGCCGGTGGATAGGGTCCCTGGCCGCCTGGTGGTACCTCACTTGGTTCAGGACAGGGTGGACGGGGTTGTGTGTCGATGGGACGGGGCGGTTCGGGCTGGATCGCATTCGGCTGGGGGTGTGGTGCTTTTGTCCCCGGATCGTGCGGTTGTCTTGGCCCGGGGGGTTCAGTTCCCGTGCTTTGATGACCCCTTGATAGTAGAGCTGGTGACGCTTCGTGAGGCAGTGCTCTGGTGTCAGTCGCTTGGTTTTGCGGAGGTAGCCTTTGAAGGGGATGCGCAAGTTATCATTGATAAAATTAATCAGGCGGATGCTCATGATAGTCGTTTTGGAGCGGTGTTGGAGGAGCTAATTCAGGTTTTTGGCGATAATCCTGGTTTTAGTGTTAGATTTGTAGGTCGGCGTAACAATAGGGTAGCCTATTTGGTGGCTAGAAAGGCCCTCTCTTTGTACCCGGCTATGAGTCGTTCTTTTGATTTCCGGACCTGGCTGTATTCCAGGATGTAACTGTCTTTTTTGATCAATATATGATTATCTTTTGTCAAAAAAAAAAAAAAAAAGTTAACACAAAAGCCATTGCTTTCGGTTACTAAGTGGCGGATTGAGAGTGGGGAAGAAAATATAATAATAAAAAAATAATAATGTTAAGGGAAAGATAATGACATTTAAAAAACTGAGGGAGGAAGCAGACAAATTTTATGCGATTTAATCTATAAATTTGATAAAAATAATAATGATAATATAAGAATGATAATATTCATATTTTAGATAATATATTGGTTTTCGACTTTCCGTTTAAAAAAATAAAAAATAGGAAATTTTTGGTGGGTGCCTAGGTGGTGTTGATAGTATAAACTATAAATAGACCAGAAGAGTCTGAAAGTGGGGATGACAAAAAAAAACTCCAATTTTTTAAAAATTTAATTTATTATGAGTCAAACTCAAATTAGGTTTGGATCTAACTTTATTGATACTAAAAAAATGAATACTCAATTGAAATGCAGTTTTTTGTCTTTACTTTGTTTTGAAACAAAAACAAATGAGGAAACACTAACATTTAATGTGTGTATCGGGTTGTATAAGACAGTTGCTGACATGACTGATGATCGAGGTGAGTGGGATTGGAGTCATCTCCATGATATCCTGCCTAATGACTTCCTCTGTTGTATTGCAGGAATGGAGACACCAGCGCATGACTTGGGAGAAGACACCACGATTTGGGGCCTGGAAAGAGATGGTAGGTTCAGATTCAAATATGCCTACCTCGCAGCGAATGAGATGGGAAGGAACCTCTACCTGACTGGAAAGAGCTGTGGCGATTGAAGGGTCCAAGAAGAGTGAATCACTTTCTTTGGCTGGTTTTGCACAACAGGCTTCCCACCAACCATGAAAGAGCTAAGAGGAACATGTCAACAGATGCAAACTGCAAAGCTTGTGAAGGCGAGATCGAGACAACGGAACACATAATCAGGCACTGCAGGAAGACAGAGGGAGCTAGGCGATTTTCGAAGATTGACCATCAACCACAGGACCTGAGAAACTTCAAGCAACGGATGATGGACAATCTCAAGAAAGAGGAAAGAGGGATCGAGTTTGGGATAGCCTGCTGGCTGATCTGGAAACAAAGAAACGAAGAAGTTATGGAAGGGAAGAAGTACTCCGAAGCAGCCCTTATTAGTAGAATTTGTTCGTGGGTTAATGTCTACCAACAGGCAAAGAACAACGACGAAAGATGCCTCCTGCAGCCACAGATTCAGCACATCCCTGCCTCCATTGCGTGGAAACCACCCCGGGAGGCTGGATACAAATTCAAACGGATGGGTCTGTTCTTCCAAGCTCATGAGCTGCATCACCAGGGGGACTTATCCGGGACCACTTGGGGAGGTGTCTTGATGCGTTCGTCTGCAACTTGGGGAGCTGCACGATCACCATGGCAGAGCTGAAAGGGGAAGAGATCGGCCTCCTTCGAGCTTGGGAGAAAGGCTTCCGCAGAGTGGAGCTAAGGCTGGATTCTTCGATTGCTATCAACATCATTAAGAACCACAAAGACATTGATCATAAGCATGGTTTGATTGCTGCTAGGATTGGAAGACTTTTTGATTTTGATTGGGAAGTGTCTGTGTCCCATGTGTATAGAGAAGGCAACTTCGCAGCCGATTACTTGGCTTGCAAGGGCCATGATGCCCCTTTTGGTAACATCCCTTCGATGTGTACAATCTGATTATGTGTGACCGGATCTTGTATGATACCATGGAAATCTCCATGGATCGTTCTATTATTAATATGAATTAGGACGCTTTGACGTCCGTCTTCCTAAAAAAAAAGAGCAAGTAATGAGATTGTCCATTTTGGATTTTTGTGGATACAATCATCTAGACTGAAATGATACATTTAATAGGTCCAACCTAAATGAGTTTACCCAAATTGAACTCCATTTAAACCTTAAATCATTAAGAGTATATGAGTTCATTTAAATCCGATTCAAATGCCCATATGAATTATGTCATTTTAGTCAAATTATCCAATAAATCAACTCATTATCATTCTTGAAAGGATTAAGGGATGATGATGTACTTTCTTACTACAAAAAGTGGGAATGAGAACTGAGTGGTTGAGCTCACGAATCCACCTAAATTCACCCATAATTTCCTAAAATAAGGGATCCACTAAAAATTTAGGTGTGGATGGACTGTAGCTGATCAACGATCCACCCAACCTTTCAACCCCAAACTAGCAAAAATACTAGTCTCTACTTAACAAATAATAAAACCATCAAAAACTCATAGTCACAAAGAATATCCTCTTATCAAAAGATCTCCCAATATCTCTACTAGTCCTTCATTCCTCATTTTGAATGAATATCTTGTCAGTATTATAGTTACTAAGAATGATTGCAAAGTCAATTTATTTTCCATGGCCATAAACTATATATACATTACATTCTACCGTCCGTCATTTCAATTCAAAGTCCTGTAAACCTAAAATTTTGTTTTTCCAAAGAACAAACAATGATCGGTGCTTCGAAGATTAGACATAATTAGGTAATTGTATGTAGCTATGATTTTATTTTGTCAATATTATAGTTACTAAGAATGATTGCAAAGTCAATTTATTTTCCATGGCCAGAAACTATATATACATTACATTCTACCGTCCATCATTTCAATTCAAAGTCCTATAAACCTAAAATTTTGTTTTTCCAAAGGACAAACAATGATCGGTGCTTCGAAGATTAGACATAATTAGGTAATCGTATGTAGCTATGATTTTATTTATGTGTTGGTTTGACTAAGCATTCAATTAGTTAGCTCTTGTTCGTTTGTGTCGTCTAATCGTCCAATAATTGGCTCTTATTTGTTCGTTCTTTAAATTGCTATAAAACACTTTGGATTGTGTGATCTTTTAAAATGTATGTTGTAATCCTACAGAACCCGCACAACCACCCATCATCCACGATCACTCAACCCACTCGTAAATACATGTTTTGGCTGAATGTGATAATTTTCTCCTCCATCACAAAATCCAAACTCGACCCAAATCTCCATAAAACCATGCACTACTCATTCATAAGAGAAATGAGGGTGGAAGGAGATAGTGAGAGTGGCGTGGAGATGTGCGAGTAATGAATCTGATGTGGATTTTTGACTTTCTGATTCAACAATTAGTCAAACAGATAAGTATGTCAAAACTCAAAACCCATAGTAGTAGCAGCAGTTGTTGTTATCATATTCTATTTATTCTTATTCTGCAAACCCTCCCTCCCATTGGATTGTTTTTGAGGGCAAGCAATTTGGGATCCCGCGTTGGTTCGTCAATAGAATCAGCGGTGTCAGGAGTGGTATGTTGTGCCGCGAGATACTTCTGTGCATGCCCTATCCGACATGAATCCCATTCGCCGACCCATCCCACGAGCGTTGTCATCTGTATGTGGGACGGGGCAATCAGGATGGGGTCTCATTCAGCAGGTGGGATGATTATTAGGAGGCAGGACGGGGTAGTCAGTTCGACTCGAGGTGTCCAATTCGCAGTGATTGATGATCCCAAGGTGGTGGAGCTACTGGTCCTCCGAGAGGCAATCCGGTGGTGTCTGGGAAGGGGGCTCTTGGAAGTGCAATTTGAGGGAGATGCCAAGGTCGTGATTGACAAGCTGAATAGCGGTTCGGTTGCGGACAATAGAGCTGGTGTTGTGTTTCAAGAGGTTCAGAATCTACTGGCGGCAAACCAAGGGCTGAAGGTGCGATTTGTAGGACAGAGTAGCAATAGGGTAGTCCATTCGGTGGCTAGAAAGATCCTCACTTTGTACCAACTGCGTGTCGCTTTTATAATTTTATGACATAGATACATTCCCGAATGTAGCGATCTTTTATCAATCAATATAATGATTATCTTTGATAATAATAAAAAAAAAAACCCTCCCTGCCATTCCACTGGCAGTTTGGGGATTTGGTGTCTTGTGTGCGGCAATGGAATCAATAACCGCACGTCGAGTCGAATGGGAGTCGAGCCAAAATGGCGAGCATTGGTCGTGCGTGCGTGCGCGTCAGAGTTTGACCATTCGGGAAATTACCAATTCTGTGATGATGATAATGACCCTTTAAGAAAAGGTAAAAGATGCTGTTTACTATCATTAATTTACAACTTACTCATTTTACTCTTATCAAAAGAATTCAAAAGATTGGTCCTCATTTCTCTTTGCTTCTTTAGAGAATGAGACATTCAAAAGTAATTTATTTGTACATCCTATTTTATATATGTGGCTATTATATTGCTAAACCAAAGTGAGCTAGCCATAGTTTAGGGCTAGGATGACCAGTACTAGTGTGGTGTATACTCATTGACTCTGGTCTTTCTTGCTTTGGTACGAAATGAGTTGTTTATCCACTTTAGGAAAGACAACTTCTGCATCAAATATTTGGCATCATTCATTAGTGCTTGTGGTTAACTTTTACATGATGATGAATTTGGTATCGAATCATTTTATTGTGGACTTTGCACAAAACTATTGTTTGTTTGAAGATGGCTGAGGATCAAAATCACGAGGTTCATGGACTTTGACGGTCTAAATTCGTGGTCCCGTGGACTAGCAAATTTCATGTCAAGAAGTGGGATTCGTGACATGGTCATAAATCCATGATCTAATCAAGAAAGTCCATAATCAAATTCAATAAGCAAACAATAGACTCTTTCAAATCCATAATGACAACAAATTCATTATATATATATAAATCTATAATTTTCCAAAAACTCAATATTTAGTTATTTACCAGGGGTCTTTTGCATGATTCATTTACAAAATGAGTCATTTGCTCGAATATAAATATTTGGGATTGTAGACATTTACAAATCTATTCTTTGTTTAAAAGTTTTTAAATGAGTAATTTGTACAATGTTACAATTTGACCCTTACATTCAATATGTTTCACTATCTTGTTTTCTATTCTAATAAAACCAACAACATAAACAAAACATTTTTATGGATAAGTGACATGTATGGTAATACTTTCTAATTTTAAATGATAATTTTATGCTAACTTTCTTTATAAAAAATAACTCCTCCATAAGTTTCAAATTTTAGGCTAATTGCAAATGACTGTTTGTGAGCGAAAAAGATACACCACTAAGTAGATGACCATCTTCATCGCTTGTGAAATTTTGGAGAAAGAAACAAATAATTCTGAGAGGGGACAAAGCAACGAAATGGAAAACAAATAATTAAAAGGGGAGGACATACATGAGTTTTAAAAAAAAGAGAAAATGATATAGTTGAAAATTTTGGACTAAATAACGAGTCATAGAAAATGATTAATGGAGAGGACAGATGAAACATTTGAAAATGACTCGAGAGAGTCATTTGAGACTTTAGTGTTGACAAAATGACTCATGAATTTTTTCTTAGGGAATGATGACTCAAGCAAACAAGCCTCAAAACCCTCATTATAGAAACTCAAAATTTACCAAAACCATCTCTCTTTTCCATTATAATCCATTCATTCCATTTAGTGATGGCAATGAGGCGGGGGAGGGGGTGGCAGGTAGGTAGGTACCTCAATACCCATGCCCCTACACTACTGCGGGTCGGGGCTGATAATACCGCACATTTATAGGGTGGGGCAGATTGACCCACTTTTGAAAAAATAAATACACGCATAATTTTACATTTCACGATAAAATAAAGGGTAAAACACTTTATGGCTGAAAAAAATTAACAATAAAATGGGCAATTGAGTCTAACTAGTTGAAAAATTGAGATAAAGATGAGCCAATAACAGGATATGACGTGTCGAAAGTGGGAATCCATATCCCGCCCCATGATACTGCGAGACGGGTAATACCCGTTCCATTACAGGCCAAGTCGGGTAATACCTTTGAAACAGATTCAATTGCCATCACTAATTCTATTACAGTTAAATGTGTTGAAGGGATGTTGACTCTTGAGAGTTGAGACATCCAACCTGGACGGCCCATTCTTACCAAGAGCCCAAATAAAAGATCCAACAGCATCGAGAGCCCTACAAGGAATAGTGCATGCAGCAGTTGCTTTTAGTTTCACTCCTTCCGTCTTCATGCAGATGGGCTTTTTTAACTCTGCCGATGCGGATCCTGATCCGACTGCTCCAGCCCATCTCTTCCACCAGACGACCAGCCCGTTTTCTAGGAGAGCTTCCGTACAGCCGGCGGTTTAGAGAAATCGCCCAAAACCAAGTTCTAGAAGTCTCCTCTTATCGTCTCATCATCAAAATTAAAACCCATCTCTCAGCTCTCTTCACTGTGAAAGCTAAACTAGGGTTTTATCTTCTCCTCAATCCGCCCACCTAACCCTCTCTACTCTTTGCAAACCAGTCACTGCAGTTTTCAGGTAACGTAACATCTTCCTCTTGTTAATTGTACCATCATGGTTTACATTTCGGATGCGAAGTCCTGATGGGATTTTGCTGTTATGTGATTCAGGAAAGCATAGTAATGGCGGCCTCTCAGCTCACAGCATCTTCCATCTCGGTTTCGGCCAGGAACTTGGTTTCCTTCGAAGGCCTAAAACCTTCCGCGGTAAAGTTTGCATCTTTCGGGACATTGAAGGCCGGTGGCTTGTCCCAACGTTCTTTCCGGGGATTGGTTGTCCAAGCTGCCACTGTCGTCGCCCCAAAGGTAACTCGCATGGCTAACGTTTTGGATTATTGATGTCTATGTAAGGAATTGGTGGTTCCAATTATTCTGATTATCGCCTTGTTTCCTGTTGGTCATGTTGAAAGAAACCATAATGTAGGAAAAATGACCTCGTTTTGAATTGAATTCTGGTTTCAATATCACTCTGATTTGGCTATGGTTGAATCACTTAACCAGGGAATTAGGTGGTTCCTTTTTCTGTTATTGCAAATATGGTAATGTTTAATTCCTTGATTTTTCAGTATACGTCGATTAAGCCCCTGGGTGACAGAGTGTTGGTGAAGATAAAGACTGTGGAGGAGAAAACTGGTGGTGGGATTTTGCTCCCCTCTTCAGCACAGTCAAAGCCTCAAGGAGGTGAGGTTGTTGCTGTTGGAGAGGGCAAGTCAATTAGTAGCAAAACCTTGGACATTAGTGTCAAGGTAGAAGCTTTCCCTTTTTTTCATTCCTACTTTACCTGGTCTATGCTGTGTCCTAGGAGTTTAGAGTATAACTAACTTGGTGGTTGCCTTGTTTAGACTGGTGCCAAGGTTGTCTATTCCAAGTACGCTGGGACTGAGGTTGAATTCGATGGTGAAAGCCATCTGATACTGAAGGAAGACGACATTGTCGGTATTCTTGAGACAGAAGACATCAAGGACCTCAAGCCCCTCAATGATAGAGTTTTCATCAAGGTGAAATTCTCCACCTATATATTTTGATAAATGCGCTAACTGTGGTCGTATTGGCCCCAATTATATTGTGTAATTGTTTCAGAAGCAATTACAATTGACATTTGAGATACCGGTCCTTTCTATAGTGATGCCTTCAAAGCCGAAGAGCCACTTTGTAATTTCATCTCAATGTTCTTGGTGCCAGGTTGCTGTGGCTGAAGAGAAAACTGCTGGGGGTTTGTTGCTCACAGAGGCATCCAAAGAGAAGCCTTCCATTGGCTCGGTTAGTAGTAGAAACGCTGTGTGCCTGTGATTTGATAGATTATGCTTGTGGCTTAAGATCCTTACTTGCATTTGATTAAACAGGTGATAGCAGTTGGACCTGGACCTCTGGACGAGGAAGGTAACACGAAGCCTCTGTCTATCTCCCCAGGAAACACTGTGTTGTACTCCAAGTATGCAGGGAATGACTTCAAGGGCACTGATGGTTCCAACTACATTGCCCTTAGGGCTTCGGATGTGATGGCTGTCCTCTCGTAGTTTGGATTGTTCCTTTATCTGGGTTAGATAGAGTGCTGGATGTACCTCCTGAATTTTGTGGGTTGAGAAATGTCATACACCAATTTGTAGCCTTAAATTGTAACCGGATTGTTGTGTTATGATCAAAGAACGGTCAAGTTATGAATAATGAAGGTATGCATGCTCGGAGTTCCCTCATTTTGTGACAAGTGTATATTTTTGCTCTATGGCTTCTAACTCATCACACAATTCCTGAAGGTTAGGGCATGAATTCGGTCCAGGACAAACATAAAACAAGTATAGGACTAAACGTGCCTAATCGCAAAACTTCACCATTGTTACCTCTCCATGATGTTATGGGATTCTATCACCAAACGAACGACAATGCATAGAAGTCAAATCCACACAAACAAGAACAGATTGTTTGATCCCCAACAAATGTTGTGAATAGAGGCTATCCTGGAGCTCAAGTTTTCTCCTAATGTTTCTTGTCCCTTCTTGTTATCTCTTGCTTAATCAATGCATCAAACCAAACACAAGCATGTATAAGTCGATGCACACATGATAGAGACATATTCTATATCGCCGGCAACATCTCATTCAACGCGATTCTAATGCTCGAACCAAACTTGTATAACATTGTAAAGACGTGACGTGATAACAAGTAACAATGAAGTATTCACGATTCAAACAAACAAATCATGGTGGAACAAGAGCTTGGTCTAGTGGTAATACCACCAGTCTTGAATCTAGAGGTTCTAGTTTAGAATCCGTTAAGTAGTACCTATACTTCTTCCTTGACACCCCATTCCAGGTGAGATTACTGTCACTACCACCAATGGAAGGTTTTGCAGTCTCCCTATACGGTAGAATTGTTTCCAATCCAAGATGATACTGAGTTCGATGCTACATCTCAAAATGAACTACCCATTAATATAATTTTTTTTTATCTAGGCCATCCAAATTGAACCAGCTTCAGAGAAACTGTCTCATACATTTCTTAAAAGTATATAATACAAGCTTTGAGTGTTAGTTGAACAACGTAGAAGCAACATACCGTATTGCTTTGAGGGTCGAAGGACCTACTGGTTGGTTCAGCCAAGAACCGAAAAATCGAATAAAGGTCCAGAAACAAAATTTGTTATACACAAATCCCTTCTTTTTAAGGTCTAGTTAGGAATTTCCAAGTAATCTAGTTCTCATACTATTCTCATCCACGTTCCATAAAAATTCATTGCAAGCTATCTCAACTTATTTTAAAACATTCTGTGGCGGTAAAAACAAATTCATCCAGAAACAAAATTCCTTATACACAAATCCCTTCTTTTTAAGGTCTAGTTAGGAATTTCCAAGCAATCTACTTTTCATACTATTCTCATCCACATTCCATAAAACTTCATTACAAGCTATCTCAACTTATTTTAAAACATTCTGTAGCAGTAAAAACAAATTCATACAAAACTAACAGATACTTGTTATAACTGAAGAAACTAACTGAATTTTACTTGCATAACTCAATAGCTTGTCCCACCAACATCTCAATCTTTTTGTAATTTTATCAACAAGCACCTGACAATCTCGAGAGTTAAGCTTGCCTAAAAAAATGTGACTCCAAGATAGTTGATCGGAATCCCCCCACAGGGGAACCTGTAAAAAAGTTGAGATAGCTTGCAATGAATTTTTATGGAACGTGGATGAGAATAGTATGAGAAGTAGATTACTTGGAAATTCCTAACTAGACCTTAAAAAGAAGGGATTTGTGTATAACAAATGTTGTCCCATTTTTGTCGAGTGGGGTCCTAGGACCCCACTCCTCTCCACCTTCCTCCGCCAATGACCACGTCCCTGGAATGTGAAAGAATCTGATGTCAATATCACAACTGACAGCATCTGGCAGTTATGTGGTATTTGGTCCTAGAGATGTGAAGGTGTATCAAAGCTAACAACCAACTTCTTATCCGATCATGCAAAGACAGAAGTTGCTTATGTTCACAAGACAAGAAGGAATGAGACGTCAAGCTTATGGCATGATCGTCTAGAAGTTGGCTATAAGAAGTTTAGAGGGATGATGAAGAAGTCCATGCTCAAAAGACTTACTCAACTTGATATATGTAAAGTTATAGTATGTGTTGGATGCCAGTATAGAAAAGCTCATAAGCTACCCTATGAAGACTCAAAATTTAAGTATAAATTGTCTCTAGAACCTGTCCATTCAGACGTGTTTAGACATGTGAAGAAAACATATGTGTCTGGAATGAAGTACCCGATTACTTTCATTGATGATTTCTCAAGATATGTTCGGGTTGACTTCATTAAACAAAAACCAGAGGCATTTGAAAAGTTTAAAATGTTCAAGGAACTCTTTGAATGCGAAGTCTGTTAGACGATCAAGTGTCTACATACTACAATGGAGGAGAGTACACCTCAATCATATTCACACAATTTCTCAAGGAGTACCGACTATTACGTCAGTTGACCTTCCCAAGTACTCCATAACAAAATGGAGTATGCTACACGCAAAAAATATTCCTGCTAAGTTTTGGACAGAATGTATGAAGACTTTGCTCATGTCGTCAAGACGTCAATAGATTACCTAAGCCTAAGTTGGGGTTTGTGTCACACTATGAGAAGTTATGGAAGTTGAAGCCCAATGTCACCCATTTCTCAGTATTTGGTTGTGCTGCGTGTTTGTACCAAACCATGATCAAAGCAAGTTTGAAAAAAGTGGTCCGGTGCATTTTTGTCGGCTATGAAAACCAACAAAAAGGATGGAGATGTTGTGACCCGACAACAAGCAACTGTTATGTGTCACGCAACATGGTGTTCGATAAAGCATCCTCTTGGTGGTCAAAAGGAGTCCTACTTCCTGACTTTTATGGGTCTATTCAGATGGTTTGGTTTTTAAACTGAGGTTGGAGGTGATGTGAAGTAACTATCCTAACTGTCACATGTGATCCACTACACACGACCTCATCAAAGAAACATGTCGCCCTTTATAATTGCACCATACCCTGGTGAGCTACCAATGACCCCTGGTCCCCTCCCGCATTGGTCTGTACCCCGCATATAAGAACCCCCAACCAGTCTTGAACCTGCAACCTATATGAGTGTTCCAATAGTGAGATACGAATATGTTTAAACTCAAACACCACCAAGTTGTTTGCCTTCTATATATGCCAAAGTAATGTCAGAATCAGGATTATATGTTTAGCATATGGGTCTCTATCCAAAACTCGACATAGAAAAATTGTGAAATTCTCTACCATCAGACCTACAGCATGGGTTGCAAACCATCAGCTTCCAAAAGGAAGCCTACCACTAATCAAGAAATAAACAAATGTTCCATTGTCTCTTTCTCTACCCAGCACACTGGACACCTGACCAACACTTTAATCATCTTCTCCAACAACGCCTTTGTGTTGGAAGAATGCAACAGAAGAATTTCCAAAGGAAGAATCGAAGCTTGAGGGTCATTGGGTAAGACCAAACATTCACCTAGAACCTTATGTATGTCTAGCTCACTTCTCTTTTCCGTTTTCCCCAAGCCCGATTCAATCGCACTGCAATCAAAGCTTGAACATCCCTACCTGCTTCACAACATCTCGATTCCTTGCCTCACCATCTTTATCTTCCTGTTGAATAGGAGCAAAAACGTGAATCCAAGGAGTATCATTATTAAATAGATTTATGCACTCTTCTTGATCCTCTACCCTCTTAGCTGACTCATCGAAGCCTTGTATAGGGTTGGAATCAGAAGTAGAAAGGTGAGGAATTTGCTTCTCCAAAGGGTACTTTCTTACTTTTAATCATGAAGCTCTCAAATTATAGTTCACATTTTCTTTTTGGCTTTGGAGGTAGAGAGGAAAGAGCTCTCTCATTGGCCTCAATTTTCATCATTATTCTCTCACTCGTCACCATCATACGTTCCATAGAAAGATCCACCTTGGAAGTTTCCATGGGTTGTGAAATATGTTCTTTTTAAAATGGTGGGGAACTTGGTAACCATGGAAGTACGGTTAATGATCATAAAGACGACTTATTGACTTGCTAAAACCAACACACTAAGAAGTAGCCAAGTGCAACTACGACTTAGGATGCAATATAGTGGTTCTAAGCTTATATGTCAATCTGGGGCCCAAAAATTACTATTACTCGGTGATTGGTGCAGTTATCTAGTGTTTGATTGTAGTGAATATTACTAAGAAAAAAACCTAAACAATGTGGATTGATTCAAATACAAAAGCCACTCAAGTATGCGTGCCCCTAGCCAGTAGTTAGGACTGCAGAAACTCTTTAATTCATTTCCATTGACATTTGGACTGCAGAAACTTCTTAGATAGTCTGAAATCTCGACTGAAGTAATCCAAACCCTCTTGAATAGTGTACCAGGTGGGAAATTATCCTCAACGGAATAAACTACCAAGGCAATTCAATTAAACTTCCACTACTGGGGTTTGAATGCAGTACAGAGAAATGAATCAATTCACTACTTCAAATTTAGGATGCTCTATCAACCTAATCATATTTTATCTCTCTTAGGTTAAAGCATAAATCGAAAAGAATGTGATAAGGACTCAATGAATTCTGGAAAATGCATCAATTGCATAAATAATGCCAATATTTAGGAATTAAGGGTTCATACAATGATTTGTTAGCATACAAAGCTATTGTTATTCATACCCAAGTACAGAGGAGGTTTACTCCATGGAGTAAGATGGAAACATGATGGCTGAAGTGGAAATCAACGGGTTATGATGGCTGAAGTAAAATTCTGCTCCAGGTAGTTGTCTGCCACTCCAATGGAAGGAAATCTAGATCCAATGGTCATCAGAGATGCTCCAAATTGCTACTTGGGCGATCTTTTGTAGCTTTTTCTCTCCACAAAGCTCTGAGCTCGATTTTTGGTCCAAAGAATCTCCCTTGAAGAAAAATCCAAAAATCCTCTTTATACCAGCAGCTATGATGTTCCCCGATCGTGTTACACAGTCGGAGAATATGATTCCAGGTCGTGTAACATCAAAACGGTGCGCTTGGGTTAGTCGCCTCAAACTCAATTCCCCAGTCAGCCTCTCCTATTCCCCGATCATATAATAGCACACACCAGACCATGGAATTCTCTGTCCGAGGTCCATTTTCCAAAGCCCTGATCCACAGTCAGGGAACAGACTTCCTAGACCATGTAAATTGCCTTCTCAGTGTCCAAATCCCGCCCGCTCTCCAAATCATTAGCGTAGCTAGAAA